CACTCAAGACTTTTAGGGCGTTAAAACGGTCTTTCGCATTATTGGTGTACAGGAGTTTATTCACATCTGAGCGATTTGATCGAAAACAATATTATTTCATAGACTGGTGTTGGTCATCTCTTTTCGAGCATAAATGTTGAAGAAGATGAGGAGGATATATTAGGGGTACTAAGGGGGGCGACGGTAGAAGTTTGGGAAATGAAAGATGTTGTGCTGTGAAGCTTTCCGAAGATGTGAAGGAAAGAGAAGAGTATCAATTGTCCAATAGGCTGGTAATTTGTTTCTCCTAGCTATCAAAGGATGATAGTACAAACTCGTACTCCAAAAGTTTCGATCTCGGTTGGTTTCTGTGGGTTTGTTTGATCTCTAGGGTTTTGAGATCTGCACTTCGGGCAATGTCATGGTCTAATTTTCATTTTCTTCATTGGTCGGTCAGGGTCTATTTTATATTCGTCGTCACCTCATCGTCGTACTTCAGCGTCTGTTATTATGTTTGAGAAAGGGGGAAAGATAGGAGAGAAATGGGGAAGGCATATTCTACGTAATCAAATGATACAATACAAGCAATCGTTGCCAGTTCAAAAAGTCTAGAACGAATCTATGGGTGAGCATGAGTGTGAAGTAGAAAAATTCGAGTGAAGATTGTGGTAGATGCATGAATCGTATGAAGTCTGAAACCAAGTTTTGTGTTCTAAATATCATCGTAGGGATTCTAGATTTCTCGATGAATCTAAAATTCCAAAATGAACCTTGGAAATTCTAGATCTTGAATGCACACGTCAACATAAAAGCTTGGATACAATCCTGATCCTAGAAGAGTCTGCATCGATTGGATCTAACAGAAACTTGGTCCATCCGGCAGTTAAAGAGTTTTCCCTTGACACTTCAAGCTTGGATGTGGGTTCATCCCATGATATTCAGATGTGTAGTTTCAGGGGGGTGGCTTCAATGGAGACAAAAGATGTAGCCTTGCATTATCGTCTGCAGCCTTGTGTTTATAACGTTCTATATTTGCCCCGCTAAAACTTTTTTGCTTAAACAATTATCAAGTCAACCTTCTCTGACAAGTTTTATGCATTGATCACTGCATTCTTGATTGATCAGATATAAATAGTGGCTACTATTATAAATCGCATTAATTCGAGGCTGAGGGCTGGAACCCGCCATTTCTCACCCTTTCAAATTCGAGGAATCATGGCTACTTCAAACGATTTGCCAGTCGTTGAGACTGCACTTCCAGATGCCATTGTATCCGAGAAGGTTGCAAATAGCTCCAGCACTGTAGCTAAGAAACTTCATGGTCGTGCCTTTTATGAAAGTATCGGTAGTCCTAAATTCATACTCGCGCCAATGGTCGATCAATCTGAATTTGTAAGTTCGCAAAGCACCCGACATACCTCTCTTCTTCGTCTTAGCATATTGACTCTGAATCTTTCCAGGCCTGGCGCATGCTCTCCCGCTCCTTTATGTCCCCCGAAACCAACAAATCTCTTCTGGCATACTCACCTATGTTTCATGCGCGCATGTTCTCCGAAACACCAAAGTTCCGCGATGCACACTTTCAGCCGATGAAAAGCTCGCTGGCTTCACAGCTGGGTTCATCTTCGACCACTCCCAAGGAGGAACTATTTCTCGATGGGAACCCGGCTTTCGATCGACCCCTCTTTGTACAATTCTGCGCGAATGACGAGAAGGAGTTACTTGAGGGAGCGAAGTATGTAGCGCCGTTTTGTGATGCCGTGGATTTGAATTTAGGATGTCCGCAGGGAATTGCGAGAAGAGGAAAATATGGCGCCTTCTTGCAGGAGGATCAGGGATTGATTTTTAGGTTGATCAATACACTGCATAAGGAATTGGATGTGCCTGTTACGGCGAAGATTAGGATATTGGATACGAGGGAAAAGACGCTGGATTATGCAAAGATGGTGATTAGTGCTGGAGCGAGTATTTTGACAGTACATGGAAGAACGAGAGAGATGAAGGGTCACAAAACTGGGCTGGCGGATTGGGAGATGTTGAGGTTTTTGAGGGAGAGTTTACCGAAGGAGGTGGTTCTTTTTGTGAATGGAAACATTCTGGCTAGGGAAGATATTGATGAGTGTTTGAAAGCGACAGGTGCGGATGGTGTAATGAGTGCGGAGGGAAATTTGTATGATCCAACGATTTTTTCGGATGCGCCAGCTCCAGGAGAGGAAGGAAGAGAGTATTGGAGGAGTTTGGATGGAAAGATAGGGGGTTGGAGAATGGATGCTGTGTTGAGGAGATATTTGGACATTATTTATAAATATGTTTTGCAAGTATCGCCACCGGAGAGAAAACCACTGTTTATATCTTCGGATCCACCGGAAGAAATGAAGGAAGAAGTAGAGGAAGAAGAGGAAGAGGGTCCACCGAGAAAGAAGCAAAAGAGTGAAAAGAAGGAAAGGACTACAAGCCCTAGTCTGGTGGCCATGCAACCACATTGTTTTAAACTTCTCAGACCATTGGTTTCAAAACATCACGGGATCAGAGATGCATTGGCGAAAAGCAGAGCGGGCGATATAAAAGCTTTTGAAAATGTTCTTCAGATGACGGAGAAGGTTGTTAAAGAGGGGATTTTAGAGTATGAGAGAACTAATGGGGAAAGTTATAGAGAGGAGGTTGAGAGAGCGGAAAAGGAAAGAGAGGAGAAAATGAAAGGGGGTGGGAAGGGGGCTAATGGGAGAGGAGGAACAAATGGGGATGGAGAAGGGAATGGGGAAGTGCAGTTTGAAGAAAGTAGTTTGGAAACGGTTAGGAGATGTAAGAGGCCGTGGTGGGTGGTACAGCCTTATGTGAGACCATTGCCTATGGAAGCGTTGGCGAAGGGGAGTTTGACGTTGAGTAGAAAGGAGAGGGGTGGGAAGGAAAATGGAAAGGGAGAGAGGGAGAAGGTAGAGGATAAGGGAGTTAATGGAGTTGGGTCTGAGGAGAAAGGAAAGGTCGAAGTCCAGGTTGTGGGTGAGGGGGAGGGGGAGAAGAAAGAGGAAATGGAAACAGTGGAGGTTCCAAAAGATGGGTTGGTTTGTGGATGAAATCCAATGATAAATTAGACGGATGGATGGGTGTGGCATTGCAAGGCAGGCGCATATAGACATAGCATAGCACATAGCATGATTACTTGAATATTCAGCTACACTTATTAGAGGTCAATAGTAGGTAGATGGAAGATCAATAAATAGAATGGTAGATATGGATAATGAGAGGAGAGAAGAGGAGAGAATAGATCAAGTGCTGATCTGATCTGATCTTCTCCTTTACTTTAAATATATTATATGTATGTTTTGAATGAATGAATGGATCAGTGTGTTGTGTTGGGAGAAATGTATTGGGATTGATAGATGAAAGATAATAAATAATAGATGATAGATGAAAGATAATAAATAATAGATGAAAGATGACACAAGATAAAGATACACTCCCTCTATTTTTTATATCCCCCCCTCCTCTTCTCCCATATTGATCATACGTAAACTTTAATAACTTTTAAGCTTGGAGTAAATGCTTATTATTGATATTGGTATTGGTATTGGTATTGGTATTGGTATTGGTATTGGTATTGGTATTGGTATTGGTATTGAGTGTTATGGTGTTTAGTGTGTGCTAGAATGCTAGAATGCTAGAATGCTAGAATGTCATCTTGGTCAAGAAGTAAGTGAGGAGTAGAGAAGTAAGGGATAGAGGGACAGAGGGATAGAGGGATAGAGGGATAGAGGGATAGAGGGATAGAGGGATAGAGGGATAGAGGGATAGAGGGTACTGATACTTCTCTAGATAGATATTTGATATTTGATGTGGTTATTGTTGATGTTGATGTTAATTTTAAGGGAGGTTTTGTACGCTGGGCTTGGTTGAGCTTGGTTGATTGGGCTTGGCTGGTTGGTGTTTGGTTGGTTGGTGTTTGTATTTGGAATGGGGATGGGGATGGGGATAAGGATGTTAAGGTGAGAGTAGGGGTTGGGCAACTTGAGGGTGTGTGCTGTGGGATGAGAGGGAGGGATGAGAGAGGGGGAGTTGGATTGGGGATTGGAAGGGGCTGATCGAGAACATGCCATCACAGGGATGTGTAGAGGATAGAGGTGATAATGATGATGATTTCGTGAAGGGAGAGTGAAAAGATGTAGATTTTGTGGTGGGGATTGGAGCGGGGTTGAAGTAGTGGGGAAGGTAGTATGGAAGATTTTGGAGAGTTAGGGAGTTGGATAGATGAGGTAGGTGTTGGGTTTGGGTTTGAGTTTGAGTTTGAGTGCTGAGTTTGAGTGTTGGGCTTGGAAGTGTGAGAGAGTCAAGGCTCAGGGGTTGAGAGAAGCGCATTAGAAAGTTGAAACAATGGACGGAGAGGGGAGTATGGAAGTACAATGGGAATTGCAGCTAGATTGGTTAGGAAGGACTTATAAGATGGAGTGAGGGGAGATAATAGAGGGGTCTTGGATACATATATGGTGGGATCCTAGGTATGAATATCATAGGAGATGCGGGAGAATACGAGATGAGAATGGAGAGATAGATGGATGGATACTTGGGAAAGGAGTTGGAGTGGTGAGAGTGGGTTGATGCTTTTTGGAGTTCCAAATTAATTATGGGTGGCACTCAAGTGGCTTTCTAGGAGATTCAAGATGTTTGAAGAATTGAAATTAGGGATGGGAACTTGATATGATGGTTAAGTCATGATGGTTGATATGACTTCATTTATTTTGACAGTGTTAATTACTTGGTGTCAAATGTTATAATATCATTACACTATTGTATAATATAAACCTCTTTGAATTGTAATCTTTAAATAGAATAGTTACATTATCAAAGACTATAAAACTAGATCATCCTTTAATATTATATTAACTTTGATATAATACTTAATATTGGAAAAATGCGATTGACCGATATGATCTGACGGTCATTTTACCACCCCAACTGGAGTAAGATATCTGGGAAATGGATATGAAGTGAGTCTACACCTGACTTGATCTACTACATTCACCCCCTCAAAGTTTACTCAACTTTCCACTCTTTTCCTTCTTCGCACTATCCATTCTCACCCCCTCATCATCCTGCTCCTCAACTCTCAAATCCGGAAACTTCATCGGCATGATCCTCCTCGGGGTCGTCCCGGGAACCAAAGCATATTTACTAAAATCGCTCACTCCATCATGCTCTCTCAAATAATCCTCATCTAACAACAAACTCCCATTTACATCTTCAGTCTTCGCTTTCACAATCGATAAGATCGCATCGGAAAATATACTCGGATGTCTCAAATCCTCGTCTGCGGAAGAAAAATGCGCAGTCGCTGCAGATTCAATAGCAACCGCGGGCCAGAGACCCGTAATCGCCATCTTCTGTCCCGATGATCCCATACGCGCAAAATCCATACCGAGACCTTGCACCAGAACACTCATTCCTACTTTCCCCATCGCGTAGGCTGTTTTGCCGCGGAAAAATCGGGAGTAGATGGGTGGACAGATGACGACGATTCGGGCGTTCCAATCTTGGGCTTTCCAGTGAGGAATGCAGGATTGGATGGTGGCGTAGAGACCGTTGGGATTGATGGATTCCATTAGCATGTAGCGGGATAGAGGGGTGGTGAGCACGGAGGAATGGTAGATAGCGCCGGAATTGTAGATTAGTGCGTCGATGCGTCCGTAGGTGGAGATGGTTTGAGATATGAGAGAGGAGATGGAGGAGTGGGAGCGGACATCGCAGGGGATGGCGGTAGCGGTGAAGCCGGCTTCGAGGATCTCTCGACAGACGGTGGAGATGGTTGAGGCGGATGAATTGGGATTTGGGGGAAAGGGATGGGTGGTGGAGGCGTCGCTGGTGGATTTGGCGGATACGATTACTAGGTTGGTTAGCGAGGAGTTAGGGGGAGTTGGGATGTTTATCTACCTGCGTATCCGTTCTTTGCGAGATCAATGGCGATTTGACGACCGATTCCTCGAGATGCGCCGATTACGAGAGCTACCTTTTGAGATGACATGTTGAATTTACAGTAAATATGAATTGCAAATGTTGATTGAATGGGAGTCAAGGTATTCCATCACTTGGAACAATATATATTCGAGAACACATATCTCGGAACTTGTGGAAAGTTATTGGTTTAGTGATCAAAGATGAAGTTCGTTTGTAGTGAAGGTCGGAGTGATGCATGTAACTATGTATATGTTTAGTGATCAAGAATTCCGGGGTTGAGCTCCCTGAGCCGAGGCACATGAAAGTTGGAGCGGAGCGGCAAAGTTAATCACTACTTGAATGTATATGTCGGTAGGTATTTTAATATCTTCCAAATCACGACATTTGAATACTTTTATTGAAATCGGAACTTTAATATCTTCATCATGCCGGGTCATATAGATTGTTATCTTGATTGCTGTGAGTGCAAAGTTATTTCCTTAAGCTTTCCCCATGTTCTTTCTCCACATCATCTTACCGTGCTAATTGAACCCCCTTTATCAAAGCTTCCTTCTATAGCTACGCAGCTTTAGTTCATCTTCGCAAGAATCGGAAGATTCTTCTCTCTCATGATGTTACTATTGAGTGAGTTTTCTCTTGATCTCTGTATCGTCATGTGTATATATGTATGTGTGTGTGTGTGTATTTGAGAATGAAATCTAACTCAAAACCCACCTCCAAAGTCTCATCCCCGTCTTCCTCGGGGGTATAAATCACGGCTCGGGAAACAAGCCACCATGGACTCTTCCTGCAAAAGCGAAATATAGTAAATTTGATTCTGCGAGAACGGTTGCGTATCATGGATTGCCGAATTTACAACCGTCGGAGTTTTTCCCGCCAGTCACGCTTCTCGTAGGTTTTTGATCTCTCATTTTTACTGGATGGATGGATGGATGGATGGATATATGTGAAGATTTGGAGCTGATATTGAACGTTGAATGAAGCCTCAAAGAGCTCTCTGTTTTATCAAATCTCGCTACTCTGTTGAGATCTTTGAAAAAACATGGTTGGAAATTTTCAATGCTTTGTGGGTTCCTCCACAGAAGAACATCACGATTCCGGAGATCTTTACAGAATTCTTGAATGGGTTGGGAACATTTGATGAAAAAGAAGTACAAGAAATCATGCAGAAAGCAACAGAGAAAGAGTGGAAGGATAAGCTGTTGGAGAACACGAAAGATGCGTTGGAGAAAGGAGCATTTGGGGCGCCGTGGATGTGGGTGAGGAACGCGGAGGGAAAGGAAGAACCATTTTTTGGGAGTGATAGGTTTCATTTTATGTGGAGGTTTTTGGGGGTAGGGTTTAGGGATTTGGAGATTGTGAGGGGGAGAAGGTGGGAGGGGAGGGGAAGGCGAAGTTGTGAGGGGGTGAGGGGGGTGACGGAGAATGGGAGAATGAGATTGTGAAATTGTGAAATTGTAAGGGAAGCGAAGAGAAGGGAAGGGAAGGGAAGGGAAGGGAAGGGAAGGGAAGGGAAGGGAAGGGAAGGGAAGGGAAGGGAAGGGAAGGGAAGGGAAGGGAAGGGGGGATGCAACTTATGGCTGTTTTGAGTTCTCGGGCTATGCTATTCTCTAAAGAACATATACATTCACTCGTCTAAACACTCTTGCAAGAGAAGTAACATAAGTAAGAATGATATTAAGATTATGACTCTCCACAGGATATAATGAGAAGCGGAAGGTCTGAAATACGAAGTCACTCGGGCGATTATAGAACTAATAAGAAAGAAACCGGTACTCTGCTAGAGCTAAATGGGACTTTATGCATATGTAACTGTGAGAATCACATCTCCAACAGATAAATAGATTTTGGAATTCAACAACCCTAAAGGACTGCAAATTAATGATGCGAGAACGTAATAATTCTGAACAGGCCCAAAATGCAAAGATTCATTCCCTGTGATTAATTTGTTAGACTGTTGTGACAAAAGCATGGTGCAAAGTCCTCAGCCCGCCCCCATGATTCGGATGATCATAATCACGTGACAGCAAGACGCGAGACCTCACATGTTTTCCCCATACTTTCCAAAATAAGGGGTCCAAAAAGGTACCAGTCTCTAATCGAGATAAGCTTTTAAGCCGCATGGGAACTACTGTATATAAAGATCGGTAGTGAGTATCATCAAACTTCTCTTCTTTCCCTCCAAAAAATCTTCTTCCTTTTCCTTCATCAATCATCTTTTTTTCCCACTTGATTTCATCTTATTCCGATCATATATACAAATCTTGGATATCTCATTTTGAAGCAATAGAGAAAGTTTCCGACTGCCGAATATTTTCAGAGCGTCGTGGTTGATGAATTCAGATGGAGAAGATCCAATTCAATTCCAAGTCGTTCACAAATGGATCCCCGATGATTTTCTCAAAGTGGTGGCTCCGGTCACTTTTTGGGTGTGGCGCTTTATTAGCGTGGTTAGCTAAGCGACCACCTTGGGATCCAAACGCGCTTGGTGAGAAATCAGCTTTCCCTCAAGATGTCAACATTAACTCAACATATCAATTCATTCATCATAATTCCATGAGAATAACTTCATAGAAAAGTTTATTCATCATTTATTAATCTTTTCTATCTTGAATCCTCGCTCCAATCAATCTTGTTGTTTGTTGTTCAACATTAACGGAACATTACTTGGAACTTTATTTACAGCAGCGCGCGAAACTATCAATGTTTTAACAAACAGTGAATCCCGTCGAATCACCATCGCTCTAAGCCATTTCTCTACGGTTCCCTTCCGACTTCGAAGCCTTATTTAAGATTGGTCCACCGCTATGCCAGCGAAGTACCGCAAATTCGAAACCTTTGACCCTAATAAGTCCGACTCGAACGACGACGATTTCTCCCCTACCGAAGCTGCTCCCCCACGGAAGTCCCCGAAAAAGTCAAGGTCCCAGCCGCAAAAGAAGGGTGGCCCACGAAAGAAGACTAAATACAGGGATTCAGACATTGATGACGAGGATGAAAGTGTGTCGGAAGAATCTTTTATAGAATCGGAAGAAGAAGAAGAGGACTTTGAAATGAACGAAAAGACCGGAAGAGCTGTGCGAAAGGCTGCGAAAAAAGCCGTCACTTACGAAGAGAGTGAAAGCGATGACGATTTGATCCAGGAATCCGAGGAAGAAGTTCGTCCGAGAAAATCAAATAAGCGAACGCGCGTGGTAGATGATGGTGAGGAGGAGGACGAAGACGAGATAGTAGAACCCATTTCGAAGCGCAATAAGTCAGTGGAAAAGGCATCGGAAAAGAAATCGTTTCTGCTAAAACTCAAGATGCCAACTGGGAACACGCCCGCTCGGAATACAAGGGCAGGAAGTGCCGCAAGAACTCGAGCAAGCGCGGAACCTACATCGGCTGGACTTCGAAGAAGCACCCGCGCTCGTACCGAGGAAGGCGAAGACTTCCCTTCATTATCAAATTCTGGAAGACACGTAATTCGGGCTTCGAGATCACCGGAACCGATCGGTCGCATGAGGGCCAGTAGAGGAGCGAAAGGTCTTAAACAACCTGCGACCTCTACTATCAAAGAAGAGACACACGAGACGAGCTCATTTGAAGACCCGCAACTAGATGCCGAAGGCGAAGACGAGGATATAATAATGCAACCGCAGCCTGAAATAATTGGAACTGACGATGGAGAGGACGATAATACCGAGTCATTCAACCCCCCTGCCAGTGCGCCGGCCGATGACGATATGGTGGACGAACTCGCTGTTGAGGGAGCGCTCGAAGAGAATGCAGTCACCCATGATGACGACGATGATGACGAACCAGTCACGAGAACTCGTGCAAGAGCCTCCAGGTCAAGTAATGCGGGACAGGATGCAGCAGAAGTAGTTGAAACGACCGAAGATTTAGCTAGTGGTTCTCGACGCCTAAGAACTCGAGGTTCGAAGAGAAATAAAGATGATGGTAGTGACTTTACGCCTGAAGGGGAAGCTTCCGAGGAAGAGATGTCTGGATCTAATGCCTCGCCGAAGAAAGGAGGAGATGATGATGGCGAGTATTCGAGCTCATCGAGACCCGGAAGGAATGCAAGACGAGCAAAATCCAAGAGTACTTCTCGCAGACGTGGTAATGTATCGGATGAGGACGATGAGCTAGATGCAGAAGAATTGGCAGATGAACTTCAAGAACTCAGACCATCTCGAAGACGCCGCAATCGCGAACCTGAAATTGCCTACGAGCCAAAAGGCCGTCGTGAACGAAAGCAAGTGGACTACACAATCAAGCCAATGGATCAAATATATGCTCAGGATGATGATTTAGAAGAGTCAGCGCCAGCTCCTTCTGCCAGGGGTCGTGCCGTTCGTGGTGGTGCGAGCAAACCGTGGGAACATAATTTACATGCAACTTATGGTCCTTTTGGAGGTGGAATTGGATCAGCTCCGCTCATTGGTGGTCCTTGGGGCAGCGGCGCTATCGGCGCTGATTCGGATGATAGCGATGACGAGAATATGCAACATCCAGCTGTTCCGGGCGTTGCGATGACACCCACCTCTGCAAGACATGGATTGCTCCCCTTTATGCCGCAAGCAAATCAACTCGATCAGACTCCAATCGGCGTTGGTGCACAGGTTGGAAAAGTCAAAAGCCAGAAAGCTCTCGCAGATGCAGATCCTCTCGGCGTCGATCAAGACGTTGATTTCAGCAAAGTCGGTGGACTCGAAGGGCACATTGAACAGCTTAAGGAAATGGTACAAATGCCTTTATTGTATCCTGAACTTTTCCAGAAGTTCCACGTAACACCTCCCCGTGGTGTACTATTTCATGGTCCTCCTGGTACTGGTAAAACACTCTTGGCAAGGGCTCTGGCAGCGACCGTGGGATCAGGTGGTCAGAAGGTCACATTCTATATGCGGAAAGGTGCTGATGCATTAAGTAAATGGGTTGGTGAAGCCGAGAGACAGCTTCGACTGTTATTCGAAGAGGCGAGGAGAACACAGCCAAGTATCATTTTCTTTGATGAAATAGATGGTCTCGCCCCTGTTCGATCCAGTAAGCAAGAGCAGATTCATGCTTCTATTGTTTCTACGCTTCTGGCCCTTATGGATGGTATGGATGGTCGAGGACAAGTTATTGTTATTGGAGCAACAAACAGACCCGATAACATTGACCCAGCCTTGAGAAGACCAGGTCGATTCGATCGAGAATTCTATTTTCCATTGCCTGACATCGAGGGTCGAAAATCAATCATCAATATTCATACCAAAGATTGGGGTATTGATGATAATTTCAAGACTTCTTTAGCTCAAGTTACCAAGGGATATGGTGGTGCTGATCTTCGTGCTCTGTGTACACAAGCTGCCCTCAATTCTATCCAACGTTCATATCCTCAAATTTATTCTTCCAACGACAAGCTCAAGGTGGACACCTCGAAAATTAAGGTAACGGCCAAGGATTTCATGATCTCGGTCAAGAAGATTGTACCATCGTCTGAGCGTTCAACTTCTTCTGGAGCCAAACCATTGCCGAAGAATGTTGAGCCTCTCCTTCGAGACCAACTGAAGTCGATCGAAGACATTGTTGATAACTTGATTCCTATCAAAAAGAAGACAACTGCCTTGGAAGAAGCAATGTATGAACAATACGAAGACGAAGATGGAGGGTTCAGTAGAGAAGAAATGGCCCAAGAGTTTGAGAAGTCACGAGTATTTCGCCCAAGATTACTCATTGACGGTGAGCCTGGCATGGGACAAGCATATATTGGGGGTGCTTTGTTGAATCATTTCGAGGGACTACATGTTCAGAGTTTTGACCTTCCAACTATATATCTGGATTCGACTAGGGTATGTATTATTTCCTACTGTTTTCTCTGATTCGTATGCTGACGTATAATTAGTCTGCGGAGACAGCTATCGTTCAATTATTTGCAGAAGTCAAACGCCATAAACCAAGCGTTATCTACCTGCCAGCAATTGATACTTGGTATCGCACTCTTCCAGAAAATGTGATTACCACATTCCTTGGTCTACTTAATGCGATCCCATCTTCAGATCCTGTGTTAGTTCTCGGTATAACAAATACTGGCTCGGATGAGCATAATCCAAATATGCTGCGTGATATATTTGGCTTTTCAAGACGTAATCGCTTCACCATCGATCGACCACAGAAAGTAAGTAACAGTGTATGGCTGTTGTTCGCAAATCATTAATGAAACCTACAGGAATTACGAAAGGAATTCTTTCAGAGCATTATTTCGTATTTGAGCAAAACACCAAACGAATTTCCTGATCCAGCCAATCGTAAGAAGCGTAAGCTTGAGCCGCTCGAGCTGGCCCCACCACCGCCGCCACCAAAGGGACCTTCCAAAGAGGACATCAAGGCACGATTGAAGGCTGATCTCCACATATTGAATCTTTTGAAGGTACAAATTCAGCCCATCATGGATCAAATCCATAGAAAGTACAGGAAGTTTCGGACGCCTGTTCTTCAAAACAGTCAGTTCCAATACCTCTTTGACGAGCAAGATCCAAACTACGTCCAACCAGATATACCTCAATTCCGACCATTTGAGTTGGCTCTTGATAGAAAAGGAAACAAATGTCTTCGTGAAACGGCAAGTGGAAAGATATATTACAATTTAGATACCACTACGATCGAAGAACGATTAGTTAATGGTTTTTACGCTCGACCAAAGGATTTTGTATTCGATATCAAAACTCTTGTTAGAGATGCCAAGGCTATTGGCGACAAAGACCGCCTGCTTAGAGCTAAAGAAATGCTTGCTAATGTTGAAGTTGACCTTTACGCGTACGAGCATGATCCTAAGTTTGCAGATTGCGAGAACTTATACCATCGTCAGCTACAACGAGCCAAGGAAGTGGAGGCGAAATATGGAAAGAAGGCTCGAGGCATCGTTGGGACAGATCTAGTGCGTTCAGGTATCTTCTCGGAGGAATATGGCTTGGGATCAAATTCTCCCGGAGCAATAAACTTGAACCAAATTATTCCTGGTAGACGCCCAGGTTCTGCTGTTCCATCTTTCCAAGCATTTAACCCCGATATCACTCAAGGAAGTAGTGAGCAGAATGCTACCATCCAACGATCTTTCATCAATGGATCTTCTGTTCCATCTCGAGCAAGTGGAGAAGATTCTTTGATGAGTGGAACAAACGACAATGCCTCGGATTATTCCCAGAGTTCTCCTGCTCTACCGCGTCAGCAATGGCCACCGAAATCAGCAATGGCACCATCGAGCATGTCGAATGTTGCTACTGGATTTAATTCTCAGCGATCTGCATGGCAAGAAATCTCACACGACACGTCTATTGGCGCATTGGTGAACAATGCTTCTCCAACAAGTTCTGGAAAGAAAACATCAGAGGCAACGACTTCAAAGAGAACCTCGACAAATTGGAGTACACAGGCTACAAACGGGACTCGCCCTGGCGCCTCAAGTCCGATAGATGGGCAGAGACACGATGCTGATCTATTGGACACACAGAGGTACTCACAGAACGCAAGCACGCAAAACACAAATGTAGCTGAGGGAGAAAGAAGTAGCAACGAGGAATGGCTTCACTCACAAGCACATGCTCTTGCGCGTGGCCATCTTGGGTTTCCATCTCAGACGCCAAGTACACGCAATTCACAAGATAAACCACCTGTACCACCCTTCAATGCTCCTTCACGAAATTCCCAAGACAACGGCGTCACGGATGATTCGCTCGTTGAAGCCAGTTCTACGCAATCATCTTCTCAAAAGACATACATCTTTAATGAATTTCTTGCAAATGAACTACTGGACAAGCTCACCGACGGATCAAGTGGTTGTTCGATTGAACAATTGGAACAAATATATCGTGAATTAATGGACTATATATGGAAGATGAGAGGGGAGTGGAACAGAAGTACAATATGTGTCGGATTGACCAGAGTATTCAATGACACAATATTGGATATCGAGGCGATGCAAAAGGTTGGCAAACCAAGTCAAGAAGACCCAGATTCGCCTCGTTCGACCCAGTAGGAGTTGTATGCCGGACAATAGCGACGAGGGATGGGTTGGAATATTGAGAGGCTAGATGCATTGAAAATTAAGCATGGCGTTCGATAGGACTTTTTATTATTACAGGTTGCTTGAGCAAACAATTGATAGCATAAGGAGATGTATTTTGTTGTATAAGCTATCCTAAAGAGTGTGAGGGCTGAAGCTTGCGTGTTTGTCTGTGTGTATTGATTCGGTATGATAGATGATTATGTTTTACGGTACTTGTTGTTTGGTATATCATATATGATCTTGTTCTGTATTCGTGATTAGGAGAATATAATGAAAGCCTTCCCTCTGAATATCATCTATTTATTTATCCATCCATCAACAGGAAATTTATCATTCACAAGTCGAGGGTGAGCAACTATGGATGTGAAAAGCAGAAATTAGTGTATTGGAAAGAAGCAGGTACCTATTTGTTGTAAAAACGAACGAGAGTAAGGAAGGGGAAGTGGGATGGCCTAGGTTATGTAGTGAAATGTGTTTATCGTTGGGGTAGAAGAGGTAGGTGTTAGGGGTGGGTATTAGGTAGGCAGGTATAAGGCAGGTAGGTATGAATGAGAAATTGGGGAAGGGATGAGTGGGTATATTGGGTAGATGTAGGGGGGAGAATATGAGTGGATCATGGTGAGTATGTGTGTAGTGCTGGTAGATGCGATGTATTGGTTGATGGGGTTTGGTGGGGTTTGTGTGTATATTGGAGAAAGGAGGGGAGAAGAAGTGTAAAAGTTATAATTATATGAGCATGAGCATGAGCATGAGCATGAGAATGAGAATGATAGTAATAGTAGCGGAGGGGTGGGGTGGGTATGAAACTAGCTGGTGATAGAGATTGAGAGGGATGATCATGGGTTGTGTTGAGTATCTGCATGGGAATTTAGGATTTATGTGCGCATTTTGATAGTTGTATATGTAAGACATGATGCGCGGTTGAGATGTGCGGATCTCGGTCTAGTTGGCTATATCAACGATCGCCGGTTAAGTTTGGGAGAATTCTGATGGTCGGACAAACGGATTGATAGATAGAGGGATTGGCTTTTCTATGTACATCTGAAGGCGAATCCGGTTTGAGGCACCAGAGATCCTGGGTTCATGGACGTGGTGATAGTCACAATTGATGCATGCATGAATATCTGTTTGGAATCCAGGTATTTTCCAGATGCAGCAGCTTCATTGTAGATGAATTTTCAATTTCAATTTCAGTTTTGATATCGCTAATTTGGTCTTGAACTAATTTGGCCCAAATTAATATGGTAAAACGCATGCTGTCTGTATGTCGACTACAATGAATAGTTTGATTTCGGGAAACCAGGGACTATCCATCTAAACAAAAGAAAAAAAGCACACCAGCAATATCTCGAGCAACTTCTACCCCCATGATTATTTTGCCGTCACCGACTCAAAGCCTTTCGTGTTTCATTGACTTCTTGGAAGACTGCATGGCGAAATCAATCTGGCTCGATTGAAACACTTAGCTTTCTCGAGTGCAACGGTTTCCCCCAACTATTTCCCTCATTGCCCTCCGATCGTTCACAGCCTGATTGACAAAGATTACAAGGTTTTCATATCGTTTGGCCGATAGGAATAAGTTTGTGCTTACAAACGGAGACTTGAATCTGTCGAAAAACTTTGCGAAGAGGACATTGAAGGCTTCATCATTCTCGGGGCTGTGGGTGTACTCCGTGTTGAAGTCACAACGGTACATTGTAGCATGCGAATTGAGAACTTCAAGAATAACTCGATCGGGGCCAGCTTCGGAGAGTGAGTATATCGTTCCCCATTCGTGTGGTGTGACGCGATGCGAATTGGTGAAGTCTACATAACGTCCACCTCCAATATTCCAACCAGCACGATCTGGATCGATCTTGAATAGCGCAAAATCGGTTGCGATGTCTCCTTTGTGGCACGCATCATTGCGTGCATCGTTTACCTTTCTGTCGGCTGGAGCACGGCCTTTGATGTCATGGAATCCGTCATCGTCGCGGAAATGGCGTGCAGTATGGGAAGATCCGTGGCGGACACGAGAACAAGAGTTCGCGACCACTTTGTGGTGTACGACTTTTTCTTCGAGTTGTTTCAATTCTTCTTTGAGAGTGGCATTTTCTGGTCGGAATTTGTGGTTGCGGGTCTGCAATTTATCGATAATCGTTTTGTCTTGCTTCTTTTCAGCTTTGAGTTTGATCAGGGTTTGTTTCGAGTCATCGAGTTCGTTCTGGAAAAAGCGGTTGTCTTCAAGGGGCTGCGAAATGGCGGCTTTATCATCCGAGCTCTCGGTAGGTTGGCTAAGAGAGGATGGATCTGCGCTGACGGTGATCCCTAGTGCGGATGAAATCTCAAGTTTAATTTCCTTATCGAAGTTAGTTTTGGACTTATCATGAATATTGCACAGTCAATTCTTACTTCTAAACGCTCCTTCAAATGTTTCTTCTGGATAGCAACACGCTCTCTTTCAGCGGTGATAAATCCTCGATCGTGCTCAGCGATATCTGATGCAGAAACTTTCTTCAACTCCTCGAGTGGCAAGGTGAGACCAAATTTGGCGTTTGTTTCTCGAATTTTACGATTGGGATTGCCATTGATTTCCTACGGAACATATCAGTAAAAGAATCAACGTGCCGATTCGAAGAGGCCAGTGAGTTTTCTACTTACGGAGAACATGGACTCAAGATGGCGAATAAGAGCCTTTCTCTGCTCGAGAAGTTTGCTCTGAATGGCTTGTTCGAACTTCACTCCAAAAATATTGACACACTCGTGCTGAAGTCTCTGAAACTCCTCAGCGAGATTTATGACAGAAAGAGCATCTGTGTTATGAGGCTTGATCACTGCAAGAGCAGCAGGAGTAGTGTCAAGCATGATCGCGGAATGACACGCTGAACCTTAGAGACCGAGGAGTTGAGGAAAATGAAAAGTAAACGGGAGTTGTTGAAGGAAAGGAAAAGTTTGTTTTGTTACAAAGTCGCGTGTGGGATATAGTTTTGAGAAAATGCTAAGCGAGAATTCCGTATGAAACTCCCACCTATCCATACTATTGTGTCCAAAGAAGAGGCGCTCGCCCTTCTAATCTTGGGGGCAAAGCTGAAAACTCTCACCTGCTTGAATACTAGTTAGTCTTTCGCGGTAAATGCGGAGTGCTCTTGTTGTATTGTTGCTTAGTGAATATAAATCTTCGACTGTTTGATAGTAGCGGGGTCATTTACACATGGATGACATGTCACATTGTCACTTAATCCAACAGCATTGCGGTCTCACCTTCAAGTAGCCAGATGAGTTGAAGAAGAGTCACTCATCATTACGACTGAAATATTCACGTGTTCAGAAAAGAGGCGCATTATAGTCAAGTATTGTTCCTACTCTAGATGATATTATGTTATCATTCTGCTGGTACAGCTTTCATCTTTCCTTTCCCAAATCAGAATAAGACCAGAACCTCAAATTTTACCGTTTGAAAAAATCGATTGAAGAGAATCTACCTGCACTGTTCATAGGGCTCATATTATATGTAGACCTGTTGGATCAGGATTCAGAGACCGATTGGTCAGAAACCGACTGCTCAGAATCCGATTGTTCAGACACCGGTTCTGACTTTGCATCCCTCTGCATTCGCTTGATATCCTGCACAATCTCTAGCATTTCATTGAATGTTTGGATTTGGTCCTCCCCATCCTGCGAGTCGAAGATACGACCTTTATCCTTCGCGTTAGGCGCCTCAATCGTATCGAATTGAAGCAAACCTTGTGTAAACAAGTTTTGAAACAAAGAATCTCGAGTCTCGGAGAGTGTCTTCTCAGTAAAAGAACCAGATTCCACAAGCATAGCATGCATGTTGAACATCTCATCCAGTCTGTCAGATACTTTGTACAAGGGACGGTATTCACCAACAGAAACGCCATACATGTTGAGAAACATTTCATGACTGATGACGGGACCGCTCACGATTTCCTTCTCGCATAGAAGAATAGAGGCAAGATGTGCATCGATGTGACCTCCAGTTGCGGCATAATCTCCATTACGTACAAGAATTTCGTTGAATGGAAGATGACTGTTGCCGAGTGATGTAAAAACGCCATCGCGCTTGATTCTCTTCATGTTCTCTGCGTTTCGTGCTAAGATGGGAAGGCCGACCTCTTCGACTATAACACAAAGTCGGTCTCTGTCTCCTTCTATCTGTGCTAAATTGTGTACGAGTTGTCCGCGCACTTCATCAGCGTCATCTAAGGCGTTCTTATACTCTTGAAGAGAGTCTTCACTGAAAGAAATCTCAGAAGCTAGTCTTTCAATCGTGGCTTGAGTTTCGAGTTTAAAGCGATCGAAATTTCCCTCCCATTCTTGGATTTTTCGCTCCGTATTCTGAATTTGGAGTCTGAGGGATGTGTCCTCTTCGATTGTTGCCCTATGAATTTCTTCTTCTGTCTGATTGTCTTCACTAAAGACACGACTCAATATATCAGAGGATTCTTCTCCGTTAATTGTAGCCCAAGAGCCATCTCGATTTTGTGGAGCGTCCTCGACGAAAGGATCATCAAGTGGAGTTTCTGCTACATATGAGACCTGATCGCTATCCATGGAAATTGGCGAAGGAGGAGCAAGTGGTACGTGGCCTTCAACACTGTCATCGCGCAATATGTCGAGTTTCTGCTTTCGAATATCCTCTTTTGTTGATAATAGTGCAGCTTTTGTATCCTGAGCAATAGAACGCTTGGTCCTAATGTACATCTCCTTGCGCATTGATAGGTTTCTATCTCGGCTAGCTTGATCAGGATGTTCGATTGATTCGTCTACTTTTCCCACGGCGTCAAACCAAATTTTAGCTCTCGAAATGACTTTATCGTCCCGGAGATTGAAGATTTCTCGATCGATAACAGCTTCTCTAGCGATCAACTTTTCAAGAAGAGCTTCCTGTGTATCGGGAATAGTAGAGGATCCTTGCATGCCCCCCTCGATAATTTGATTCAATTCTTTCAGGTCATCTTGATCATGTTTGATGGTATCATGAAGCTCTTGGATTTGTGTGCGCAGTTCTTCGACTTCGTTCTTCATCTTCGACTCGGATGATTTGTGGCTCTCGAGCTCAGACTTGGCTTGCTCATGCTGGTTTATCAAGACGGATATGGCTTTCTTGGATTCGTTGGTTATGTAGGAGCTGGGATTTTCGGTAATTGGCTTGGCGCGGTTTATGTTTTGACTAAGGAGGGCAAGGGGTCGCTAGATTGGGAAAAAGGTTAGTATTGGTAAATTGGGAACTTGTGATCTTGTGGTAAGGTTGAGATAGTACTTACTCTGATATCCTCTTGAATGGAGGATTTTATGCCCTTGACTTTCTTGGTGGTAGAAGGACCAAGGAACGTCATTGTGTGAAGACTTCAAGTGATGGTTTGTGATTGAAGTATAGATGTTGAAGTGGTGATGTGGATATTTTGGTTCCGGTGTATTGGTATCGATGGACTGGTATCGAAGATGATGTGAGAAATAGGAAGTTGGATTCAGGTCGTGCATGGTTCTTAAATGCCCAAGGGATGAATAGTCTACTACTACAAACTGCTTAATGCTTTCAAGTACGGCTGTCAGATAGCAGTATTATGACCGTACCTGAAGCAATCTTCATAAGTACAGCAAGTTCACAGGCTGATCAGGTTAAGTGAGTCGGAAGACCGTAGAACGCCGGGAGACAGTAGAACGCAAATTAGACTTAAACTTTTGAGATTCTGGAGGTTGGGGAGTAGCTAGATAGAACAAAAAGGGAGAATTGAATCCACGAGTTGGAATGGACATGGTAGCAGTAGCACACTATTCAATAGCAGACATGTATCATCAGAAAGCATTTGCAATCAGTCACGAAGATATTGAGCAGTGTTGTGTTTTGATCGTGTTTGATTTTGCCCGTCGCCATAATACAACCGTAGATCTGTGTTTGCTCCAAAGCTTTTCACAGGCTTGCCTGTTTCATCTTAATTTGGCTAACTAATCAGAGCTATTCTCTGTTGAGATAACAACCAACCCTTAAACCTTTACTCGCTCCTGAGTCTTTGCTTCTCTAGGCCAACAATGTGATCAGAAATATTTCGCATGGTGACAAGGTGTACATCGATGTCCTGGTTGTTATTAAAGGCATCTTGTGCTTTAGCTGCCGATCCTAATTGTGCGAAATATTCTTGATAAATCATATCACACTGATATCGTAAACCATCAAACCTATCATCCATTTCCTTATCATGTGTAAGTTCGGAGAACGACAAACAGTGCGACATTGTGCCTCTCAAATCCGCTATTTCGACATGTTTGGAGCCAAGACGATATTTGCCATCTCTTCCTTGAGAAACCTCGTCAATAGAGACACCATAAATACGCAAGAAAAGTAATTCATAGTCATCGTCGAACTTGTTGTGTATGTTATTCCGAATCATGAAGGCATCAGTTCGGACATCTCCACCATGTACAGCAGCTGAGCCGCGCTCAATGGCGCCTACGTCGGTAAATTTCAGACCATGTACTGCTGTATACTTGCCACGATTGTTGCGTCGAGTTGCTTGATTCAGAAAGCGAAGGCGGACATTAACGGCAAGTGTACGGAGATCATGATTTGGATGATTCTTCCCGTTGAGCTTGTAGTCTAGGCTCTCAATTTCTGTGTATGCATCGGCAAGCGATGCCCGTGTCGATTCAAGTTCATCCTCGGTAGCAGAAAGTCCCAACACAAGTTCAGCCTTTTCGTCTTCAACTTGTTCCAATTTCTGCTTCAAGGTTAAGATTTCTTGTGATGATGTACTACCAGTATAGGGTTTGAGGCTTCTAACTCGTGCTGATTCATACTTGGCCTTTGCAAGTTCTAATTTGAGAAGAGCATTTTCAGCTAAGACGGCGACTAACGACCGAGTGTGATCGGTGGAAGCTTCAATGTTATTATCAACTGTAGAGGTCATAGACTTTGGATTATCGAGAAGGACGTTGATACTTTTCAAGATCTCCTGAATCATGGACCGCTAGTTAGCAACTACTATGTATCAGGCTGTGAGAATTTTGATGATACTTGCTTACCTTTTTCTGCTCGTGGTAAGTGGAAATATTTCTAGACTTTTCGGCCATAAGACTCTCGACCATATTTTTCATGCTTTCTTCCCATGCTTTGTTGATACTCTGCTCATCGTCTTGCGTTCCTAGAGTAACTTCGATATTATCATGTGTGAATTTCATCAAATTTAATTGAGTCTGACCACCGGAAAGTAATCCCAGAAAGCTCTTTAAAATAATTAGTACTTTATCGAAGTAACTGGGTGTAATGATTTTTACCTTGAACAATTGATTAACGCTCTCATACCAGCTGTATTTTCTGGCTGCAAAACTGTTCAGCTTCTGCTGATGCTCGTAGTTGACGCGTAGAAGATTGATATCGAGAGCATTGGATTTGTCGTGCAATTTAAAGAGTTGACTAGCCTCTTCGTTGAACGTGGCGAGGGCCTCTTGAGGAAGATCGGGATCCATCATTGTGATGAGTCTGAAATGAAGATGGAGAATGGGGACTGGAGTTGTTTTTCTCAAGAGTCTAGAGGATAAAATAAGTGTTAAGTATCCCCACTCTTAAGTTAACCGATTCTACATCTACTCCATTTACTTTTCGGGGTTTGATTGACGGTGAATTATCACGATTGTTTATGAAGTAAGAGAAAAGCAACATTATGGATTTTATTTATTCACTCGCCAGTACCACATGTACATGTATCATCCATGCAGGAGGATGTGAACATATGAGAAGAGATTGATTGAAGAAGACCCCTCCTTTCAAATATTATATTCGATATCCCGACGTCTGTTTCTCCGTCTTTTATCTAACATGCTGACTTCCTCTGCAATTTTGCGCATTAAAACAATTTTCTGTTCCACCTCAGGGTCGGCATCAAACAACTTTGGTGATTTCTGATCCTTCTTCGCATCATTCATCGTAATGTAGATCTGTCGCAATAATGAAGAGAATTGGGTATCTTGATAAGACGATCTAGATGATTCTGTGAACGAAAAGCAAAACAACATTGTACCTCGTAGATTTAGAGCCTCTGTCAACTTTCTATATACCAGAGGATCTGGATCAAGACCAAGAGGTCCCAGATAGTAAATGCTGCGGAAGAATGCCTCATCCATCTTTGCACATCTATATCCTAGTTTGTATAGAGAGGCGTCGGCCTTTATATTTCCACGGTGACAAGCGATATTTCCCTTTTCAATGATTTTGATATCGACCTTTTTGCGGATATGTGAGAACTCGTCATTTGAACCTTCAAATATTCTACGACCTTTGGCCTGCTCCAGAGCGCGGCAGCGAACAGCAGCGTCGACTTCTGCTAGATACTCCAAATATGGTCTTCTCCACTCATGTTTCAGGAACATGGGATTGTAATCTTCCAGCTGTTGCCGTAGTTTTGCTTCTCTGTCTTTGTGAAGTTTACGTTCCGTCTCGAATTGGGCGAATTGGGTAACTAATTTTGCTTTGAGCGCGTCAATCGCAGCTTGAGCATCGGCGACTCTATGGTAACGAGAGATCATGCGGTTTTATTGCAGAGGTATATTAAGCAGCGTAATTTAAATTGATCTATGGGTAAGAATCGAGGATAATAAACACACTTCAGCTTTGTAAAGAGGAACAGTCAGCAGCTTCCAAATATAAAGACAAACTCCCCCAAGAAGTTTCTTTGACCCTCGAACCAATGTTGATAAACAGTATTTTCTAGTACCAAGATTAACGGGAGCTTTGGGTTGAACTGATTGAGAAGACATAACCTGGTAATTATCGATGAGTTAATCATGGATGATGAAGGCAAAAAGATGTAGACCAGAAATATTCCTTTCAGAAACTAAAATCACCTTGTCGTTTTCAAACTTCCATCGGGACTTTTAGCTCAATTACTATGATTTTACTCCACTTTCAAGTCATTGAATAGCACCTTGATGCCCTTTTATAATAGTTGAATTAGACGAAGCTAATTATCATGATCGCTATCCACCCTCTAACCATACTCATCATCGTAAAATCAGCTCTAGTACAGTATATGTACCCAGACAATGCTATGCTAAAAGTTTGCTCCGTAAGATCATTGCTCATCAATCTCGATCTGTATGTATACCTTTATCTGACACTATCACCACCGCCGACATCAGTTCCAGCCCTTAGTCCTCCACCACCCCACTCTCAAATATATCTGCCACCAATACCACCACCCGTGAATAAATTCGAACGATGGCCACCACTCTTGGTTCTTTCGACGAGGGAGTCACAGATTCCACGCATCTTGTTACAAGCTTCAATAACTCTGAGATCGCTACTGAATGTCTTCGCTGCTTGGAGAGCTGTTGTTGATCTTCGATCTACATCTTCGTACTTTCCTTCACAATATACCGACAAAGCCAAGAATCTATCGTCGGCGTCCTTATCAGGCGTGTGTCTCGTGAAACATCCTAGGTGTGCCATTGTTCCTCTCAAGTTCGCCATCTCAGTGACCTTGCACTGTGGAGCATACTTGTTAGAGCAGCCCTTTGTAACCTCGCTGAATGCAACTCCGTAGATATCCTTGAATGTTTGTTCGAACTTGACTCGATGGTTTGAGTTGATGCTCAGAAGAGCCGCATCTGCTCGAATATTTCCTCCGTATAGACTACTTCCATCAGTACTCTTGTTCTTAGCACCAAGTTCCATATTGAGTTCTGGAGTAGAACTGCTAGAAACAATTCTATGATGAGTATGATGGCGTATGACTGGATACTCATGCGCCTTAGAAAGCTGTAGGAATTCGAGGCGAGTTTCGACTCCGACATCTCGGAGTATATTGTGTGGCTCCCTACCACTCTTCATATTCTCCAAGGACCTAGACAATCTTTTGACTTCCTCCCGCAACTGTTCGCTGGTATCATCGAAGGTAACTTTGCGTGCTGATGACCACCACGATCGTGGCTGTGGCTGTGGCTGAGCTTGTGTTTGTGTTTGTGTTTGTGTTTGTAGTTGTGCCTGTGCTGATTCCAGTTCACATTCCAACTTTCTGTTTTCTTCAGCATATTTTCTATTTGTCTTAACATGCTCGTCTCTATTCTCTGCAATCTGTTCCAAAAGCTTCTGTGTTGAATCCAAAGATTCAGAAACCTCTACATTCTCTTGGATGAGTTTGTAATTTTCATATTCGAGGGTTCTGTATTCTTCCCTAGCTTCTGCGAGCTGTCTCTGCGCAGCACGAAGTTGATCCGACATTCGAGAATTCTCCCTCTCGAACTTCAGGTCCGGCGTCGGCTGACGAAAGGATGTATGATGGGTAACATGTGCCGGGGTTATGTGGGAGCTGTAGCCTAAATCACTAAAGCATGCGTCAAAGGATTCATCTCTCGGACTGAAGCCTAGAATGTGATTCTTTTCTCTCAAGATTTCCTGTACAGACCATCAGTATAGAGCGATTGGGGAGTATATCATTGAAACTTACACGCAACCGGGAGCCGAACTCTTCTTTACTCCGCTCCCAATCAGCCATTTCTCTCTTCTTCTGCTCTTCGTACTTTGCCACATCATACATATCAATAACTCTCTTCACATCATGTGCGCTTGTTTTCGGGCCAATCTTAACTGTACGTCTTTTGCCGTGTTTATCCTGGATTGTAAACTCAGCAGGCGCTAAGAGAGTGCTGTTCTGTGAGGCATTCTACAGTATATGTGAGTCATTAAACTTCAGACCATATAGAGCTATGGAGTGACAAACGATGATCATCTTGCTCCACATTTCCTTGCTACCATACTTATCATCATGAATCTTTACGGCACTATTCTTCATGCGATAAAAATTCTCGAGTTGGACCAGTTCAATCTTTTCGTTTTGTCTATTAAGTTCAACAACTTTATCTCTGTCTCTCTCATGGTCTCTTCTTAAATCTCTGTCGGAAGTCATGATACCAGAACTGGTCAGTTCAAGGAGATTCTGGTTGATAAGGCAAGTCTGCTATGGGTTATGGATGGATGTGTCTTTAGAAATATCCAGATATTTTCAAGACAAGAATGAAGGTAAAAGAAATTGAAGTTGTGGTTGTTTGTTGAAAGATTTCTAGAGAAAATATTGAACAGATTAGGTCCGAGCTCTAGACTACTTGCTCTACTTACTTGTTAATAGTCATAATTCACACACGTCACTGTTCCTAGCCGATGTGATTCCCTACTTATTTCGGTTTGGATTCACTGCTTTGAATTATATCCCTATCAGTTTCAAAACCAATCTATGCCTGGAGAGCTTGTCTAGATGATGTCTCTCCGCTAGCTTTCTCATGATCTTTAATTGGCCATCATTGAATCACAATCAATCATCATCTTTAAACCTCTACCAAGAACAGCCAAACTTTATGAGGCAGAATAAAAGACAATATCAATTAGACTAATGTACAAGTGCAAAGTCTTTGTTCAGTAAAATATCACCTTTATTTCCATTTAACCATTTCTGTACCGAGTGTGAAAATTTGTTGATTGTGCTCATCAAATTCACAGAAGGATCAAAGTGAATGAGAGAATTAGAAAGTCCGAGCTACTTAAAACATTCACCAATCCTCGATCATGGTGAATCTTGGATTCACATCATGCTAGTGATTAAGCGAGGCCCCTTACCTACTCCACCCCCCACTTCGGATGACAACATTTGAGAACCTGGGGCAAATACATAGAATGAGCGACCATCCGGTATTTCTCTGCAAGATATTGACCAAGGAAACTTTGATGAAGAGTGCAATTCCCTTCATTTATATTATTACATTGAAATTGAACCTGCAGATATCCATCTCAAATGCTTGGCAAACTTCAGAATCCAATTGACAGTGTATATATTCGAAATCGAGAAAGAGTCTGAGAGATTGAACAAACATATTTAAGGAAGTGGTGGCGATGGCGTTTTGTTAATTGAGTAATTGTTGCGACAAGGTGACGAGATCATTGGAATTCTCTAAATTACCTCGTCAGTAAAATTCAATGAAACATTGAGCCAGATCAATTAGGAACTCACATTTAACTCAAAGTAAGGGACTCTTACCTCTTCTAGATCTCTTGCCACGATGTGTATCAGGAGGGCTGGAACGCTTTGAACGAAATGATAGAGTTTGAGGAGGTCCATAACTAGAGGAAGGTGTTCCTGGGTTGGCACCATGCGTCAAAGCACCCTGCCGTCGAGATTTTGCGATGATGAGATCTGCGAACTCTCCAAGTCTCCGCAAGTGGCGAGCAACCTCCTCGTCTTTCTCAAATGCATCATCTCCTAGCTCTATGCGCTTATTCTTTAGAAAGTCCATGCTATCGCCTGCAGCTTGTTTGTCCCGAATTGACATCGACCCGTTATTCAAGGCATAAAGTGAAACAATGCTACCTTGATGATCAATTGCTTGAAGCATGCGTGGTGGCATATTCCCATAACTTTGAGGAGGTAAGCCATCGTAAATGAGACCATAAACCTCTTCCAGTTGTCTCTTTTCGCGGTCTGTGAGATAGTTTCCAGTGAACAAAGCAGAATCTACAGCGCCGTACGCCCTATGGGCCGCATCATTTCCTCTTTGAATAAACTTGACATCGAAATTTTGTTTGTGGAGACCCATAACCTGACCTTTGGCATGTTCAAGAAATCGAACCCGTACAGCAACACCAATGCGAGCCAGTGTGGTTGTATTTTTTGCTTGGATCTCCATTTCGGTTTTCACATTCTTTATTTCTTGCCTCAGGGCCTTTCGCTCAGTCTCGACGAGTTTGGCATGTTCGTCTGCATCCTCCAGCTGTTGTGTTTTATCTTTTATCTCCCGATCTTGCTCAATTATGCGGGCTTCCAGCTGTTGACATCTGTCTATCCAATGTGCTGAGTCCATGTTGATTTGAGCAATCAGACGACTAGATATTTATCGGAAAGGAATTCCGTCAATTTTGATTATGAAACTGCGCACTTGTGGAATTATAGACCGAATAAAAGCGTAATTATGAAGGGTATTAGGGTTTGCGTTGAAACAGATCTCACATGTGTGTGTAAATTAATATTTGTGTAATGTGGGGTAGAATTTGAAATCTTAAAAGAGGCGTGTATGTTCATCCCAGCCTTCTTAAAACCATAGCCTTTCTCTCCTTTGGATACAAAAAGCAAAAGGGGTTGCACCAAAAATACTCTTCATTCTGCCTTGCGCTCACCATTACAAGATATACATTCAAGTAGTAAAGAAGACTATCAAAATTACAGAGGTATGATCCCATGGATCTAACATGAGCTACTTTATAGGCTATTTTTCATTTGATGTCATTGTGGTTGAATTTTTTTTTTTTTTTTAGCTCTGCCGAACACTTGAGACGACATAGGTATAAGACGGTCATAACCATCAGATAAAGTGTAGATCGATTATAATATGAACAATAGCTTTGTCATGATTGATGTTCTCCTGGAAAATGAGAGCCAAAATCATCTCGGAAAGGCGCTCCGAGGTTAAGTATGATGGCAAGATAACAACGAGTCAAAGTAGCTTAGGCGAAGGATGAAACGGTAAAGCGTGAGTTCGATCATCACAAGGAAATTTTGATATAACACAACAGCTGGTGAGTTTTTCCAAACTGGATGATCTGCATCAAGTGAGCGGAGGGACATGGGGAAACTGTACTTTTGTTCACTTTACTTTAGCTTCGACAGCGGGTTACCAAGTATGAATTAAGCGTGGCACGACTTATTAGTGTATTGTTTCTTACTTTATACTTGGTGGCAAAAGAAATAATAAAATTTTCATAAAGGATTAGTTTATTAGCATGGCGGAGAAGGGCACTTTATCACTTGATATTGAATTGGGAATTTTTAAGGTACCAGGAAAAGACGACATCTAGTCGTTTGATTTGATTTGAGTTGCGAGCACCACTAGGGCTCAAATTCCATGAAGTCCAGCTTCATGAAGACCTTTTAACCTCACCTCCCGTTCCCGAATCGTCGATCCAAAACCTAACGCCGGCTGGCGCCAGTGTTGTTTGAATTAGACTTGGATTAATCGAGCTTGATCGGGATGTTTCCATACTCAGGAGTCGATGGAGTCGGGTGTGGGAATGCTGGCATGAGTCTATACTCACCTGGGCGGACCTCGACCATGGTGAGGTTGACTTGAGTGTTACTGGAAGGCATGATGAAGGAAGTTGGGATTGAGAGACTTGAACGTTTCGAAATGTTTCTTTGAATGTCTTCTGGAAAGATGTGGAAAGTAAGGCTGTTGTTGGTAATACTGTTACTGACTAAGGATGCTTGGAATGGACTGAAGGAGAAATAGTTAAGTGGTATATTCAAAAGATATATACTAGACTACCATTAATTGTTTCGGCACACTTTCTGATGTTGGGAACAATGCTATTGTGCGTTGGCCTTTGTCATGCACCGAACCGGTATATCTCCTACCTCGAAAACAAGGGCATTGTTCATAAGTCTTTGTTCGACTATACAAGTGTAACAAAGAACTCGAGGGGAGTCTTCCGGAACTCTCAAAATCAATGCTGTAAACAACCTACGAAACAAAGAGATACTGCACAGGAGTGTTCTCTAATCATTACTGTCAAAGGGAATTTTTTTTAGAAAACCGAATTCCAACTTTCTACAGGCACTGACTACATAGATTCTAAATGATGAACCTATTGGGGGAAAGAGTGGGTTTCCATTGTCCGATGACTTGAGAATAAAACTGTTGTCTCAACCAGATCCAAGACTAGGGCCGGTTCCCCATATGCTCGAGTTCACAACTATCGGAAATGTTGCTGATATTCCCACTTCATTCTTGAGATTACAATATGCAACAAGCGTTTAGGATTACCAGTCAACCCTAGACGCAAATAACTATCATTCTACAAACAATGTGCCCATTTTAAGACAGCTACTATCTTACCATAACCACAATATTTGCTAGTATCATGCAATTTTACATCTACAGATCACCCCACGAATCAATTTCTTACCTGTTAATGAGTACACGGCGAAGCCAGATTCACAGTATAGACTTCTTTTCATAACTGAACCACAAGAGAATGCATCACGTAAAGGAGAATGAGTATGTGGTGGAGAGCTCTATGTTTAAGAAAATCACAATTTCGACAAGATTAAAATGCACTAAAAGTTTGTAGGAATCTTCAGCGAGAGGCAGACTGCCAAGGATGTTACATTAGGCCTAGAAAAACACAAGTAGTCATATGGTGAGGTGGTTGTTTGCTACGCAATGGGATGAATGTAACTATAAATATCGCAAGAGGGAGGTATCACTTGGTGCAGACTATGAGGGGAATTGGGGCTTATAGTTAATGGAAGGTTATTTATTTTGCAGGAATAATATGATCATTCCAAGAATTGGCTTCTTCAAATCTATCTATATCTACTCACTTGAGCTTTGAATCGAAGTACTCATCAAATTTTTTGCTTTCTGTTTTTTCCTGTTTTTTTTCTAAAAAAAAAGAAAAAGGACTAGTAATATAGCTTGCTCTCTTCAGTTACTAATTGTTGAGCTTGCTATGATAATTAACAATAGCCTTGTTCATGAAGGTATTTAAACGACATGGAAGGATTATGTGGAAAACAAAAAGTAAGGTGTAACATGAGGACTACTATAACTAGACGTCATATTGGTGGAAAGGATTACGAGGGTATGAAATGAATGTCACTTGGCAAAGATGCAAGTAAGGGGTTCAAATGAAAGGATTATAATATTAAAATAGGAATGAAAATTGATTTTTAACAATCATCAAAGAACAATGTATGCAAAGGAAATGGATGCGGGTTGTGTAGTGGGGTTGGGTGAGGGTAAAGCTTGCCAAACTCAAAAGGGATGGTCGTGGAAATAGTCAACACCGTATTGGCCAGTCGAATCGACAGTGCGCTGATCGATCCGCGTGAGCAAAATCTCGATTCTAGGGACTCTACTGATCAAGCCGGCATTGAATCGTGTTTGAAACCACCCGCGTGCAAGTCCTATATCCGACCTCATCTCTCTATGTATGTCGCGTACAAATAACTGGCTACCTGCATTGTTTGTTGCGTACGGAGGTGCGAACATGCCCCCGGGGAGGCGAGAAAAGCTGTACTGAATTCTCAAACATTCGAGGTTTCGGAAATATGCAGCGGGCCCTGCTTGATTCATCTGATCTTCATCAACTTGAATGAAAACAACATTGTCGACCTGTGCCATCGGTGCTTCGTGAGTGAGATCCGCAACTGGGGGAAGAATAGTAGGTGGAAATTCAAAGAGTCGGGTGGCGCCACCGTCAAAGTAAATAAGATCTGAACTTGGATTGAAATACCTGAACTGTTCAGGAAAACCATTGCCGTTGACGCCACCGAAAAGACGCCTGAGCTGTTTGAGAGCCTCTGTTCTGGATTCGTAATTTACATAGAGGATGGCTGGGTTCTGACGAGAATGTGCTCTGTTGTGTCTCATCGCATTGTCAGTGATTCTGATGGTTTGAGGCCCCGGAATGACTAACTCCCAAATCATGAGTCGAAGCTCTGGAGGTAAACTGGAAAATGCAAAACTTGTTGGTCTTGGAGGAGCTCGAACAACAGCATTTGAGCGGAAGCTTTGAGGAATAAGGGAACTTTCCCCGTCCGGAAGAGCATTGAATAGCTGGAGAGCCTGCTACGCTGGAGTGGGTGCGCGTCTATTCTCCCACCTGTTGATTGCAATTGCAATCGCTGGCCCCGGTGCGGGTTGAGCTGCAAGACTGCAATTCCGATCAGGCAGAGCATCTAGCATCGAGAGATTATCCTGCTGCGGATTGGATGTTCCTACGGCTTGCCATTTGTTTGTCAAAGCTCGGACTGTCCCTGGGACAATTGGATTTTGATTGTTCGAAGACATGGTCTTGAAGTTGAGAATCTGAAGATGGTTTGATATTCTGTTGATGTGGTTAGAGTATCGACTGACTATGTAGGAATGAGAATGGAGATATTAGAATGAGAAACGGCTAGATATATATAGGAGATAGCTCGAGCTGTTCCCATACAGTTTCTATATAACTCCCATACACTTTCCATATAGTTCACACACAGTTCAAATGGACTTGCAACATTTATCGAGTTAAAAAGACTACCGACACAATGTACGCTTGTGTGATGATTGTTCAGAACATTGGGCATCTAAATTGCTAATATCGACCTCAGGTCCCATTCAACGCGCACGATGATCCGAACAAGAACATGACGTATGTGAGAGCAGGAGATACTCAAGTATAGTTCTTTTACATTGCACGTAGCACTAAACAGGAGATCTATATCACGAAATTCCTTTAGAAAAACCAGGGACATTATTCCAAATTTTATTCGCTATTCTAACCCAACATAGTGATCCAGCATCCGATATATTAATCATTCAGACTATTGCCTACTCTGAGTTATTCGTCACTTAATCTGGGGGCCGGCTTCTTCGCTTGCTATTCCTAAATGCAATTTTAACAGCTTCCCAGATTTGAACCGCCTCTTTCTGTAGTTCCTCCACCCTCGCGATGCTTTCGAATTTCTCGCGTGATTCTGCGCGCTCCCAAATAACCATCATCTCTTTCAAAATCAAGCGAAGCTTTTGGTGATATGGGTAGTCCACCAGAAGCTCGCGAGATTGATGAATTGCGGCCGCGGTCTTGCAGTCCAGCACAAAGATCAGAGCGGAAGGGTATGTGTGCAGAACCAAAGAGTCCGCTGATGTTGGTACATGTCTCTTCCCATATATTCGTTGCATACTTTCATTGACTCGGTCAATAGATTCAACTGAAAGTCCAGCGTGCTGCGCCAGCAGAGAGTCTGCCTGTGTTAGATGTTAGTGATCGTGAAATCTTCAATGGAGTATGGTCACTCTTTCACTTACCTCGAAATTAGGGTCATGAGCTGCGACATTCCCTGACTCCACAATGCGTCCATCTAGAATTCTACCATTGTGACCTTCGAACATAAAGTGGATATTCTCAAGCCACCTCAGTCTCAAGGCTATCCCAATTCTTAGAAGGGGCTTGACCCTCTCGCTTGTCTCTCGGAGTGTTTCATGACTTAAGCGTAGTTGCTGATGTTCTTCGCTCAGCTTTTCCAAATCAGATACTAGTCCAAGATTCTTCTTCTGTTCTTCCTTCAAATTTGCCATGATCTTTTGATACTTTGAGTCTAGCGAAACAGACTTGTCGTGTAGCGCTTTATTCCTATTATCTGCTAGACGTAATTGCTCGCTATTCTCCTGCCTCTCGCTCTGTATCTGATCCTGTATCTGTTTAATGCTAACCTGGAAGTTATCTACTTGCAGTGTTGTTTTTTTCTGGTGATCTCTCCGCAATTTTTCAATAACCTTAACTGCAGAACTGCGCTCTGCTTTCAAATCTCTATTTTCATCGAGTGTCGATTGCAGTATTCTCCTCAATTGGGCAGCTGACTCGTTTCCCGAGAGGCCTGCCGCTTCTCTTGAAGGGTGCAACTCATAGCGAGTATTTTGCTTAATCATCATCAAAGCCCAAGAATCCCCTGTCTGTGGCTCACCCGTAGGTAGAGTGTGGTCGGTGACTACCACTATGTTTCCTTTGGTTCTGCATTTGGTACAGATGAAAATGTCGTGCATTTCCTTTCTCAAGTCTTTCACAATCTGAGCGTAGAATTCGGCCTTAGATTGGTGTGCATCATGGCTGGAATCTACAGGAGTAGACATTGGTGGCGATTTCGGAGATCGGGGAGGCTTGAATTGTTAAAGTGGGAATTTGTATGTACTCAAAATGTTTCTCGTAAGAATTCAGTTCCTCTTCGTGGTTGTGTGTGGAAGGTTAGAAAAAAAGAGTTCAACTATACAACTTTAAAGACTGCTGTGTGCTTTTGTACTCGAGTTCCTTGATTCTGAGATGATTGTGCAATTAAGCTATTCTATACTCTTATGTATAAATTGGCAAACAAGGCTCGAAAACAGGGTACAGTACCTGCAAATGAGATTTCTAATGCAATATAAGCGTCAACTTAACGACTCCAATAGTGTCATCTAATTCTAAATTGGCTCGGGCTATTTTTACCCGGCTATCCACCCTTGCTGTAGTAGTATTATGTGAATTGAAACTATTCATATTCAATAGTATAATACTTGCTTTAATATATAAATGTTGGTGAATCCGACCGCAGTTCATACAACTTATTGACCATTAATTTGAAAAACAGGATTATAGCATTTTTATGGACTTTTTCTGAGTTTGTGTCTGTGACAGGAGATGAGCAATCTAGAATAAACTATTGGAACTTCTCTTTTAGTCTTCTATACTAGATAAGTCTCTAGTAATCATATGTATAGACAGTTTGTAAGATCTTACATTCACAACAAAAGATTTATTATGCTACCAAGCTAGTTTGTGTCTAATTACACAAATCGAAAACTGCCAAGCACTTTGTTTGGTTCAATGAATGACATTCACAAGAACAGACAGCAAGAAATCTGTCGAATGTCAAGTATGGGTTTGATGAGTCATGTGTTGCAAGCCAAACAAAGACAACAGTATTATTACTGATTAGGTATCATCCGTCCATCATTACACCAAGCTCATCCAAATACACCTAAGAATTGATTTTCCATCATATCCAAAAAAGTATCCTATGATACAAGGAAACCGTATAGTCATTATGCGTCGCATTTCGCTACGTGAGTTTGACCCACCCCATTGCATCACTGGCATCCCACATTGGGGTTTCCATTCTCAGTACGCATTCTTTACGCAATCCATTATTAGATCTTTCGTAAGAGCACAGTATCGTTCGCAACATTCCTCCTTCTTTACCCGCGAGTAGGGCTACAGATGGAGGACGCTCGGCGGAGAAAACAGTAACAGTCATTGTGCCCTGAGATGTATGTAATTAGTTTGACAATTCGTTTGAGACCCGTAGAATGGTAAAACTTACGGTATCAATCAACGTGAACAGTCTGTGCCCGTGAGGAAGATCCGCCACATTGAAGTGAGGTTCCCCACCGATTCTCTCATCTGCTTTACCAGTGCAGTATGGTCCGCTAGAAGGTGTGTATTGAAGACGACCGATTGAGTTTCCGAAAGTAAGAGTCTCGATCTGATCAAGTGGAAGAGTTCCTTCAAAGCCGACAAGCCAAGGTGTGGCACCCCCTTATTCCATGGTTAGTATCAAACAGTCAAGCAGAGAGAAAATTACTCACAAACTTTTCCGCCGTAGAGAATTCGCACAGCGAAGGGTGCTGAGAGCAATATAATAAGTCCCAAGACTAAGAAGAAAGCCCCAAGTCCACCAACTGAGCCACCTTGAGCTACCAAAGCGCATCCCGCAATAAATAAAATTGGTCCAAATGCCAACGCCCAATCAGCGCCCAGCTTTTTCCAAGATCTTCTCCTCAGAGAATAAATTCTGGGAATGTCCTTCCAGCGAATAGAGATTGCATGGGCACCATCCAGAATCAAGGATCCGTCATGACAAACACCTGCGACCTGACAGAGAGGCTGGATGTCCCATAAATTGGCACCAAGATCATCTTCCAGATTGAACCACGCAGGTTTACCTGTCATGCGAATGCCATCCATACAAGCCATACGTTCGACGATTTGATCACTATCATTGGCCAGTGATAGTCGGGCAAGAGCTTGCTCTTCTGTGTCAGAAGGATCCATACGGGGGCGTTTCGTGAGAAGTGTCATAAGAGCGTAGGCAATGTCACCACGTTGAAACTCCGTGAACTGTCTAGACTTCAATGCTTTAAGAGCAACTTGAATCAGCTCAAGCCGACTTAACGATAGAGAACCAGTGTAGTGTTCAGCCAACAGACGGAAAATTTCGTCATTTCCATCGTGTATGATTTCATTGCTTGGTGTGAGCATTCTTGCCCATGATCGATGCGTGAACTCCATGATATCAACAACTTCTATTTTATCGACACCATCTTTGTTCTGAAAGTCGGGTGTGCAAATGCTAACTTTATGGTCTCGGGCAAGTAGAATCTCAGGTAGACACCAGAGACGTTGACCAAAGAACACTAGGGCTTGTGGAGAACGGTCGGGCAATACAACACAAACCTTCTCGGCCCCACGGGTGACATCACAGAATCGATGAACATCGTCGGTGGCTTCGGGTTGTAGTTCCGCTCTGCACTATAACACAAAGTCAGTAGTTGTTATTGCGCTAATTTAGTATAAAAACTTACATGGAAGTCTGCCCAATATGCCTCCATTCCATGATGCAACGTGAGCTTTCTTGCTCTTCGATCAATGGCCTCCTGATCTAACTCAGTCTTTCCAGGGTTTTGATCCGTTGGGGCAGGTCTTTGGTATTGGGCTGCTGCAAAACTAATGAAGATGTATGCACCAGAAAAGCTTCCATCTTCGACAACTTCCCATTTGTCGTTACGGAATACAACCAAGGCACGAGGTCGAAGAAGGCGATTCTGTTCACCCTTGATTATGTAGGTTTTATCTCCATCATCTTGGCGCTGTCCTTTGATCCACTGCGCTGCATTCGGGGCAGCATCTAGTTGATTCAGAGCATGCTTCGGATACTCATAGCATTTGTGAGGGAACTTGGTGTATTTGTCACTGTTTTTCCCATCGCCATTGGTAATCCCATATACAACAATAAATATTATGACAGGAAGGACGAGAATAGACCTTCCGATAGCCAAGGCGATGTCTTGGGCCGAGTCGAGTTCATTTCCGATGGCCCATGAAGATACTCTCAAAAGTGTGGGCGCATTCCCTCCAACACGTCGTCGCCTCCATTCTCCTTGGGGTTGGATGTCGGGACTGGAAGCTGCTTGTACAAGCATATGATATGGTTTGCCATAGGAAGGAGAGATATATCTAAGGAGATCTCGAGGTCGCCATGTCTCCCGATTTAACACATCTCTGTGAAAGTGTGTGGGTACTGGATCGAGGGGGCCTGCCTTTTCTGCATCCCTCAAGGTAGGGTTAGTGTAGGTAAACTGCTTGAACCAATGCCTTTGTCCATCGAAATGATGGTTGATATCTGCCGAGGTTGACATAATGGAAAGCCTTCGGGCACAAACTAGGGTCGGTGAATGGATTTATTTGTGATGAGAGGTTCGAGGACGTCAGTAAGGCCTTACAAAAATCTTTTCAATCGTGTGGACAGAACACGCGGAAAGTGGGAATTAATAAGGAAAAGATTCCTCGAAACAAGCCATCTTTTCCCCGGCATCCTCCACCAACTCTAGAAAAGAAATAGCATTCAGAATATTGTGATATGGACGCCGAGACCCTTAGAGCAAGGGTTTAACCCATTGAAACAATGAATTCTCTGGGTGGCTTAGGGCTGACTTGTCCCATGATATGTGCTCTGTATGACAGGTACCATACGGCGGGATAGTAAGCACCCAATGTTTATTTTTTAAAGATAAGAATTGAACATCAAAACCTCCTGCTTGTGCTATCTTTACAGATTTCACGAATGATTCCCATGTAACCAATCATCCGTCGATGAACTAAAAGTCGTTGCCTAAATAATGATATATGAGTGTATCAACGTCCTACATTGGGGAGAATAGGAAAGCCTGACCTATTATCGGAATGCCAAGATACTGAAAAGCAATATTTCAACCCCATTTTTGTCAGAAAAGGGATGCCCAGAAAGCCACAAGCCAGTATCCATGTCATTGCCGAAGGCTTACATTTCATGCATCAGAATGCTCCACGTGGGTTGAATCACCACCACAGCTTTGGAAGTAGTGCGTTGGCGCTTTCTTTCCCCAATATTGGACTATATTGATGTCGAGCTTAGTTCCTACTCCATACTTTATCACTGGGAGTTAAAAGATGAGGGGGTGGGTTACAAACACTAGCGAGCCGGTTAAAATCCGCATTTGTGTAAGCTCACGTGATTATTAGGCACTTTGATCGGATTCTATTTCGAGATTTCCAATTTCGCCAAACTTCAGCTCATGCAGCCACCAAGAACTTGTAAGACAACGTGCAACTTTGAGGCTCTTCAAGCAAGAAGTGTGAATTACCCGTCGCATTTTGACCAATCATTCGCGACAAATACAACCATCCCAAACCTCATTTCCAACGGCCTTGGCAGTGATACTTTTGACTCCAAGCAGGATGTAAAACTGTTCTTCTAAATCTTAGTTAACCCTTGAATCTCCAGAAACGGGATGATGAGATGATTCCTTCTGGTATTCCCATTTCTTAAGTAGTATAAGGTATATTTTCATTGTTAGAAACCCCGGTGTTGGGGATTGGAAGATCAGTATCGTATTTTGAACTGTTCCAACCCCTGGATCAACTACCTACCAAATCAGAATCTTGACGACTTCACGCAATAGGCTTTCTGAAGGAATACGGAACGACAATTCGAACTTTATATGTTTTAGGAGAGCTGTGAATTTGTTTCTAGCCTGTGTGTCAAATAGTGCGTCTTTCTGAGTAACAATACTCACTAAACGTCTCAAAGCTGGCTCCTGCAAACAAAGGCATACCGAAATTGTGATGTCTATCACGTGATCGTAAAAGATTTACTGTGCAAGGTCTTAGTTTTGGGAATTTGCATGCTTGCATTCCTTTTGTGTATTTACTTTCTCTTTTTTCTTATGAATATATGAGGTTTGTTACACCGAGAATGTTTCTAGTCTAAACTTTCAGGAGCCTTGTAGTGCATAGTATTGTATCAGGTCATTTCGAATGATAACTGAATGGAGTGAAGTATTCGTTCAATTATAAAGTACCTACATGAATGAATGCTGTAACCTTTTCGTTCTCTGATATCTGTTTTATGGTCTCCGTCATGTCTGGGTCTCTTTTCTCCTGTATAGCTCTTGCCTATTCTGTACATGCACGCCTTTCCTCTTCGTATCCTAATCTCGATCATCAAAGAAGCGTCACTGTTAGGGTGGCAACAATCGTCGCTTCAATTTGCGAGTGTCATCTGAATACTATGTAGACTATTCTATGATGAAAGCATTTGGAAGATCTGGCAACTCAGGCAACAACGGCCACATCAAGACGAGAAGAGGCTGGAGACTTTCCAATCGCTATTTTTCCTTGAAGAAATTTATCATTGCTTGGGGTATTGATTTCCAATATTCAATTAGCACGGTGTCTTGTTGGGGGAAGAGAAGTGTTCGGCAGGTCAAGCAATAAGACCGCAATTTTCGAGAAAGGTGCGATTGACATACTGTCATTATCAACCTGGATTTTCAAGCTCAAAACATCTGCTCAATACATTAACCACTTAGTAATTTATGGGACAGGTCTCCATATTGGAGATTATATTAATAGCCCATTTTGATGACAGATATATTGTCTGCCACCCAAAGATCAGGTTTCTTACTTTTGAGCACACCACTGGGACAATGCATCATGCCCACTGGGCCCCGTCTCTATCTTACGACGAAAGTTTGTTGAAGTTATCACATGGATGTGCTGGATTCAGATGCGATGTTGATGGAAGTGAATTCTGAAGAGGCCGGATGTCGCTTAAGCATTGCGCAGATCAACCCCAGACCACCACTTTCCTGTGTTTGGAAATTTAAAAGGTGAGTTCACCACAATAATTCATCACACACACAGATTCTACTTAGTTGAATGAAGCTCTGACTTATGTACAATTCTTCGGCTAATCTCTTTCAAGGGTGAAAGGATGCTATAAGATAATCTCACTTCAACACGCGTATTTGGCGCTTTTCGCCCGATCAAGTTCACCTGCGTCCCAAAGACTTTGTAAAAGTTTACCAACGCACAATATTGTTCATCTCATCTGCCCTATCAATTCATACCACTTCATTACATTCAATCTTTATTTGCCCCAAGAAATTATGATTGAAGCACTGAGTATCGTGGTTATATCGAGGACGTTGCTGTGAGTACATGCTCACTGAATCATTGTGAACACGGGCTGATTATATATATAGCATGAAGAGGAAACAGACCATTCTAGGGGTTGGGGTTGTAACGATGAAGAGCCTGGTGACATGGCAGGCACTGGTGGTTGGGAAAGAACAGATGAGCTAGTGCAAACTTCTTATCTTCACTGAATAATGGCTAACTCTGGTTTGTAGTTTCGAGTGGACAATGTCTTCACCAAATCCGAATAGATTTAGCTGAAGTCTATGACACTTCTTTTTCATGGACATGAGCTATGACTTGGCGGCTGTTTGAGAACATCGCAAGAAATGTTGTACATATGTACTGGGAATCAAACTGTAGTTGCAAGCTAAATTAAGTAGTGTGGTGGATAACATTAGAAGATAGGACATATTCGCTTGGCGCTTGTATAAAAGCCATATGAATTGTGGTTGTGCCGGAATGGGATGCTCGCTACTTGCTATAAGTACCTAATATCATTTTTACAATGTACCAATTCCAGATCAAACATCTACAGCAATTTTCCAAGAATTAGCTACACACGCGGCTGCTACAAGATTTCCGTTTCCTAAAGGTCTCATTTACAGATTTCCCTTTTATCACTTCCTAGCCCCTCCTAAAACCCTGCTAAAGTGATGAGCCTTTAAGATCAAGATGAGTTTAAGCCCATACATACAAAATGCAGCTTGAGTCAAGATAAAATTTAATTTTTATATCATTCAAAATACTTCTCAGCCATACACAACTCCCCTATACATTTACAAATCTTAGAGAATCTTTTATAAATCCATCTTTTATCACCATAGAAGTGAATATATATCACACGCGTTAAACTATGATGGAGTATGACGAACATAACTTGGTCTTTCTTTTCCCGACAGGTACTCACCTATCATTTTTCGGATATGCAAGTGAGACGACTCACTTTCGGAACATCTCAGTCACACCCTCCTCTCACCCTCAGCTAATTTATTTCCCCGACAGAGATAACAAAGTCCTTCGTCTCTTCTCCATTTTCCAACTCTTGTGACAATCTCATCTACTAAATCTTTTGTTTGATATCGTCCGATCTGGAGTACTGTGTCTGGAAAGTGGGCGGCTCGTCACGGAAACTATCAGATTACACTCACGAATTTCATTACAATCAAGGCTGAGACATTACATTGATAGGAATGGCAGCCAAAAAGAAAAAAGCAACTGCGGCTCCTGCATCTCGACTTCCAGCAGGAACCGTGTCTTTATCAACCTCCAAGGTGGAAGATAGAGCGCCGTCTGCAAAAAATGAAGGTAAGCCAATACCTCTACCAAACACGTAAACATACTGACACAAGAGAAAAATCGCAGAATTATCCATCAGTCCTCAACAAGTCGAAGAGATGCAGGAATCGTGGCCTTTGCAGGCGCCCATGATTGAATATGAGAGCTGCGAGGAGAAGTGTGCTGGGTGGGGCTCGAATACAGGCTCTGAGAGCGAAGATTTCCTCGACGATGATATGGATTTTTTGCCGACGGGCTGGGGAAAAAATGATAAGCAGTCGAGTGAAGATATGGAGAGAGTAGAAATTGCTAGGAAAGCCAAGATGAAGAAGAAGAAATCTCATGGATCCGCACTAGTGGTAGCAGCTTGTCGAGAGAAAACAGTTAAGGCTTCAGATCGAAAGGTGGAGTTGTCTCGCACACTTGTCGAGTTGACAAAGCCTTGCGCCAATACAGAGATTATCGAGACTGCGCTGGAGGTAACTTGTCATACAGCCGAGCAAGTCGTCAGCGGAAGTGTCGTCGATGGTGTCAATGTGGTCAGGTCAACGAGTTCCCTCGATAATTCTTGCGTCTTATGCACCTCTCGATCCTCAGAAATTGTGACGAGTAACACTACAATCACGAAATCAACAGTACAAGAACCAGAGCCTAACATCAAATTGATGGAGAAGATGGCCCGACAAGAGCGTGATTTGAAGTCTGCGAAGACACAAGCTGGCTCCTTGCGTGCCGAGATCGAAGTTCTGAATCAAAAGCACAGGCTGGAAATGCAAAAGCAATTGGATCAGCTCAATGAAAGCCATCGAAAGGAGATGGACGCGATGAAATTGGATCTCGAGGAAGCGCAAACGGTACGACAGAAAGCTTTAGCTGATTTGCAGAGGGTTGAGGAGAAAAACTTGACTATTAGAATGGATAGGAAAGAGCTCAATTCAAAGCTTGGAGCTGTGAACAGAGATGCAGTGAGATTCAAAAATAACATCGTAGCATTGGAAGCACAAAGCAATCATGCACTTAAATTGGCAGAGTCTTTTTCAAAACTGGTAGAAGATCTGACACGAAAGGCCAAAGCCACCGAACTGAGGCTAGACGCAGAGCAGGCAAACACTAGTGCGACATTACTGCAGCAGAACTCAAAATTACTAGACGAAAATCGCAGATTGAAACAGCAGCAGTCACAATCAACTGCGACTTCTTCCAACCGCCTGAAACAGTTGCAACAGAAGTACGATAGTCTGGCGAGCACTTATCACAGTGTTATCGCTCAACGTGATAAGCTACGTGACAATTTAATCAGGTCCCAGCGCCAATGCCAAGTATGGAAGGATGAGGCGGAATACTACAACACGAGTCGGGATGATCGTCGGGCAGAACTAGACGAAGTTGCTAAGGAGCTCACTAAGATGACGGCCAAATATGAGAAAGCTGTCTACAACTGCAACTGGGAACAACAAAACTACGACAAATTGAAACAGACCTACGATATTGTGGAACCATTGGTGAAGATAGGAGCAGATATTCGATTACGTTTTCTGGACCAAGCACGAGAGGCAGCACTCAGTATCTCCTGGTGTGAGGCAGATATGGCTTTGAGAACCAATGGTAATGTTGCTGCTCACAGGGGTAATGCGGCTGCCGATGCGACATTATTCAAGGGTAAGCTTATCCCGGAAGAGTACAAAGAAGAGGCCGAAGAGATCTTTGAAAAGTTATACAACCATAAATCTAGCGACTACCCATTCTTTGATAGGATCTCCGAAAGACAAAACGACTGTGAAGCAACATTGGCTACAATAACAAAATCTAGTGTATCGGCAACTCTGCGTGAGGAGTGGCGCGTGATATGGAATAGAATTGTTCACGGTCCGGTCAACAAAAAAATGATCTTGATTGAAGAACTGGAAAGGTTAACCGACGAGATAGTGGACTTAGAACGTTCAAATCGTCGTCGCAGATAAGGAAACCCCACAACTCGCTCTTATCACAGAATAAAGTGTCGAGATTATCATACTAATTGGAGGAAGTTGGAACTGGAACTGCGTTGCGGGACGGAATATGTAGAGTTAAAACACAAGACTTAAGCTAGGATTGATCAGGTGATACGCATGATGATATGGGTGGAGAAACCCTGGGTGATTGATCAACAACTCTTGTATGGAGTATGACCAGGGCAATCATGAACATGCAACTCTACTTCCAGGATGATCGAGGATGATGTTTGCGTTTGGGACGGGATTGTGCTACAGGATTTATGTATATATGTCAGAGTAGATACTATGAAATAAAACTGTCATTGCGAATAAGGAAAGATTTTATATTGAACAGAGATGTTCGTGGATAGAGGTAACGCCAGATATTTTGCATCAGGGTGGATCTTATAAATACTTCGAAAGATACTATTTGTGGAATCTGTGCATTCTTCATCAACTCCAAGATACTCTCCGTTTCTCTTGATAAGTCCTCAGATGATCAGATCGTAATATCTTGCTATTCTTAGCATCTATTTCAAATAAAAGAGACAGCAGCTAATCTTGATAACACCACAATATCCGCATACTTCAATTGTTGCTTCACGACCTCAGGTCTCCATCACCATATCCGCATAAGGTACTCCGCTTTCCCCCCCTCTATCCCAGACCTCACGTGATCATTTGATTGTCCCGCTCATTCAATTTAGGAATACTGTTCGAACAACTTAGCCTGAGATTGAGTGTAGGAATTCTAGGTAAACTGTTGTATGGTTTATGACAGCTGTTGTGAACTCCAAGTTCAGAAGTTTCGTACGGCAAAAATATCGCATTACTGGCTGTTTGCTCAATATTCAGCTTCACCACAGGGCCACAAGATTCAATTATAACTAGTCCATGAAGGCCTACCTGACTTTCCTTGGAAGAAATGGGGCTAGGGTGCATTGGTATTCTATGAGGACTAAGTCGTGAGAGTGACGAGATAAAAGTAGAACAGAACATAGAATCAGAGACTAGCTGAATAAAATGCCTGAAGAGCTAAGTGATAATCACCGATACATACATAATGATCTGACTGTGATTCGATTGATGATATGTAACGAAACATACATATGTATCTTACCAAATAGTGTACTTTACCACTCTATCTAGGCACCTTAGCAGTTGAAGCAGGGAGAAAGGGGTGACTTTGAACCAAGCGAACAATTAGACGAGAATCTGAAGATGGAGCTTGACTGATAGTACCATACCAACATATACGCAGGTACTAGTTTTCTTCAAGTTCTGTACTAGCAGCCGTAGGGTAGATTCCCTCTTGTTTATAAGATGTTGTCTGTAACATCTATTCCTTCTTTGTAATACACAGTATTTCATGATCCTTGATACTGCGATTTACACGGAGCTTCTTTCTTGAACATATTGTTCTTGATATTCATAAAAACTCGATCCAGATATCGTGGGAAACAAATCAAGTACCTCGATAGTCACTCGTTAGGTCATATTCGGCAACACCCGAGCGACTCCAATAGACGTCGTAGCATGTCAATGAGCTTTCAAATATGCTGCCCTTCCAATCAAATGTTGAGCGTGAGATTAAGAGGAATTTCACTGCCAAGACTCCTGGTTCCGGACTTAACGCGAGTCACAGCCAAACTCGCGATGACTCCGGCTCAGAGATTGTTGCAACAATGACAATGGCATGGCAGAAAACAGATACATTGTTCGCCGAGTTAGAGCAGAAACTCGATCCTTCCAACCGCGAAGTCGCTGCAAAATATCTCCGTGTTCAGACGGCAGCAGGAAAATTTGCTGCCATTTGACAAGAAGTGAAGGCACTCAAGAGTAGTGTTGCCCAGCAGCTTAAAGAACAAGAACAAGAACAAGAACTGAAACCCCAGAAAAATCAACACGCGGAGGAATTAAATGAACTTTGCAGACAGCTATCTGAGAATGATAAGGAGAATGCTCAATTGAGGACGGAGATAACAGTTCTTTCCGAGACGAAGTCCACGCTCAAGCAGGACAACACAAGATTGTTGCATGAACTGGATTACGAGACGGAAAAATGCGTCATGCACCAAAGATCGAAACACAGTCTCATACACCAGCTGGAGCTTGCAGTAGATGCAAAGGACTACTTCGAAGCTAAGGAAGAAAACATGAGACTTCAAGCTCAGATTAATGGGATTGAGGAGGAGAAAGCGAATCTTCAATTGAAGGTTAAGTAGCTGGTGCAAGATCTCTCTCTTAAAAAACCGCTGGTTTTGGTGGGTGCCGCTGTTAGATTGAGATTCCTCGAGCAAGCCAAAGAGTTCGTCATCAATAAAAGGGATCGCCCTGAGCTCAACCACGAGCTGCGAGACGAGGCGAATCTGGCAGCCCATTATGGCAACATCATAGCAGACGAATCTCTCTTCAAGCTTGAGTATATCCCGTTAGACTGCCTGGAAATGACTAGAAGAGTATTCAGAGAACTACATAGCTATTATCTAGACCGCCGTCGGTACTTTGATCCTATTGAGATTCGGCTTTCGAATATCCTTGCTGCTAATCGAGCCCACCGAAGGACAGAAAGCTCGGCATCCCAGCGCAAAGACCTAATGGAGATGTATCAACAGCTTCAGGTATTTCAAGACTCTGACGAACCTTCAACGGTAGAAATCTCGAATCATGTGACGGCGATCGAGCTGATAACCGACGACATCATTGATTTGGATTTGAGAACCCGCCGCGGATAACTTTGAGGCTGTTTGGTTGACACTGCTGCTACATTTTTTTTTACCCGCAGGCGTATCCACAGAAGTGCGCGAATCAACAAATGCAGATTGGTGTTTTGATCGGGGCGTTGAATCTTGATGGGAGTTTAGCAAGCATGTGGGTATCGATGGTTAAGACAGTAAATGAATGTTGTAAGACATGTGGTCTAGAAATTCACGTGAGATTCGATATTGTTTCCACATGACGTTCTTTATCCATAATCGATTTTGTAAATAGAGAAATTTCACAATACGAACACAGCAGGAAAGATCTTACCACACAATCGAGTATTCATGTTGTTGTCAATGTTGTCGTTGTCGTTGTGATGTGTGATTGTTGTGGAGAAACCTTGCATAGCGATGTCATAGAGTTAGGTGGTGAAGTGAGGGAAGGAAACATTGCGAATAATCTAGATGTTTCCAACAACAAACCAATTATATTTCATAATTTTAATACAACTCTAAAATTCACGGGACAACAGATTAAACTTCCTTCTTCTTGATACAATAAAAAGCAACGTCTTCATTAATATACAATTTTTAAATAACTGATCAAGACCGCCGACGACTAATCCAAATTTCTAATTTAAGTCCTTACCTGGCTGGGTAGCTTCAGTTTCGGCAGCATGAGTGAGCTTAACGGTGGCTGTTCTTGTGGTCGCAACAAATACACCATCCAAATCCCGCAAAACTCAGCAGATGGCGCACAAGTCTTTTTCGATAGCAGTAATGTTCATCGTAAGTAGATTGAAAATGTTCCCTTCCTTACATTACCAAAAAGGCGATTGCTAATACCATGCAACCAGGACGATCACAAGCTGCTCCCCTCTCAGCATGGCTTCGTGTGCCATTAGCTTGGTATCACTCAACGACGTATGCCTTCTTCGATGATGAATCACACAACACAATTCGACGATCTTATACCCCTCCATCCGAACAACATGCGAAACGACATTTCTGTGGCTTTTGTGGAACACCCCTCTCCTTTTGGACGGAAGAACCGGCAGACCATGCTGATTATATTTCGTTGACTTTGGGATCATTGGCTTCTTCGGATCTGCGAGATCTCGAAGAATTGGGTTTACTTCCCAAAGAAGCACTCGAAGATGCACAGAATGATAAACAAACTATCGAGACTGTCATACCACACACTGAGAACGACGGCAGAGGAGAACAAGGTCTACCATGGTTTGAGACATTGGTTGAAGGAAGTCGACTAGGAAAAATGAAAACAAGCAGAGGCAGGAGAACTGCCGACGATGGTCGAATCAAAGTAGAATGGGAGATTGTAGAGTGGACTGGTGAAGATGACGATGTGCAGCTACCTATAACTGGGAAGAGAAAGTTGGATGCTACGAGTCCAGGTGAAGGCTCTCGCATGGAGGGGCTACAATAGATGGGATAGCATCTGCAAGTTAACGCCTCTGGGGTGAAATACTAAATTACGATCGTATGGGTTCGAGTTTGGTTAGTATCGTGGATTATGGTCAAGAAACGATGTCGTTTATGGAGATTTGGGTTTGGGATGGACACAACACAAGAGAGCTTTGTAAGTTCACAACAAGGTTGCCGATCCTTACAACAATCTCGGAAGAGTTATCTTCTCATGTCAAACGGGAGTTCGGGGATTTGTTAACAAATGAAATAATGGGCTGTGCCAATACTGTACATGTAAGATTACCATACCAAGAAATGCAAATAGCTCTTTGCAATCAATTATGATGTTTTTATCACATCTATCCGCTTGACATCCGAGATTCATCTGTGTGTGTGTATACACGAGCTAATCACAGGCACGAAAACGACACCAAATCCCGTGAACTGGATCAATTGAATTCAGCCGGAATTTCGTCCCGTCTAACCGGTTCAAACATTTACTACCCCGCCATAATCTGGTGGGGCGGAAGATATCAAAGTCACTCGATTAGGAAATGATTATATCACGGTCTGTACGGTCCGAGGGGTGGGATACGAGTTAGTTCCGTTTGATTGTTATGACACAATACTAATTTACAATTAGCCGCTCTATTTCTACTTATATGCGAGTAGATCCCCTTCTCACAACAACTAATTCTATATTTTGATACTAGAAGTACTTAGTATCTTTTGTCTTTACCAGAATTTTATCGAATTTCAAAAGAGAACAACATGGGTAAAGCAGTTCTACCCAAAGATTTCACATGGGGCTTCGCTACTGCGAGGTATGTTGCCTTGGTCAACACCAATGTCTCATATTAACACCACACTAGTTACCAAATCGAAGGAGCACCTGAAGAAGATGGTCGTGGCCCTTCTATCTGGGATACCTTTTGCAAAATCCCCGGCAAAATTGCCGATGGTAGTTCCGGAGACGTAGCATGTGACTCCTACCATCGAGTCCCCGAAGACATTGCGCTTCTCAAACTCACCGGCGCGAAAGCCTATCGGTTCTCTATCTCCTGGTCTCGTATCATTCCCCTAGGTGGTCGCAATGATCCGGTAAATAAGAAGGGTATCGCTTATTACACCAAGTTGGTGGATGATTTGCTCAAAGAGGGAATCACCCCTTTCGTAACGCTGTTCCATTGGGATTTACCAGATAACCTGGATAAAAGATACGGGGGGTTGTTGAACAAAGAAGAGTTTGTTAAGGACTATGCTCACTATGCAAGAGTATTGTTCGAGGCAATTCCACAAGTTAAGAATTGGATCACGTTTAATGAACCGTGGTGTTCTTCTATCTTGGGATACAGCACGGGATTGTTTGCTCCCGGACATACGAGCGATAGATCAAAGAGTGATGTGGGAGATAGTAGCAGAGAGCCATGGACAGTAGGACACAATCTTCTCATAGCCCACGGTGCAGCCGTTAAGATCTACCGGGAAGAGTTCAAAGCTAAAGATGGTGGACAAATCGGAATTACTCTCAATGGTACATATATCTCCACAACTAATCCACCTCACCCCCCTCCAATGCTATACTAACTCTCCCCCAGGTGATGGCGTCTACCCCTGGGATGCTTCCGACCCCAAGGACGTCGAAGCTGCCGAACGCAAACTCGAATTCAGCATTTCCTGGTTTGCAGACCCCATCTACCACGGAAAATATCCCGACTCCATGCGCGCCCAACTCGGTGATCGTCTCCCTACTTTCACCGACGACGAAATCGCCTTGGTGAAAGGCTCGAATGATTTCTACGGCATGAACCACTACACTGCTAATTACATCAGACATAAGACTACGGAGCCGGAAGAAAATGATTTCTTGGGAAATTTGGAATTGCTGTTCGAGAACAAGCAGGGGGATAATATCGGTCCAGAGACCCAGAGTGTTTGGTTGAGACCTAATCCCCAGGGTTTCCATGATTTGATCTTGTGGATTTCAAAGAGATATGGGTTCCCTACTAGTAAGCCTCCCCCCTCTCTTCTCCTTCCACCCGTCTCAAATAAGCCATTCCCCTCTCATCCCTCCCCCCACTAACCCATTCCCCTCTCAGTCTACATAACCGAAAACGGCACCTCCCTTCTCCGCGAAAACGATATTCCCTACCCCGACATCCTGAAAGACACATTCCGCGCCGACTATTTCCGCGACTACATCCGCGCCATGGCATCCGCGGTCGAAAAGGGCGCCGATGTACGCGGCTACTTGGGATGGAGTTTGATGGATAATTTTGAGTGGGCCGAGGGCTACGAGACCAGATTTGGAGTTACGTATGTGGATTATGAGGGGGGTCAGAGACGAGAACCTAAGGAGAGTGCGTTGGTTTTGAAGCCGCTCTTTGAGGAATTGATTAAGAAGGAGTAAGATTTTGGGGGAGATTGGGTTCTGAGAGGATTGGGGGGTAGGGAAATGGATTTTTTGGGTTCACTTAGTGGGTGGTTTACGTGGTACTCAAAGTAAATGGATGGCATAGACAATACGGCTACTTCAGAGTCAACTATGAATTGCGAAATTTTGGCAAAACAGTCTTCATTGTTTCGTTGCTTCGTTGCTTCATTGATTCATTGATTCAATTTTATAAAGTGATTGTGATCCGATCTATCCCATAGACCTATGACCGAAGGACCTCTCCTTCTATAGTTTGCATGATCATGCAAATCGGGTATAAGAACCAAACAAACTCCATCCAGCCATTCATTTATCGTGAATACAGAAAGCAAATCGAACATCCAGTCCTTGATCTAATCCTTCAAACACCCAATCGACCTTAACCCAGCCCATTATACTTCACCAAGAATTTCTATCTCCTCTCCACCACCTTGCATAGAGGCTTTATTAGACTTCTTAGACTTGGCTGGTTTTTTCCTTCCCATTCCGACCAAAGCAGCACCGGCATTCTCCTTTTGTGACTCTGGTCCATCTTCACCATCGCTAGCGCCGCCGTTGCCTCTTCTTCCAGCCTTGGAAATAGCTTCCTTCTTTCTCTTGTCAGCCGCCGCTTTGGCAGCTTCAACTTTTTCTTGTTCCGCATTGTGCTCATCTTCGAGTCGCTGTTGTTCCGCTTTGATTTCTTCTGAATCCTCGAATTTTTGACCTGTAAGCTGAGTGTACTCTTCGAAATCAATCTCGTCTGTCTTTCCTTTGAGAGCTCGATCGACTTTAGCTGGATTCTGGCGTTCTTCTCGTACAAATTTCAATTTTATTTGTCTTCTATTGCGGTCTGGGAACATCGCAGCAATCATTTCAAATGCTGTACCAAATTGTCGAAGACCCTGATAGAACAATTCGTTCGAAGTTGAATCCCATCGTACAGCTGCGGAACGCTTCATATATTGTCCGGAATTCACCACTCTTGTGAATTCGTTTTCTTCTATTTCTTCCAGCACTTGACCCGGATTTCGTGCTTGCCTATGTCGATCAACTTGCATAGATTGGTCATCCAGTACAATTTGTCCGTCTATAACTCGCATTTGTAACCCGTTATTGTTTAGGACAGCAGCTGGCGCTTCAACAGGCTCAGCATTATTCTCAGATGGCGCATTATTGATTAGACCTGCAAGTTCGGGACGCTCGTCCAATTGCGCATCAATCTTCTTTCGGGCATGCCTAAGCTTGAGTTCGTCATGTCTACTGAACTTCTTGCCAATCCGAATATCTTTACAAAGATCTGCCATTTTCATTACCGTAGGTTCGATGACTTCATTTTCCGCATCCTCTGGAGTGCCTTCTCGATCTCTTCTCTTCTTTGGTGCCTCGCCGTCTTTGTTCCTGCGTTCTCGAGTCGATCCTCCAGTCTTACGGGGCCTATTTAATTGAATTTCGACTTCAGTTCTAGCTTCGTCGCCATCTTCGACCTGAACCTTCTTCTTCCTTGGCGCTGCCTTCTTCCTCGGCTTTTTGAGAGCTGGCATTGCTTCTCCGTCGACAGGAGTAGGTGTCTCTTCGGAAGTTGGAGTTACTGTAGAGACCAGATGAGATGTCTGACTCGCCTCACCCGCCCCCATTCCAGATAAATCGGCATCCTCAAATGATGCAGGTGGGGTTTGTGAATTTCCATCGATTACTTGTGTGGGAATAGACGTAGGTGCTCGTATTCTGTCGGTTGTGGTATTTATTCGTGGGACTTCTGTAGAAATTGCAGGTGTAGAATTATTCGAAGGTTGACGTTGTTTTGCTGGAATAGCTTTTGCGGTTGTAGCATTATTCGTAGTTATATTGCTAATTGGAGGAAATTCTTCGCCGTCTACAACTTCCTGTTCATTGCGACTTGGCTTCGCTAAAATTTGGTTATTTGAAGGTGCCGGCACTTCTTTGGGTACAGTCGTAGACGCAGTTGGGACGGTTTGTAATGGCGCATTGGTTCCGGAATGTTGTACCTCATCCGAGGGAGGGGTCAATTTTCGGGCTTTTGTAAGTGGTTGCTCCACTTGAAGCGTGCCTTCGACATCATCTTCTCTAACTTTTCTTTTGGCCGTATTATTAATGGTCGCGGAAGTGTCATCGTTCGAGATGGTGATTGGTATGTGAGGTTGAACTGGCGGAGCATGTTGTAATTGAGGGGTGACTTGAATTGGTTCCGAAATTGTAGTTTGGGATGGTTCTCTCTCCACAACATCTCCAGTTAATGTGGGTGTAGGGATGGATGGTTGAGTCGCAGATACTGGTGCTTGTGATTGAGTTTCGGAACTTGGTCTTGCTGCAGGTTGCGACGAAGATGGTCTGGTAGGATTTGGTCGAGGGCGAGCACTTGGTTTGAACGACTTTCCACCCTTTCTAAGCATGGAAGACATTTTGACGAAATTTATTGCGCCCGATGGGCGAGATCCAAAGGATGTAGCTCGAGTCGCGGTATAATTTTGTTTGTCTTTCAAAGGTACTGATTGCTCATATGTCGAAAAAGTATTATAGGTAAGAAATTAAATATGGCCTTCTCTTTGAATGAACAATGGGAATCCTTTGAAGGTATCCCTAGGTATGCTGAGTGTGGTTGAAATAATTATTTCCATTGACCTGGAGCCGGTTCCCGCTCTGACTAAATTTTGACGCTAGTCCATTTTGGAATTGGCGGCTTGCAACTTCTCACTTCTTTCGCCTTTACCTCCATTTACTTTCTCAACTTTACAACCCGTAACGACGATACAAGGTCAATCAAACCACACATCTGGAAACATTCGATACTACCTATTATTGCGCTATACCCATATCTGGTCGAATCCGCTATCGTGTTTGATCTTATGAACCATTCACCTTCTTCAATCTGATGACGCCTGTCGCCGCATCAGCTCCATCTCTCCCTTCCTTCATCAAGATGGAGGACAGGAAGAGGGCAGCTGGCCAAAGTACTGATGATCTCGCACCCCCTACCAAGAGACAAGCTACCAACGGTGCTGGAAAGGCCTCTGCAGATTCTGAGAATACCGCGCCTTGGTCTGAAGATATCGAGGTATGTAATCAGTCTCATGATATATCTCCTTTCACATAAACGCCCTTCATCAATATTTTGTCGGATTCTCTCATCTATCAACGTCATACAAGAGTCTAGGGATTGCTCTTGAAATCTGTGTGGCTGTTGCTAATGCGCAGCTTGCTGTGAACAGCATGGATAGCCTGCATACCTTCACGCCCATACCCGCACTCCCACAATACATCGCATCAATGTAGTCAATACACCTTCCCTTTCACGAATAAGGAATAAACTGGCTGGAATGGCAGGCTGATATGTCACGTTATAGAAATACCAAAAAGATGCGATCTATCGACAAATGCTCGAGTACAAACGAGAGAAGGCAACTTTGGAATCACAATTAAAGACAATACAAAAGAAGTCTACAGATCACGATGATCATCTGAGAATCATTGATGCTTGGTGGACACAGGTACGATAAGCCCCTTATCAGTCATTTGGGACACGAAACTGATTACGGGTAACAGTTATTAGAAGAAGTGACACTGCTCGCAGAAAATGACATTCCAAATGCGGAAAAGCCAGAAAGTTTGTTATTTGCAGGCTGTAGTTTCAACTAATGCTGACGCATGATAGTATCCTTCTCGACCTCTTTACAATTTCATGGTATCAAAGCCTTCTCGGATCATCTGGCATCAAAAGGCAGAGAAATAAAATCAAAATTACATAAAATATTTACTGCAGTTGCAGCTGCTCATGGCAAACCCTCGACAGACTTGCAAGACCTTCAAGCAAAGGTTACAAAAATGCTTGCTTCTCAGAAAGAATATCTCGTCACAGTAGACAGACTCCGCAACGAGAAAGAAGAACTGAATGAGCTTCTCGAATTGGCATCGCTGCGTTATGTCAAAGCCGAAAAACGTTTAGATAGGCTGAGGAGTGATACAGTTCGAAAAGAAGAGGCTAAGGCATTATTTCACAGTACTGCTAATGGCGCGAAAGTCGAAAATGGCGTGGACACTGAAATGACGAATGGTATAACAGAAGACAAGGAAGCTAATCAATCAGCATATAAAGAGGCACAAGCCGTTGTCGAGAAGCAAAAGGAGCAACTCGAAGCCATGGCTGCGGAGAATAAATCACTAACAGAACAAATTACCGCGGCCAGTATCAAGCAAGCACCCTCGGACGACGACTATGCTCGGACTGAGCTTTTCAAACAATTCCGTATTCAACATGAGGATGTTATCAAACGTATCAATCACCTCGAAGCCACTAATATACAATTGCGAGAGGAGGCCGAGAAATTACAAGCCGAACGGACTGCATATCGTATACAAATAGAGAACGAAGCCGAAACGACCACTGGTGAACTAGAAAGTCAACTTCAACGCCTGGATGCCGATTTGACGAGAATTCGCTCTGCCCGAGATGAGTTACTTGCTGATCTTAGCGTGCGAAAGGCCAAACAGGACCAGGATGATGCAGGTATCGAGCATTTGAAAGAATTGGTTGGAGCAAAGGATGATCGTATCACATCTCTCGAACTTGAAGTTGAACGTCTGAGACAAATCGCCGAGCAATCATGCCAACCCACACCAGGACCGGAGATAGATTCATTAAACCTCGAAGAATTGCGTGTCAAGTATGATCTTCTTCAACAAGGTTATGACTCGATCAACAAAGAATTACCTGCCCTCCAATCCGCGTACAAGCGAGTCCAGGCCCTGACGAGCAAGAAAGTAATGGACTTCACGGCTCTCGAAGAAAAGGTTTCGGTTTTGGCTGCCGAAAAGAGCAAGGCTGACCAAAAATATTTCGCGGCCCGAAAGGATATGGATATTCGCCTCGCAGAAGTTCGAACTTTGAAGAATCAAAACGCTAAAAGTTCTGAGATAATCTCCCAACTCAAGGATGTAGAGACATCTGATCGAACTTTGTTGAGCAATTTGGAGAAACAACTGAGTGATATGAGACAGTCCAATGCCTCTATCCTGGCTGAGAACAAGAAGTTGGAGGTATCGAGTAGAGAGGCCACAAGCAAATGTGAAAGCTTAAAGAACCAAGCAGCAGAATTGACCAACCTTCTTAAATCCAAGGATTCCGCGAACTCTGGTACCAAACAAAAAATTCACGCGGTGGAACTAGAGAATGAACAACTTCGGGTTCGATGTGAACAGATTCAAAAAGATCGAGATACATGGAAACAAAAGAGCTTGAGCAACCAATCTGGTGAGGAGGAAATGCTCAGAGTAGGTTTTCATCATTGTTGTCTATCATGATCTTTTACTAACACAATATAGACTCTTGCATTGTGTACCGTTTGTCGTGCAAATTTCAAGAACACTGTTTTGAAGACGTGTGGGCATCTCTTCTGCAATTCGTGCGTGGATGATCGGATCTCCAACCGTATGAGAAAGTGTCCTAATTGCGCTAAACCTTTCGACAAATTGGATGTCATGACCGCTCATATGTAATATATGATGGTTTCGAATTCAAGAAAGGGGTTTAATTTAGGTTATTGGGAAGTTGTATGATTTTTGTTTCAGGAAGTGTGACGAAGAGCCGCACTGCACATTTGAGCGAGGACTGGCTTTTGCTTGAGTGTAAAGGAATCCGTCCGCATGTATACCATTTTTTCGCGCCCTCACATTAAATGTGATGAAGTCCTTTTTTCTTGTTTCAATCAGGAAATTTCTGAAATAGAAGCAGACAGCGATGGACTTTGTATTTTAAGATAGCAAATCGGTTGAACAGGGCAGGAGGTATGCTCTTTCCCTTGGTTATTGATGCAGTGGGAAAACTGCAGTCGGCAGATGAAATAGCTCTAATAGAAAGAAATAACTATGTTTTCAAAATGAATTCTCATTGCAGTCAATCAGTTTGCATTGTATGTCTAGCGCGGTCGGGATGGAATGAATGATAGGAGACTGGAGTCAAAAGTAATCATGATACTTTCCTGAGAGATAAAATTTGGATAGCTCTACTGTATAAGACGCCAACCTTCATCTCATGATTCTTTAACCATCCCTCTCCGTATGAAAGTAGGAAAATTAGAGGCCCGGCGCCTCCAGATTGCTAAGGTAACTATCTTCTCGATGTAGAGCCGAATCCAGTATTTGACCGAGTATTAGTAGAGGGAGAGCTTGCGCTTGAGCTTCCAGATCCAGACCCTCCACCCCAGCCACTTCCACCTCCCCCGCCCCAGCTGCTACCCCCTTGATTTGATTGTCTATTCGCTCTGTTTCCTGCAAAATAACCACCAGCAGCACCTGCCGCCGCACCAGACCAAAATCCAGGCCTCCACGCCTGTTCAGTGGCACCATAGTTTCTTGTAGATCTTTTTCCAGTTCCTGGATAAGGTGGTGGGGGGTCATCATCGCCTGGTCCTCCGGGTCCTCCTCCTCCCCATCCTCCAAAACCTCCACCTCCCCCAGCTCTTCCCGCTTGACCATTAGCGGGTCCTTGTCTCCAATTTTGAACCATCGAGTAAAGAATCCATCCCAAAACTCCCCCGAATATCAACCAAAACAACAAACCCATTCCCTTCTCTACAGAGCTATCTCCACTTCCACCGTCCCAAAAGCTCTTTCCATACTTTGCTTCGCCCTCCTCCGTCAATAACAACCTGTATTCCACAGCACAACTACCCTTCAGCACGTATTCATCATCCTTGCTATCATATCCCTCACATATAACATCCGTACTTCCTAGCTTGAATTCCTCGGGAAGATTCGCAGTGCAGGACCATTGAATATCTTCGGAAGAATAATCGGATCCTTGGTTGGTACAACGCATGACGTCAACTTTGTAATGTCGACATGCAGGGCCGCTACATGATAGCTGTGGAACAGCTGAGACTCGTCGATGGGAGGTTTGAGCATTGTCGCGTAGAGTGAGAGTTTTTACTTTTGATAGTAAGATGGCATTCTTGGGTTTGGAGGCAGCCGTGGTGAGAGGGGTAAATGTGAGGAGGGTGAGCAGAGCCGGGTAAAGAAATGGTAAAAAGAGCATTTTTACTGTAATTGTTCTGGTTATTTTTGAAAGTGGTTTCTCATGGTATTTAAAAAAAGAAGTACGGTATCAAGCGATGCGAGATCAAGTGAATCCTCGTAAGAAAGGACAGATCATCAACATAGATATACATTCAAGGCAAGTGTAACGAGCAAGTTACTTATTTTCCTTTGGTGGCGTAAGTTATGATATCAATCAGCCTTGCGCTAAGATCGTTCACCGCCTAGCAGGGGTCCTATACTGCCGAAACACATTAAATCACATGAATGAATGCACTTGCCAACTCAACATGTATGAGACCTAGTTCGAGTATATAAACTCAATATTTGTTAGACCTCACTTCAAGTATCAAAACATACACACAGATTCCATCAATCATCATGCGACAAAGAATAACTTTCCTTCAACAGCCTCAAGATGCAGTTGACCCCCAATATATCAAAATTTCTCAAGACTCTCTCACAGCAGGACGGGTGAAAGCTGCGAGAGAGGATCGAGTTACCTTTAGCTTTAGCGAGCTTCCTGAAGAGATATATGGAGTATTAAAAGCATCTCATGAACTTCACATTCGTTGGGTCAGTCCGAATCAATACGACACAGCTTCACCTCTATTGTCAAGACTTTCTCCAGGTCTTCACGTGTTTTACAGTCCACAGCGAAATAGCAAAAGCCCGTATGTGTTTACGTTGTCCATCGATTATATATGCTAAAACTATGTAGTGATCTTTTATGTCCTGCTTTGAAGAAAGTATTTGGAAATCTCGATTGTATATCTCCTAAAGTAGGCTCTATTTTGCCAACGACTATGATAAATTATCTAAATGATTATAGGAGTCTTTTACCAAACTATCTGTGGAACGATTTGCTTCAAATGCCGCAACACAATATTACCAACCTCTTGAGGATCTCACAACATTTATTGAATACATACAGCAAAAGATTTGCGGTAAATCAGATAAAGAGTGTCGTTCAAGAGCCGGTCGTCTTGACTACGCATCTTATGTTGATATAGATTTTGACACAATATCTCATGCATTGAACATAGTTGCATTTTGGGAACCTCAAACCTGGGAGCTTGAGGTTAGAAACACAGCATCAAATCATCGTTTAGAGGTCGGTATACTTTCGGTCGAAACACCTTTACAGCCTGAAGAACTCTCATTAGGTGGCTTCTTAACTGTAGTTGGCGAAGATTCAAAGCCATCTCCTACATTATTCGCTTTCCCAGCGAGACATCATACGACAGACACGTTCTTCACTTCTTCCTTCATGGAACCCTCTGGTCTACATCCTACTTTACAACTCATGCTCAGCTCCAGCGAACCACCTGTTTCAGACCGGGAATGTTCATTACACACACATCTAACTTTACCTCGTACCGTATTTCCCGATAAATATCAACTATCTGATCCTCTTTTCCTTGCATCTAAGAACCTAAAAGCTCTTCGCCACGTTACATCCCCAGTCGATCTTGAAGCTCCAGACTATGCAATGAGTATCTGGGGTTCTACTCTTTTACTTGAACTCGCACCACCTGAGTCTACCCAATCTTTCACGGCAGAAATTCCTCTTCATTTGCGATATCTATCTCCTACCAACAATACAAATGGATATACATCTACAGAGACTCCCCACCCTACAGTCTTCTGGGCGTGTACAGCAGACGAAGGTAGCAAATTTTCGGGCAACCCTTTTGATAGGGTCAATTTAGGTTATGATGGTCTATTTGGGCCACAAACTATGTTCTATCATGTCTCGCCAGTAGCCGTACCTGATGGTAGATTGATGAATACAGTTACTGTTCCAGTATTGGATCTGAATAAGAGTAATTGGGTAGAGATTGGAACCGCTAGCGTGGTTTCGTTGGGCTTTTTATGGATTGTGTGGTGTTTATTGAGAGTTTGGAGAGGGCAAGGATATAATAAAGTTTCCAAGGGAAAGGTTGCGAATATCAAGAAGGCACAATGAGTCAAGAGAGAGTAATGGATGAATATATATATAGACACGATCTGAGTTGATTGTATTCTCTTCTGACTATCACCTATCATAAGGCTATTCAAGCCTCTTTAATACTACATCTTTCACTATCATCTCGACTGTTATCGTCTCAACACACACTGACTCACTCTCTTATTCACTTCTGAAAAATTTCTATCAGTTTCAGTATGAGCAATTTTGTCACTGGCTCAGCATATGACTAGATCCGACTGCCTATTCTCTTTCCGACCGTACCCATAATGACCTTTGTCTCTACCCTTGAAATATACAATATATTAACCACCAAAGGTTTCCTTTCTGCATCAACCACACCACCTTAGTTATGACACTCTCCACAACAACAACAAAGATGGCTTCCTTTAAAGAAAAAACATCTCCTACATCTCTTCGCACCTTTCCACTCGAGCTCCGTCATATGATTTATCGTCTCTTATTTCAAGGTACATGGGAAGAAACCGATAGTCGACGAACGGCTCGACGATTCCTAGCCGCATTACGCGCAGATGTGGGACTTTATAAAGAAGCTCTAACTATTTTTTATAACACCAATACCTTTTCCTTGAGTTATAAAAATCACTGGCTGGGGAAATATTTTGTTCAGAGTGATGGGGTCAGATTTATGGATGTGAGAGTTGTGTCGTTGGCATCGACGTTTCGGAGAATACACGTTGAAGTTCCGCTCTCTACTTCGACTTCGGGTCCTATTAATGGGTATGTTTTTTCTCTCTTTCACTTCATCATATCTCCGTTGATTTCGGTATATAAAGTTTTGTAGCATAAACTAACACACCCATAGTCTTCCCTCCACCTCCCCAACCTTCGACCGCACAGCCCGAATCATCCGCATGGCGCAAAACCTCACATATCTCCACGTCGAACCCACCGTCAACAGCGGCTGTCGCACCCAATGGCTCGCTCTCGTATGCGATCTCATCGGTCCTACCGATTCTTGTCCTGCTCTCCTAACCCTAAAATTCACATGGGCAGCTTATATGCTTGAAAAATACAGCTATACCGTCGAATGGACAATCCATCAATTCGATACCGTCTTCGGCACGTCTGGATATCTCGAATCCCCCTCAACCGGCCACAAAGCATCCTGGATATGGCAACACCATGGCAAAGACGCCGGCCGCGTCCTAAAATGGGGCAACCACGGAAAAAGCCTCGCGAGAATCGAAATCAGTCTCACCGAAGTCGCAGCCATGCGCCAACGCGATCTCATGTCCCACGACGCGGGCAGGATCTGGCAATTTCGACACGGTCGCTCCTTTGTGTATGGTGTGCGTCCGAAATGCTGCATTTTGATCTTCGCAATGCCGCTTCCGGGAACAGGGGCGTATGACCCGCCGTCGGAGGGTTTTCAACATAGCAGTGGAGAGATTTTCAGACAGGGGAGTGGAGCTGAGTTACCTATCTTGTTGGATGAGACAGATATCGATGAGGATCGGGGGATGTGGAGACCGGTTTCGATGGAAAGTTTGCTGGCGATGAAGAAACGCTGTGAGGAGGACCAGGAAAGAGGTTCACTTATCCATCACCAGTCGAGGGAAGAAAGTCATCTCACGAAATGGCTTTACGATCAAGGTTTCGAATGTCCCGTCGATACTGTAGCGAAGTTGAACACGACTCTCAAATGGGCCCAAAAGCAAGAAATGTATGGAAATCCCTCTCAGCGCGGTTCAGAGGGCAATTTGCAGTATATCTCAAAGCCCGAAGGTGTAGATATCGATTCGGACTTCCTCGCCACCTTCGCAGATGGACTTGCAATTTCGCGTCCGGAAGGAGAAGAGTTCCATCCTACGATTAAGAGGCGCGTACCCGGTGTTAAATACGATAGACGGAATGGGAATAAATATCATTCTGCGCTTCCGAGTAATTGGGACTGTGCGGATAGCGATGAGGGAATGGAGAAGGGGGAGGAGGTGTTTCTCGAGGAGAGTGAGAGGAATGATCGATTGGCGAGGGATAGAGTGTATGCGGAGAGTGGGGGAAGTGGGGAGACGGTTGTGCTGGAGGATTTGGTATTTGAACCTGGAAAGGGGAGATGGGAGATTATTCGTTGATGAGGGGGGATGAGGGTTTGGGAGCTGAAGGCGCTTGAGTCATGGGAGAGATGGTAAATAGATGTTTCTGGGTATAATATGGAGTTTGGAGATGTGTACGGAAGATGTATGAGCACTCTATATGTATGGGGCGTTGGCAGGTAAAGCATTGTCGCTTAAGATACCCTGGGAGTCATGATCTGGAGTACAAAGGCTTTACTTCCAAAGCCAAAAGCATGCAATACCAGTAGGTAACCGTTATTCAATTCCATTTCCATTTTCAGGATTTGGATGTCATTATTGTACCTAGAGTTGCAGCAGTTCATTAATTGATTTTTTTACTCATTCAAAATAAAAAGCATCTCAAGAAATCATAATTAAATCTTAACCTCCTGACTTGCTTTAGTTGAAGTTTCATGGCCACAAATATCATGAGTTTATGGTATTAACACTCTACATCCAGACATTCAAATTCAAGTGATTTACAAACAGTAATGCATCTGACTTCAAGTATTTCCATAAAGAAATTTACTTTTCATTTCCAAAACAGTAGGTTCCTACCCATTAAAGATAGAATTCTAATCGCTTAAATAATTCTAATTGCCAGAATTTCCATTTCAATCCCCATCTTCAACCCGCATCCTTAGAACCATTTATACCTCCTTCCAGACTATGGCACTTGGTCCTTTCAATCCCAACTCTCTTAGTCTCCTGATATCATCCAACGTGCTCTCCCTAATTGACTCATCATTCTCACGTCTCATTCAACACAACGTCAATAGTACTCTCCACATTTGTAATCGAGACTGTGTAGCGCGAGGTTGATCGAGAGAAACTTTGGTTCAACATAGCATCCGTCTAGTGAAGCTCTGGAAGTCCATATCGCTCCCTCAATTAAAAACAATAATGTACCGACAGATCATGATCTTTTTCCACTATTTCACTAATGGTAGATGCTGAATGCCATTCTCTCCGCTTCGCATCCGAATGAGCTGATTTGAATTGCCGAACTAGATCATTCCTCCATTCCGTTTCCCATTCCCTCGTAGTAGGACCTGATGAATTAACAGTTGCAAGTCTCTTCTTATCTTTCATCGGTACATAAAAACGGAAATACTTTACGAGATGATCTAGAATCAACCCACTTCATCTAATGTGACTTTCTTCGAATGTGATTGATAAGATGGGAGCTGGATGACTATCATGTTGAGGCGATTCTGCTAACTTTTGACAAACTTCTCTCGAAGCATTGACGGAACGTTCTGAGACGTTCTGAGTAGTTTACATATATATTGATCGATTTTCCTGGCGAGAAACGTGGGAGATATTCTGCGGGCAGAGGCAATGTGTTAACAAGTGAGAAACACAATCTATGGCTCGGGTTAGGAGGAAATCTATCAACAGCTTGCAAGAGGTCCATTCGCTCTCCGGGCACGTCCAGTTCATCCATTGGATTAAAGAAACTATCATTATGTCATAAATTGACATCGTTCAGACTGATTTAGAAAATTCAAGAGTGGTTGCATCGAAACTAAAGACACAAACTCACTTTAGTCTCTGTAAATGTATTATGATTCGTAAGTTTTGAACATTGCGCAAGAACCTCAGTTCATAAGGGGGTCTAATAAGACTCCAACGATGGAACTCACATACGTTGTACTTGTAAAAAAACTGGTAGGGCCTCAGAGTATAAGATACGATCCCCTTCAAAGCTTTGGGAAAGTTTGGCGATTTTTCGTGCCAAGAATCGCAGAGAACGTAGAAGAAGGTGATAGCTCGCACCTTTGAAGGGAATTTTTGTAATCCATCAGAACGAGATTTAATTCTCTGGGCTCTTTGAATACTTGGAATTTGATGCACTGGAACGGGATCCATCTGCCCTCTTCTTTTCACATTACGTGAAGTAGGGAATGCCATTTCGAATGAAATTAATGTGATAATTCTGCAGATACACTGTTGATGTCAAGCAATATGAAATGAGTTATGAATATCTGTAGTTGTAATGTATCAGAATTCAAAGAAAGAAAAACGAACTCACGATCAACTTATATCTGAAGGGTTACACTGATAAATCAGCAGAGGAAGGAAGGCACTACATAGGTAGGTCAAGCTAATAGGAAATTGAAAAGAGGAAGAGCTACCAATTGAAGCATCCAAAGATTAGTGTTCCAATCAGGCATCTATTTTTTGAAATCTGAATGTATTCAATAAGTCGAGACTTTAATCATATCGACGAGAAGTAGCTGATTATGAGATCAGGCTTACCCAAATTTCGTCTCACCCTCGCTTGATCTTCAGGTCTCTGAAGAGACGAGAGAACCTCAGAATGAGATCTGCCTTTAGTTTTATATGAATAGCAATTCAAAGCTCCATGATATGCAGCAATCGAATCACGAATAATAAGTAGCAAGAAAATCACTGGTTATTCGTTACACATTCCATGCCATCCTCAACCCCATCATTCTATCCTCCCACCAGCTCATCTTCAACGAAGAACGCACACTCATACTAATACTTCCACTCACACCAACTCAGCCCAGCCCAGCAACTAAATATTAACCCGCACCACCTCTCTCCGTTCACTACTTCTACTCCTATCATAATCCATCACTTCTCAATCTGATATTACAACCACAACAATAGCTTAAAGACAAAAGTTGCCTATTCCATACTTACATACCTACATACATACATACATACATACATACATACATACAGCTTCCATATAAATACACCTCTCTTTCACCCCTCACAACAAAACAAGCTATTCACCGCACTCCCTCCAAAATTTAGAACAAGACAAATATTGATCTATAGATACCTGATACACTAGTCTCGCTGTTAATGATCTTCTTTAGACTCCAAGATTAAAGGTATATATGGACTAAACAGAGTAAGCTAGGTAGCTACTTGAGATATATAAACATTGCAACATAATAACACCATTCTCGTCTTCAGGATCTGAAGGGATCATTCTATTATTGCATTCGTACATATATACTTATGCTTACATGAACCATCCATCCCACGCAAGATAACCTCCACAATATAACCTTCATCTCCACCTTTCCCCTATCAAACCAGCCAGCATATCCACATGTCGAAACTTTCCAAACGCCTTCTTTTCCTTTTCCTTCCCATCTATCCATCTCTATCCACAGTATATCCCGGATAGATAGAGCACCCTAACTATACTCCATACTTCCCACATCCGATACAATTCACCACTCCACCCCAGACTTCTCAGTGCTCAATATCCGAGCAAACTCCCTTTCCTTCCCTTCCCTTCCCTTCCTTACTAACACCACCCATCTACTTCGCTTACCTCACCACCACCACCACAACAGCATCTATCTCTCATTACCAAAAATCAACATCAAAGATACCAATGCCTATCAACCATAAAGAGACAAGATAATAATCAAACCTCAGAATACAGATCACTTCAAACTTCAAACCCCAAATCTCAAACTCCAAATCATCTCTGGAATACTCAACACTTCTTCCTTCTTCCCTCCGAGCGACAGAGAGACGCCGGTGAGTGCATACATCAACAGAACACATCTCCACTTTCAAGACTCTCAACCAATTCATTCTCCAATTGTTAATATCAGAATTGACATTTTGATTATTCCATCTCTAGTCAATAATTGTAAGTATATTCCTAAAACAAACAATCCAATATATCAAGCGATAGTCAGAAGTTCATTTGTGTAATGTCCTGTTATTTTTACGCCCACTAGTGAGAGTGTATAGTATCCGGAATGAGTCGAGTCCTCCTCCACACCAACCTATATCTAATCTATTCGATACTATATCACTATACACTATTCTCCCAAGATAATATTCTTAACATATTCTTAATCCGCATCTCCATCTCCAGCTCCCCTATACCAAATGAAACGACAAACCTATCCCCACTACACCCTTCCAACTTCAATATCCATCCATCCCAAATAACTACTCACGCACAATAGCCCATCAAATTACCGACCGCTACTCCCAAAAACCCCAAGATCACAATCCCCAAGAAACATTCAAACTTCCAAACTTGCAAAATGAATGATCAAACTTGCAAAATAGATAAACAAACTGAAAAAAATGAAAGATAAATGATAGAACTACCCACCCCCTTTCCCTTTCCCTTTCCCTTTCCCTTTCCCTTTCCCTTTTTTACTTCCCCCTCTGATTTCCCGTCCCTCTCATTCCTCTTCCCCATCCATCCATCCATCCATCCATCCTACCCACTCTACCTACTCTACCTACCCACCACCACCACCATCAAAAGAAAAATACTACCTACCTACCCACGACGACCACCACCACCATCAAAAGAAGAACACTACCTACCTACCTACCTACACATTTACCTAGTACCAACCTAGTACCAACCCACTCAATATCCAACGTACTCATATCCCTACCAAACAGAAAAAAGCACCAACTCCAAATGTTTCGGAGCGTAGCGGAAGAAACTGATGCGTCGGATTTTACAACCCTTTTGTATAGCGTGATGTGTATTCGTTGTCTGTGTTTTCAAGACCCAGGAATTCATTTGTGCGTAATCACATGATACCTTTTACGGGCTCAATTGTATAGGGAATTGAAAAATAATAATAACAAGGAAACAAACGATTTCTAATCATTATACGCTCCGAAACATAGGCGAGATCCCTCGCCCCCAATATCACAACATCACAATATTACAACCATACCACAGCAACTTAATATTTCATAGCTTGCGCTATTTATCGTATTGTATTGTATGGTAGTTATTTATACTTCCTATCCAGTCTTGACAAAAATCAGTGAAATCATTTCACATACACCTACAGATGCACTCTGCAGTTTTACTTGCTATCCTCTATAAAATTCTCCCCTACCCTTCAGAATTTCCCCCTACCCCCTCTCTATCTCTCCCCTATCCTCACCCCCATCTTCTTCCTTCTTCACACAGTGACAAAATATTCCTCTCTGAGCGGAAAATGCAAAGTGCTCGAATCTCACTCTCACTCTCACTCTCAACCCAACATTCCACAAATTTTTACTCCCCCTCCCCTTCCCCCTACAAACTTCCCCCTAACCCAAAACCCTAAACCACACCCTCTCTCCCTCCACCCAGTCCCTCACTTCTTCTGCCTCGTAATCTCAAAAACCTTCGTCAATCCATCCACCACCGTCTCCACATTCATCGTAACCAACGGCATCTTCTCATAACTACCCTCCTTCATAATTGCCACCAATGCCAGATACTTGTTGACCTCTCTCAACATAATTGGTCTCTTATCCGCCGTAAGTACAATCACACTTTCCGCATCCTTACATGCTATTTGATCTTCCAACTTCTTATTCCATGGTGGTCCTTCTAATTTCGAGATATATTCCGGTGATCGTTGATATCCATATATTTCGGATACGTCGACGATAACATCAATATAATCGCTACAGATTTCGTAAGAAGGCATATCGACCGGAGAAGAATCGGTTGCGATATATATCTTGGAGAGAACATCGAAAAGGTATGCTTTTTCGAAACGACAATTGCGACAGAGATCATTGAGAAGAGCTTCGAGAGTAGCAAGATGAGGAATCAATTTTTGAATGACTTTACTAAAGGCTTCAAAGATAGAATGGTTGTAGATAGATGTGAGGTGAAAATTGACAGGTGCATTTTCCATTCCTTGATCCGAGAGTTCATCTTGAATCCGTTGCATGATGTCGCGTTGAATATCGAGCATGTAATCATCTGATAAACCATCAACTTTGTGAATGAACACTTCAATGTTAATGTTTGGGAATGATTGATGAAGGTTGTAAATGGTACTGTTGAGACGAGCAATGGCTTCCAAGTAATCATCTTGAGCATCGATAACCCAAATTAAAGCACCAATTTCACCAAAGATAGCATCAACATCGAATTGAGCATCTTGGAAATCGATTTGACCGGGGAAATCCCAAACCTGGAAATCCATAAAGGAACTTGGGCATGTTAGTAGGTACCATCATAACAGAAAGTCTTCAACTTACTGCATGGAATCTTTTTGAATCCTCGCGGTAGATTCGAGAAAGAGAGTTTCATTTGGAGGCATCTTATGAAATACCACGCTCGATATCGAAGACTTTCCAGATCTGTAGAAAATTAGTGTACAATTCCTTCAACTCTGATATCTCAGATTACAACTGACCTTCTTTGACCCATCAATAATAATCTAGGTTTGCCTTTTGCGGCAACACCAGGTGCTGGATCAACTACCTTGGTAGCATCTTTCTTTTGGAGAGCGGCACGATTCTGTTCATGAAGAAATTCAAGATTTAGTGATGCTGGACTAATATGTCGAACGGGACCCATTCTAGGAGGACCATTATAGGTTTGATTCTCCTTGGTACGTCTACGCCCTATTTGTAAAACAGAAGTAGGAGAAGGAGACATTTGACTAATATTAAAAAGAAACAATAAAACAAATATCGTACAAGTAATAAGTGCAACTTTGCGAATGAGTAATACAGGAATAAGTGATTAGGTGATAGAAAAGATGTGACAGCATGAAGTCGTAAAAAGATGATGTGATATCGGCTGAATGAAATCCCAATGTTTGCTTCTTGTATGTGGTGAGATGTTGTTTGCCGAGAAAGATCAATATTCAAGAAACATTAAAACACAACAATCCAAACCCCAACTCCTGATAGAATCCCACCAGCCTTGCCAAAGTACAAATTACAAACTCCAAGCCAACTTCCACCGTTTGTTTGTCCAACCTCAAAGACTGGCACTCATACAAAAGTCTCGGATAAGTACCAAGTTGTACTCGGTCTTCCAAATTCGAGATTGTGTAGAGGAATCTAGAAACGGGTATGCACCGAATTCTAACACGAGAATGACTCTTGTTGAATCCTTTGAGTGACACTGGTCAAAGGAATATGAATCTTGAATTATGTATCCTTCACTCCAAAGTATGTAGGTATGAAAAGGATGATCGAATAAGGCAATAAGAGAAGCCAACAATGATGAATATCAACTCCTTTGATATCATTGAAACTTCAGCTTTGTTTATGTATGTAAATAATACGTACCACCACACCACCAGATTGGCAAAAGAAGAAGAAGAAGAAGAAGAAGAAGAAAACATTACACATTACAAGAAAAAGAGAAAATGCAAAGGGGTACCTAGTGGAGCCAACACTCGTCACATTTTCAATCCAAGGTCGAAAAGCAGAGACAAAAAATCGTGGCCTGAGTGAGAGAAAATCAAATATTGGTACCACTCATGATAAGAACCACATCCCCGGGAAGCGCAAAGAATGCCAACAACCAATGTTCAATTTGAAGAGAGAGGGGAGAGGTAAAAAGGAACGAGAGAGAATGTAAAGTGGAAATCGTGCGGAGAAAGAAATACGATAAAATAAAATAAATAAATAAAATAAAATTCTTCTTCATACCTCCATGATAGATGAGATCTATTGGTATTCCTGGTGGTGTATTTATGTATGTATATGTGTGTGTGTGTGTGTGTGTGTTTGTCCTTGCTGGAGTGTTAGGTGGGTGGGTGGTGTGTATGTATGTATGTATGTATGTGTGTGTGTATGGGTGGAGAGGAATCAAAAAGTTTAAAAGATCCCTTGCTGAATTGAATGAATTGAATGAATAGATTGAGATACTTTCCGAGGCTGATATCTGAGGGTTGAAACTACAAAATCTCCAATCAGTAAGCTGCATCTTGACATCTTGACATCTTGATATCCTGACATCATTGCATCTTTCTAGATCCTCTATTATCTTGCAAGACCATGTTGAATGATTCAAACCCAAGATGTGCTGTCACATCAATCGAGCCGTGTCAATATCTCAGAGACGTTATGCCAGGTGGTGGCTGGTGGTTTCCCAGGGGGGCTGAACAAATCACTCACTAAATATTTCTTTTGTTTCAGGCTCTTCCTCTTTTCCTTATGTTGAGACTCGAAAATTACTGCATCTCCTCATGAAACCAACGGCATTGATGTATTTGACTCTTTCGTATCTCAATCGAAGTGCTTATTGTCGTGGGTTGATAAAGACGTCGTTGAAGAATTTTTGATGATGATTGGGAAGATGGAGGTTGGTTGGTGGTCTATGCATCAAGTGGTGAGTAGATAAAAAAGGTGAAGAAGTCACAACACAAGTAATCCAACCGAGGAAAGAAAGTGAATGTGTATTGAGTACTTGATATCATCCCGTCTATCATCATTGAAATGTCTACCGACCTACTGACCGACCTACCTACCTAGACAACATCTCAAAAGATATCTCTCTGACACTCACTCTCACGTCCATCCATAATCAAAGTCATCATACCTTCCTAGTATCTCCAAGATATACTCTCACCCAAAAAACCACAGCAAAAGCCACACCCAGCCACAGCCATCCACTATCACTATCACAAACATAACCATTAATTATATAATCATTGGTTACTCTCTATCCAATTCAATCCACTCCAATCCATTCCAGTACCTCCCACCCGTAGGGACGTAACATGAGACCTTACCACACTATACTATAGAATAGAAAGTATAGAATAGAAAGTATAGAATAGGAAGTATAGAATAGGAAATATAGAATAGAAAGTATAGAATAAAAGACATAGAATAGAACATATAAAATGGGATGGGTTATTATAGTATAATATAATCTAAAATCCCTACCATGGACTTGATACCTAGGTACATATATACATGCATACATACATACATACATACATACACACAAAGATTTACCACGAGGTCAAAATCAATCCGCATATTCTTCCCCCTCATATTCATGTCTCACACGACGAGCATCCACTACAGTAATTCATTCCAATATGCTCATCATTCAAGTGAAACCTTGATTGTATTAATATTCTGCCTCCAAGTCAAGCCTAATAGCAAAAACCAAGAGCAGATCAACTTTTATATCCTAATATTAACATTATTCGTTCCGTTCCATACCCCCACCCCATGAATCCCTCTTGTAATTTATGTCCATAGTCAGCATGAGAGAAGCCCCTAGTAATATATCCATAGAGACCACCTTGCCATTCTTGTAATATGACGCCGTATCCAACCAGTGAAGCAATAACCCTTTCACAAAGTATTCTCCTATCCCATTGATCGTATCGATCTTTTCCATCCATGCATGTATTGCAGGTATCACATTCCCTGTAAACTCCGTCGCTACACAGATAACCATAATGCAAGCACTTTTATACTTTTGTGGGTCGCTAGACCACCTCTTCCCCCATTAACTTAAAATTCCCTTAAAGATGTTTCATCTGAACCACCTTCTCACGTATACCAGCTCACTATCTTCAAGACTTGGACTTGCTTCCAAAAACTGCAGCCATAAAACTTTTTCTTCTCCCCAACTTCCGCACGTTCAACGACTTGCTATCCAATGCATTATCATTAGTTGGCATAGACGGTAATGGTGGTGTTGCCCTCGAACTGACGGATGGGGTATATTCTTCATGGGTTTGTAAATGCCTGGATTTTTGACTCTTGGAGGACTTTGCAGCTTGTCTCTTACTCTTGACACTTCCCGACGAATGTAAGTTGCGGAATCCCGAGGCCTCACTTGCAACTTCTCGTTCCAGTTCTTCTATCTCACCAGCAACAGTCTTCCCCTTTGTTGCGAAATTCTCCTCGGCCAATGGCACAAATTTAATAATACCACGCTCTGGCTCAACATATAATTCAGTTGTGGCCATATAATTTTGGAGTAACGATGCATTTCTCTTGTTCGTTGTTGGCTGCATTTGTGATGGAAGCCCAGTTATCGTCATAATATATGCAGGTTCGAAAGTTCCAGCTACGATGAAGCATGCCGAGTGCTTGAGAGTGACGAAAATGGAGGATTCGGGACGCTGATAGCGAGTCGAGAGAAGATTAGAGAGACTTGTGAGAAGGGTATGTTCTTCACGCATCTATTGTACAAAGTCTTAGCAGCTGATTTGGAATAGGCGGAGATGTAAGTTAGACGAGAGGAAAAGAGGAAAAAGCTTACAATAACATTTGTTACCAGTTCACAGAGAACCATGCTATCCCTGCTCACTCTTTCTCTCGCACTGCCCGCCGATTCTCGATATGCAAACGCATCACCATAATACTGACTTCTCTTCATTGCCAACTGCCTTTGCTCTGGTGATTTTGACACACTCGATTTCTGCATATCGCCAGGAGTACCGCGTGAAATATCTCTAGTAATTCGTTGACCTTCAAGAATGATTGGGGAGGCCGATGAGGATGGCGGACTAAGATCCATCATGTCACTATCGGCTGGTGAAGGTGGTAATTGAACGGGTAACTCAACGATCGATTGTACACACCGTGAATTACCGTTGTTATCCAACACAAAGCCCTTTTGAGAATAGATGTCAACTATCCCTTTCGAAGGTGGTTCGTATTTGTTGGATATTCGCTCGTAACTTGCCGCTGTTATTGACATTGCAATGGAAAGCTCCAAAGGTGGATTTTCGAATTAGGGAAGTATTGAAAATGCGTGAGCCCAAGCAAGACGAAGGAATGCAGGGATTTAAAAGTAGATGTCTGATGTGAATGTTGGATATTGTGATGTGCGCAGTTATAAGACAAATTGAAGTATTGAAAACCCGAGCCACGAGATGATAGACCCAGAAGGTATGTAGAGGTAGGCACCAGTCATAGAATGATTCCTCGGGTTTTCCGAAGTCGTCCGTCCTTCAAGAAGAATGCATGCGATAAGAAGCGATAAGGCTGAATACCTCGTATTTGGGATGAATGATGAGCCAAAAATGCAAGTCTGACGTGTAGTGATGATCAAAAAAGTAATGTCAAACAGATGGATGTTGTTTTTGTCAGAGAAGAGTGAGATAGAAGGGTAGCAAAGATCAATAAATGAACATTTCTCCACGTAAGATATGGAAGAGGGAGCGAAACGAGGTAGAGTAGCGAGGGTAGCAGACTAAAATAGGTCAATAGTTTTTGGCAGGTGCGGGCGGTCCTGAGCGGGCGAGAGAGGCGAGGTAGGTACTAGAGACGATCCAGACTCTTTTATGGAATATCGTGCAGGCTACAGCCAAAAGTTTAATTCTGTACGGAGTCTGTACGGAGTCTGTACAAAGTGCTCAGCAATGATACGTACAAGATCTACAATCCCGGTTAGATGGGGAAGCACTCGACCAGAGAGGTATGGCTTCTTGTCAAAAACCATGTCAAATTTGTCGATCTAAATCCTTCGACGGAGCGAGCCTTCTCGAAGTTGGGATTTAATTGATATTCTCTACATTTGATTGGTCCAGCTCCCTGCTCAAAGGCGAGGAATAGCTCAATCGGGTCTTAATCATCAAGCCTTGATACTATAAGAAGCTTGGGAAACCTGACTTGAAATTCTTCAATTCGCACAGATCAGATTAAGGTTGGAGCTTGATCCTTCTCTGCGATAGACTTCTGATCCGCGATACCGACATACCTCACTTGGGACCTAGTAGCCATTGGCACGTACATAAGTAATCTGGCGAACGGGTATCTCTTCAACCAAATCTCCAGAGAGACCCTCAAACCTTCAGATTGCGTCTGTAAGATACCATTTGTCTTTGCCACGATGGTGAAGAGATCCCTGCGTATACGAATAGAGATGACGAAAGAAAGTATCTGTGGTTTAGGAGGTTCCAAATGATTCAAGTGTTGTGTACCTAGGTAGGCTGGTAGGTCCGCATCATTTGCACTCGTCGATTAGGTAATCCTATTCGGTGTATCGTCCCGTTGGTACATTATCCATATAACCATCCGTTCATCCCAGGATTAAAGTAAAGTAAGCAAAAACATCCATACCTACTCGTGCTGCTACCACCCATTCTCAAACAGCACATTATGATCATCATTAGTATAAACTTTCCTTCCCAACCTATCTCCTACATTTCCCATCAAAATCAAACATAATTCCTTCTTTCCATCTATCCATCCCGTCCTGCCGTAACAACCTACCCTGTCCCTTTCCGTGAAACGTCTCCTTCCCATCGCAAATCCCACCTACCACATTCAACCACTATATCTAGTATCCCGTATATTATCGGTCCCTTACAGCATCGGATACAAGAATGTATTTTTACATTGTTATAAGTTAATATTATTACTCCGCTTGCTGCGCTTATGAGGCCAAGCCGAATGACAGAAAACTGGAATCAGGACTCGTCCATCTACATGCATATACAACACATATTCCGTACGACGAATGATTATCAGATCAGCAACAGAAAGCTGGCCATTCGCGCAATCGCCATAGAAAGAAGAGGAAACCCCCCTAGGACAGAGATCAATTCCAGGGCCTCACTTGCAGGAAATTACAGAGTCAGAAGTCGTGAAATGTTACGTGCATGAATGGTGACAAGTAGGCTCTGGGGCGGTGGCAGTGAGGAGTGACAATGAGTACGAGATTTAAAGTGATTTTTGAGCTGGGTGTGACAACGGACATTTCGTTCCTAAGGTTGTGTGATGGTGTGGGTGTGTGGGTGTGTGGGGGATTTACGTTGTGCTGGTTTTCATTTGTTAGGTACTCAAAGTGAAATGCTAAAAATTGGTAGTGAGGCAAATACATATGTATTCGAGATATAGGAGGATCAACCGAATACAAAAATGTTTCTAGAGGGTAAGGTAATTTTTCATTGCTTACAACTACAACTACACCAGCACATTGATCAAATTTCTACTACAAAAGATACCCACACATTTCGTGTTATACACGTCGTATCTAGTTTTACCAAGAGACGACCCACCGTATAGCCAAGACCTCAACACTATCAACCTCAAATCAAATACCTTGCTTAATCTTCTGTCGTACGATCTCATCTCTCTCCCATATTATCACTGTGGCTGCTCCAATTGGACCAGCTATCAATGTCCAGACACCAATTTTAACCAATAATTTTCTCCTCAAGGCCCCGACTGGATTCCCCTTCCCTGCGAGCATCTGTCGGATCTGATTTGAAGGAAGACTCGTGTCAGGATCTGCGATGGAATTTTCGATCGTAGCATTGCGATATAATAAAATAGCCCATAACAAGAGGGCTGTTGAGCCAGTTGCCAAATCCCATTGAAGAAATGTGTGAGCACCATTTGCTAAATCCGAGACCCGATAAGAAAGTGGAAAGGGAAAGTAGGGAACATAGATATCGAAGAAATTTAGGCTAGCATAAGGAGAAAGCTTGGGTAGAATATCTGTAATGATTGAGGCGGGGACAAGAGCAATGAGGAGAATTGGAAGATGCGTCAATACACATAAGGTAAGGGTGAAGCGGTAGACATGCTTTGCGCTGCTAAGGTATAATGCTCCTTGTGGTGCTGGTGGTTGTTTGGAATCTTTGGAAGAGAGCTTCGGTCCAATGAATTGAAAGAATGAACGAAGTGTCCATTGGATGATGACTGTCCAGAGTGGAAAGGGTTGCCACAAAGCAATGAGTTTTTGATGGGTTTGTCCTGAAACCTGAGATGGGGCATCAAGGCCCATAAGGATAGATGGAACAATGTATGCTAGGGTGACTGAGAGTGGTAGAATCTTTAGATCCAGGGACGAGATGAGTAGAACGCTATTCGAATGCGTCCCTGGAAATGGTTTTGCGATTGGCGACGTTAAGAGGTGGATGAAAAGGTAGAGTGGTACCGTAACTGCATAGGTAATGTTTTGAAAGATTAATCCAACTGTTCCGATGCTGTGTAAGGTCAGTAATCTTCCTTGAAATATACATCATCTGATTCGCCACGATGAATGTATCAAATAGAATCACAGAAATCAGGAATAGATAGCCCTGTGTTCACGTCAAGGATCACCTACAAACTAACAGCCCTTCCCTTATTCCCAATTCTCAAACTTTCCATCACCAACAACGTCCACGCTGCTCCGAATTGTCCCAGTCCATAAAAACTATTCAACCATAATGCAGCATTCCTACTATCAACAACCGGGGCAAAGAAAGTCACGAGAACAGTCAATTGCCTATCGAGAGCTCTGATCCCCGTATAATCTTTCAATAACAAATATTTCGCATTGGGGAAAACGGCGGAAGGTGTTTTTTGTCTAACAAGACTGGTGATGTGTTCGAATGTCCCATTTCTGCCTCCAATGACCAAGGTTCCGAAGAAGCCGATGAGAGATAGAATAGGGAGGGCGAAGAGTGTTATGGTACGAAGTTGGAGGTGGTACCATTTGCTAGGGTTGTGGCCGGTTAGGTGAGTTGGTGAGCGAGGGGATGTAGGTGGAGAGGCACCCGATGCGCGTGGAGATACGATGGACTGTGAATCTTGTAAGCTAAGATTCTTGAATTTCATACTCATGCATACCATAGTGTTCAGATCATCAAGCAATCGACAAATGAGAGAGAAATGATACAAATACTTCGTGATAGCAATAAAACTCAAATGTCGACAGAAAAATAGAAGACAGCTGGCCAAATAAAAACATACCAAAGAAAATAAAAGAAATCCCTTACCTTTCCATCATTATCAATCTCTTTTTCTTTTTTCGAGTCAGACGAATCCATATTTACATATCTTATGAGTTTAAGGCATGCTGAACAGAGAGTGATTCGTGATGTCTTATAAGGTAGACTAATGTGGATCCGAGGCACCTGACTTGCGCTTTGCAGGGATCGGGGGAAGGGATTTGATGTCTATGTCAACGACATCGTAAATCTTCGACGGCTTGTCGTACTTCAGTCTCTTGTCCAAGCTTTGGGGATTCTCCAATTTTGTGTAGATTTTGGTCACTGATACTCAATTCGTATAAATCTACCGTGGGCAATGAGAATCTAACACGTGGTGAAGTCCTATTGCACCAGTCGGTAGGTGAGGGTTCATATGTAAATCTGTTCACCCACCTTTGGAGATCTCTCACATATCTTATATCTTCACTTGATACATATTACAGCCCCTTTTATTTTCTCACTTCGAGCTCACCAGTCCCGAGTTTGTAGCATAATGCACGATGTTCTTAATCACATGTCTGGGACGAGTGAGGAGTCTTGATGGTGGAAAATAGGCTAGTGTTCGTGAATGTTGACTCTTGTGATTTCCTCTTGTTCTGTATATCTATCATTTTGGAGGGGTGGTCGGATATTCCTGGGCTTAGTAGGCCTTACTTTCCTCCTTCAGTCGCATTGAGAATCTTTCGGGGGAGGCTGGTTTCATTTACCCAACGCGTGTTATTCACATTTGGTGGCTTTGCACTCAGAACGACGATCCATATAAAGTCCATTCATAAAATTAGTCTATAGAACATAATGAAGATTGCGGATTATAAGCCTGTGGCCTGAACATCGCCGTCGATTCAAGATGATATAGTGCTGATCTGGGGCATTATAAACACCATAAATAGGGTGTGCATCGTGTGAATTTTGTGTGCATCAAGCTGGCTTCAGTAAATGCCTGGGAGATACTTTCTCGACGAATTTCTGCCCATATTTAAGATGACACTGTCATAGACACAGCATCCATCGAAGGTGAAGGAGTCATAAGCTTTGAAAATGATTCAACTCCCATCACCGCACATTCAGACTTATTACAACATTCACAGTCCCGCCAATATCACTCCTTCTGAATCGAAATGCTTATAGGCATTACATGGGTAATTCTCTAACTGGACACTGGGTGAGCAAGTACTTCCAAATAGAGGCAGGCCTTAGAGTCCCATCGTAGAAGATATTGGGGAGTGTCCGTCACAATATCTTAATTGTCGAATTAGTAATATTGCATGATCTTTGTGTTAAGCAGAGTGGCCTGTGTCTGCGGGTGAAACCCAAGTATAAAATGCATTTGGTTCTTGCCGTTGGTATGATAGGTGAGAGGGTAAGTGCTCAAATAAACTTGCAACATGCGCTCTCACCTTATCCTCCTCCCATCATTCGTGTACCAACCAGACCAACGAAAAAAAGTTTTCCGCCGCATAATTTACTTACTTTTACTATGGTTCCCTGAAGATCTGAAGAAGAAAAAGAGACAAAAAGTTATCAAGAAACATCTTGTGGGGACCCCAGCTACGATGACTGGTCCTTTGCGGCCACTGAGCGGATCTATTGTCGCGGACCGACTTAAGATACCACTCGACCACCCAAATTTGTTGTTTCTTGATGTATAGGTTGGCGAGATGAGGATATTTATAGACGAGTTGGAATGTGCTGGTTGATCAGTAGTACATAAGTCGGGGATATCGACATGAGATTTCAGAGGTGCAAAAATTCGAAGAATAGTTGACCATTAAGTCCGCGGCTTGAGAGTATTTTTATTTTATTTCTTGTGTTACTGTTGAGTGCTGGGCGGAAGGGAAAATGAGTGCTGTGGTTCTTTCGGAGGAGGGTATTTGCAGAACTTTTACACCGCTCTTGTCGCTGGCCATTATCGCGAGAGATTTCAAGATTTCAAGATTCCTCCTTTGCGCTCACAACTCTATTGGCTCCTTCAACTTGCTTACGTCAAATTCGAGAATGGGTTCAAATTTTGAGATGTGCAACAAAACTCTGCTACAAAGTATCAGGTCACGAGCTAAAGTGAATAGGTAGAGTAGAATGATCCAGAATATCTACCCCTCAAAGTTCAAATTTGCACTGCCCTTTTGAATTTTTCTGCTTGTCTTTATTCACCTTCCATTACTTCTTCCACTTCTCTCTTCCTATTGCAGCAAACCAACAACAACGACAACTTAACGAACCTCCCAAACCAGGAATGCCTACGGAGACCTGAGCGTCCCGAGGTCCATTTCACGCAGAAATCAGTATCTGATTTGGAAGACCATACTTGAAGTGAATAGCATACCATGACCAGGCACTTATAACTTCCTGAAACGACATGTTATCTAATGAAAATACTATCACCGAGGCTCAGAGCAAAATCAAGATTCACTTATTACAGATGCGGTGGAGTACCATCTGCTGCGCCTCAAAATTTGTTTATTTAATACCCCAAGATCTCCCTTCTACTTTGCTTTCTCGACCTTCAACTTCAGCTTGCAGGTCTATCTTGTAACTTCAAGTCGCAAGTTGACCTTCATCAATATTCGTGGTGCACCAGCAAAGATGCAATCACTTCGTACGATCAACGTTTTGATATGGTATGTTCGACTTCTATCTCCATCCTTTCTGTCTTTGATCAACAATATATGCCTTCCCCATCCTGCCTTCCATCAGTTATTCTGGTTGACAAAAACGTTCGATCTTACTTTTCAACTATTGCTCTATACTGACTCGACAACAGTGCATGGCAGACCTTCCTACTTAGGACCGTAAACTCACGCGGAGATTATGTCCATGTCTTCTGTTGAATGGCATGATGCTGCCACCGAGGCAACGAGAGTCAATAGCTGTGTCTCCCATCTGAGCACGACATCTTTAACTGCGAGATTCAAGCTGGTATTATACTCCTCACTCGCTGACATGGCTTCACACAATTGAGTCTTGTCGTCTCCAGCTACCTGTCTTTCTATCTACCAATATGGCACGTGTGGTCTTTGTCGGGCTCTCGTCTTTTCTGTTAGACATTGATTTATCTGCCTTCGGGATTTCCCATGTCACCTTCTAATATCAATTGAATAGCAGTGTTCTGCATCGCCGTAAGTTTTCACTTTCATTCTATCCTTTATTGAAAAGTTTATACGACTAATCACACAATAGGTAGATGATCCGCAGAGTTCTAAACTCTACAACCATACCATGAGCTTGGTTAAACCACAAACCAAAACGCTCGACAATCTCGACTGCACGGTTTCAAGAGTTTCCCCCATATCGTTTGATAGTCTCGGTCTTTGTCCGGAATGACAGAAAACTACCACCGACAAAGCTCAGTGCTAAAAGCAAGGCAATCTCGAGCAACAATCTGTGCTATCTCCTGCACACCACGACTGGGACCTTTAGTCCGCTCAAATATGTGAAGTTTTCGAGCCTCACCTCCGATAATTGGGTTTCTTCTCACCGAGTTGCTCACCCGACGGCTGTATACCTAAGCATACTCTCTCAAATCAGTTACAAAGACCTCTGGAGTGAGTTTCTTGCCCGAGCGCTGTATACTCAGGTATGTTCCGTCAACCCTTTCTGGGGAATCTCTTGATTGAGTTTCCCCTCGATGTTCAGATCACTCTGTGGTGCGTTAGCACTGCAAAAAAAAACCTTTTTCACTTCCAGGTTGCGTGCCTGGAAGATTATAAACAACGCATTGACACATACCGAAAACTCTTAGCTCTGTAGTCATCGACACGGGAAATACTGAGTACCAAATTCCCTCGTGTTTTCGAATATCTTAAGATCCTTGGAAGGTCACGATTCAGGATGTCTGCCATCAATATTTACCAGACTCTGAATATCCGTCTGGTAGGACGTTAATCTCCAAACGATAAGTTTCGCATATTGTGATTACACAATACAGTACCTGCAGGACATAAACTCGACAATTTTTATTGGCAACCTATTAGCTGCTGTTGATCTATTCCACCTACCAAAAATACTCGCGAATAGAGTCGCTTCATCTTCTTTTTCAAACCTATACTTCCTCTGGAGTGTGGGTTTACTTGGTCTTGTGACCCAAGTCCAGTCAAATTTTCTATGCAGATACTTCTTTCCAGCTTATGGCTCATTCAGTTCAGCATGATAGCCTATTTTTTGTTTCCTAACAAGCGGTACTGAGACAACTCCATGGTTTTTGACTACGTGTTGTACACCCAAAACATCACGAAAGGAATTCATCACAAGCACACTGCTTCTTCAGCTTTGACACCAACTTCTCACTTGTTTTATTCAGAGCCCACGTCGTGAAGGGCGTATGAAAATAGAAGCGCATTATGTCTCCTAGACTTGATGCTAGCTTCTCTCTTATAACCCCCGAAGCACGATGGTATAAAAGGCTTGAATTCCTTGATCTACTCTTTTGACTACTCACGAATAACTTCAAGAGTCACCAGTAGTGTAAGTACATCTATTCGAGTTCTATGGAACATAAATCCTAATGTTAGAATAGGAAAAAGATACATTGATTTGGATCATCCAAGAGAAGACTCCAAATTACTACTTCAATAGCTTTTCCTCTCAGAGTCTGATAAGACTTTGAGTTTCACCTGTTTCCGACAAAGAGTGGACCTCTTTTCAGGAAGATCGTCCTGAGCATGACATTAAAATCTTTACTTCCTCGCCCACATTCAAAAGGTCTAGACGCATTGATTAGGATATTTCGACAGAGAATTAACAAATTTCCGTATTCTGAAATAGGCTTTTACTGGCGGAGCTCGCAGTTCCGCTATCATTTCAAAACTTCCAACGCAACTGTTCTGAGCACGACTTTAAAAGGCTCATTCCTCGTCTGTACGCAGAAGACGAGACGCATTGATTTAGGTATCTCGACAACAATCTGTACTCAAGTCACTACTCTGGTAGCTTCTTTCGCATAGTCTGAGTATGACTTTAACTTCTTGAACAAGGCTGTTTCGTACAGGCATGAGTTTAAACTGGAATCTCGACATCTTTTCTCAAGTCTTCAATACAACATGAACATCTTCTCGCGGCCTGGGTATTGGATAGGCAATAGTCCAATAGTCCGTGTTCGATGAGAGTGGTAACTCGCGTCGTAATACACCAATCACATACCTTATTTTTTCCTCAGAAAAGTCAGACGCATTCGCACGGATACCCTTCCAATTACCATATACATACTACTAATTTACCTGGCAACTCAATTCGGACTTCGTTCGACCAGCAGAAGTAGCTTCTTTTCTCCCGTACTCTAGTCATGACTTCGTCCACCAAGAGTACTTCACTTCGGCGTTTGCTGGTCTAAATATGACGTTAAAATCGGTCTCCATCGATTTGGATAGCTTCTCAAGTTCCCATATCAAATCAATACTTCAATACAGCCATCTAAATATCTCAAAAATAGGTTCGACTTCACTGACGGATCATTATTAATTTTTCAAATGTCCGGTACGACATAAACTACCAATCAATAAGGCATATCTCCCTCTCGGCATTACGCTAAAAAAGGATATCGAAGATCCTCTTCAAAGTCCATTTGAGTTTGTACTTCTTTACTCACGGCCTGGGTATTGGATAATCAAAATGTCCAGTATTGCAAGCCTCATCGAGCGCAGTAGCCTTCGACGTCTCTTCAAAGTCCTTGGCAAGACGTTAAAAGGCCATAGTTCCCTGCGGGACGACTGCGGGACGAATTGATTTCGATGAACTTTTCTAAGTTCAAAGAAATCATTATCTATCTAGATAGCTTCTGATGTCAATATGAGCAACATTGAATTTACTGCCAAACGATGTACATCAATGCCCTGTTTTCAGGATCACATTTCAAACGAGAGTACATTACGACGTACTGCCCAAGCATGTACGGCAATGCTAGCTTTCATGATCATAATTTTAATAGGAGCACATTGCGACGTACTGCCATTTGATGTACCTTAATACCAACTCTTAGGAACCTTTGATTAGGAAGGGTTCCGTTCTGGTAGACTCCATTTCCTCGCTCCAGTCTAATTCAACTCAACCTCATTGGGATAGTTCCGATCAATCCTGCTACTTCATACTAGTGATGTTCGATTGGAACGGCGGAGATGATCTTTGAGAGGCGAGACGCATTGATTCAGATTCCCCTCTGTGGTCTGGATTACTACCTAATTTTGTAGTCAGACTTTTCTGGAATCTCTGTCTGGCTGTGACATTGACTACCATCTCTGATAAACTCTGAACAGCATTCAATAGAAGCAACCAATCCTTGTACGGGTAACAACGTATAGAATTGCCGACTTCAGGAGCCTTAGTTGGAAAGGTTCCGATTCTGAACGAAATACACAGAATATCGTCATCTATTGCGACCGCTCCCTTTTAGGGATCTCCTTTAGGTAGACAAGGTTCTGTTCTGATCATCTTCCCCGCTCTTGTCCAAGCTCATTTTCCTCACCCTCTACATTTCGAACCAGCCTCCACTGAATTCGATACATCAATCAATTCCTCTTTGTTGTATATCACAGATTCTGGAGAAAGAAAGCAAGGTGACAGGCGGGACGCATTGGTCTAGGTTCTTCTATGAGATCTGGACTACTACTTCTGTAGCTTTCTCTGATATTTTGGGTCTGGGTATGACATAAACTACTACAGGTTTTAGATTTCGTGGCGGGACAATCGTCTGCGTCACCCACTCAACTTTTGCGACATAGGTACATTATTCTCTCATGAGATAATGCCAGCTTTCAACAACAATCCATCCTCGACTTCTGTTTTCTTCTCACAAATGCGTTCATCAAAGCTCTGAAAAGAGCACGCGATTCCTCGTGTCTTTGACCATGGAGATGAACACATGGCTGGGTCTACTATAGGTGTCTTCATTTCGCGTAAACAATTATCTTCTAGGTTCGCTAATTGTTGTGTGGCGAAATGGAGTATTTCCCTACAGGGCACGAGATGTATTGGCACGAATTTTCCGGGCCACTATCTACTTTTGTAGGTAGTTTCTGATATTTCGTCGCGGATGGGATCGTTGTTGTTCTCCGATATTCCGATATGTAAAGTTGTCAAGTGTGTTTGGCTTGGCTTTAATCTTTGGGTCTGATGGGTACCAACCGGATCCTTCTTCGATATCCTCGCCAATTCGGATGGGCAGGGTTTCGAAAATAGCTGTCTCGAAGGATAGGTAGTCAATCAAATTAGGTGTTACGATGAAAGGATAGAGATTCTTTCCAGCATAGTGGGCCAGTTTACTTGGTAATCTAGCGTGGACACGAAGCTCGTAGGGATCGCTTTCAGGTGAATGGGCCATCAGATACAATTCCAATAGTCAAATATGAAAACTTGACTCGTTATCTCAATCTTTTGCACACGTGATTATCGATACAGTCTCTCTGTCATCTACTTCTTACTACAGGTTTGAGTTTCCACACGTAAATTAATTGTGTCCAAATGCTTGCATCAATTGGGGTATGAGAAAACGAATTTATCCATGGATGCTCGAAATTTCGAGCCCAGGAACTGTTTCATTCATAAAGATAACATCTATATACAAAAATGAATCCAATATATACCCTACACACCAAGCAAAGTTCATTCAATTTAATCAAACATTTCCTCCCAAATCACCCTAGCTATGCTCCCCTCGCATTTCCTTCCAAACTTCTCTACATGGAGATACCCCAATGACCCATACGTTTAGCATGGGCACTTGTGGCCTGATCTTTCGGTGTAAGAACAATATCGCTCTGGACCGTAGTAAGGTTGCCAAGATACTGTGTCACATATGAGATATCCTCCAAAGAAACCTCCTCGACTGGTTTACTCCATCCCAATTCAGTGGGCAATCGTTCATTTTCTGCGAATCAAATTAGTCTCTATCTTCACAAAATAGAACAGAAAGAAATAGAACTCACCAATCCAACTCTCAACCAAAGTTCTATTCGCTGTGACTGCAAATTTATCACCAAAAGCGACAACTGGCGCTGCCATCTCTCCAAGACTGAATGCTTCCGTCGTGGTGCTGAATGTAAAGTTGGGGTTTGTGGAGCGAGAAACGATTTGTCGGAAGAGTTTACCGTCGACGAGATGCTGACCGGTGAGGACCTCAGAGGGCCAGTATACTTTTGTGGTGTCGAAGATGGTTTGGTTGAAGACGTGGTTGTTGCCAAAGTAGGCGTCGGAACGACTAATACTTCCGTCGTGTTCGAGGACATTGTGACGGTTCAGATCGTCGCTGATGGGTGTTAGTTGTTGGGCTTTAGATATGGAGGCGGGCGGTGAAAGGAATTAGGATTGAGAGTACTTACAGAGTGAAGGAGGTGGTATTGGGGTAAGCTGGGCTGACTGGTATGGCTTGCTGAAACATGATTGTTGCAAGCGATTTGTTAAAGTTGAGACCATCGTTGAGACCCTTGACAACGTTGTATTCCGTGAGATTCCTGCCATCGCGGGGGAGGAACCCGTGATTTGCTAATGTGTTCATCATGGGACATGGACCGCGGACTATGATATATCAGTATCTTGTAAAGAAGAAGAAGATGTCGTTTGATGAGTAAGACATACAGTCGGTATCTGTAGGTGCTATCCAAACACCTTCAGTGTCATTGACGGCATCATGTTGGTGATAGTGAGCTCTAGCAGTGACCAAGCCAAAGGCTAGAGTGGTGGGAAGAACGTTAAATCTCATATTGGCTTGAGGTAGTGATTGTGTATTTGAAAATGAAGTAATTTAATGTGAGTGAATTGTGAATATTGTTCCAGAGCAGCAGATCGAGGTATTTATCACATCAACAGCTTCTAGAACATCCCCCTTCTCAAGCAAGACTCCTTGTATCACAACACTTCAACTCCATCCTGTCATATTAGATGAACCTATCATAAGACGGTCCGAAGAAACGATTCGCACGAGGCAAGCAACATGGTAAGTTTTGCACTGCCTATGGTGATCACTGCCATCATCGTGGATCGAAAGACCCCGGATACCCACTACCAGATGAAGAGAGTTGCTGGGCCCCCTTCTCAGGCAATTTAGAAAATCAATGCCGGACATTATGCATATCTGAACGCCGTCAACGCTGGCTACCCGCAAGTAGAGCCGATACTGAAGTGTTTCTCGGACCTCGCATTCGTTATGACATACCAATTTAAGTCGTAGTCAAAGATATTAAGATGGTAGTTCCACAACCAATGTGAAACTCGAATATTCAATAGGGGTTAGTGTATATGCTGATCCTCACACTCGGAGAATATAAACTCGTCGCATTCCCCGTAATATCCATCCTCATGGGTCTTTTCTTGGACTCGCACTCGCGCAGCCAATTACGAACAATGTATTCGCATAACAATGATGATGGCTGGAAGAGCCAAGTGCAGTCTAAGGTGACACCTTCTCGATTAAAGTTTCTGGAAAAGCTCGAGATCCATAGTATAGTCTGTGGAATGTTCTTATTGCAGATCTGCTACATGTTACATGACATAGTTTCGCATTCGCACTCCCGGATTCGCATCAGGCATATATGTCAGGCTTGAAATTTTGCAAATGCTGGACTTCTGATTGGCTTGTAAAAGCATGAGATATGGCTCGGACAGCAGTGAAAATGATGGATCCTAGAAATGATGCCAGTGAAGGCGTTTGACTTTGATAAGAAGAAATGATAGCTGCGGGAGAAGACGAAACCTTCATCATTAATATTCCGTGTTGTTGGCAAGCCACATCTCTCACCATTCTTTTACCTCTAGATTCCATATTCGATCAATATTCACGAATAAGAACTTTGATGTCGCCCTTTTGGTCCCACAAACTGGACACACACTGAGTAGTACAAAAAACATCGCCGTCCCAGATCAAGTGCCCAGCACACTGCAAGCTGAAAACATACAGATTGTTATCAACAATTCAGACAGGAAAAGCCGGATTTTGATACGTTCTTCTCCAGCGTCTTCTGATTTTTCCACGAGGATATTAATTTCGGATAGATAAGTCACGTGCTGACTCACCAAACGCGCTTTCAAGATCTTGTTAACAAATAAATGCCGAATGCGACGTTTCACATCTATTCAGCTATCAAATGGATGTTACTAATTACTAGGTAACTGCGATGCTTGAATGTCATCGAAACGCGTTTCGTGAATACTTACTGCGCGTGAGGCAGAAGGAACTTTCGCTGTGGTCAAGTGTCGATATTAGACTCGCACTTTGCCTTCCTGTACATGTTGATATTCTCAGATTATCATATTATATCTAGAGAATTCTCCAAAATCAGCTGTACACACACTACTTGCCAGTACCTACAAAGACAAGAATCACGACCAGAAAAATGTTACATACACCGCCATACTTATCCTGCCACGAATCGCGATCTTTCTCAATATCGACTATCAATTACCAACCACAGCAATCTCACCCACACGAAACAGCAAGATAATAGACTTGCACCCTCAATTCCTCAATTCATCACCATCAACCCACCAAAAGCTCACTGCAACCCTCACATTGGCCTATTCTAACCCCCATAGCCGCCTACCCCTACATGCAAGCGCCCGTGCCTGTGCGCAGCCCAAAATAACCTTGAAAATCATGGACCGAGAGACATTCTGAACCAATCATTTACAAATCTCACAGGACGTCTATGATTTTGGAAATATGATTGGGACAGACTTCTAGGGATTTTACCGTCTGATTGGAAGATATGAATACAAACATGCCGAAGTGCACAAGCGGCATGCTATATCGCCCTATCATTTTTGAAGCACTGCGTTTGTAACTTCAGCGTTATTCTCATCAATTCTGTTGGTTGAAGACATCTTCAACTATTGAATGCTAAGTGATATAATTATCTGATAGCAAGGAAGTATATGTACCTATTGAAGTCCCCCATTTTATTCATTCCGTAGGGCCGTCATATCTGAGTCTATTTCGCGTTCTTATTCTTCAGCTTCCTGTGCTTATTGTGGGGTATTCTTACTGCATTTCTCATCTTACATTCGTTCTTTATCGCGATATTATCATATCAATTCCTTCTCTTTCTCTCTTCTCCATCATTCAATACCTCAAATAGCGAAAATGGCAGGTCCATCTCCATCCCCAGAACCAAAGCAACCCCTCACTGTCGTCACATCCTCCTTCCAAGAATTCACGCCCGAAACCTCCTCTTCTCGCCCTCGTGCAACGATGGCTCAACATGCCAATACAGTTTTCATAGCCATTAGCGCAATTCTTGGTCTTGCTATCATGGCTACATCAGCAAACGCACTTCAAGTTTTTCATTCCACTCATCTGGGCGCTGAATTTCGATTGCCAGTCTGGCCTCAAACTTTCGATTTGAAACCTACCATTGCCGGGGTCATTTGTGGAGTTATGATTCTCGTTATGAATTCTGTGGCCCTTGTGGGGCAATTTGTTCCTGCCGTATGTTCCTGCCGTGCCTCCCCGAGTTGTGTATTAAGAGCTAATCCTTTACCAAATAGTTGAAGCGAAACCCCCTGGCTCTTCCTACTCTCATCCCCCTGGCTATCGCCCTTCTTGCTGCAGTCGTCGCCTCAGCAATTTCTTTCAACGCTTTAACTTCCTCGACAACGTGGACTGTCCAAACGTGGAGTTGCCAATGGTCAAATATCAGTACATCCACCTCACCACATTGGGGAACCTTGTGTTCGGAAAGTAGAGCTGCGGGAATCATGAGTGTATGTGTGATTCCGTTTGAAGTATTAGCGGTAGCTTCGGTAATCGCTTCGGTGATGAAGGCAAAGAGAAACGTTCAGCCCGAAGGACAGTGGGAAAGGAAAGGTAGTGCAGGAGAGATGTCGTGAGCGGTTGGCACGAAGAAAGGTGTGGATGGATGAGAATACTTTGATAAGTAAGGTAGAGGTAGGGAGTCGAGTGATTGGTTCATATATTAGCGTGGGGCGGAGCGAACAAACAGATCTCTTTTATTGAGTATGGCTTTTTGGGCGGCTTTATGTTTGAATGATTCAATGTATTAAAATGACATCAGTATCAGTATCTACGGAAGAAATGTAGGATCGCGAGTCAACTTAAGGGAAACAGGGACTTGGTAATGAATTTTTTTGCTTCGATTTGCCCAATATTTTTCTTTCCTTGCCGGGAATTGCGTTATCTTTTTGATCATTAATGCAGCGAGTGCCTGTGAATATAAGAATCACTTAGCTTTGAGGAGAAGAAATTTCAGACTTCCCCGAGGAAGAACGTTTAATGCATTGCGTAAAGTTTCCTCGATTTTACCCGCGCTCTAAGTAGAGTGAAGTCCCGAAACGGCGGGCTCATACCTTGATCCACAGATGCCAGACCATTCATTCACAATCAAATGAAACTCTATAGATGACCGGAGATAGAGGATACAGAACATTGTCATTTTAATAAACTACACATGATATATACATATAATCCCCTGTCTATCCTGTCAGTGGTGGTAATTTTCCTATCCATACCTCTTTTTTCCACTCATAGATATGACCAAACGAGTGATGAGCCATATCTTAGAGTCTCTTGTGTTTCAAAAATTAATGATAGTTTTATGAAGTAAAGTTCATTGCAAATGATAAACGAGCGACAAGGTTATACTTCGAAAATATCTACAGATACAATCGAACGAATGGTAGGCCCATAGCCAAAAGAAAAATATATAAATGCAATCAAATGAACGAACGATATGCCTGTACCTCAACATCCCCCAATACCCTCTGGGTTCCGACTCTTCCAATTTGTCTACGTCACTCAATTATTAGATCTCGTCTTATCACTCAATTTGGACAATCCAGCCATTCTCAAAAATCTGCGCCATGATGAATGTCGACTAGTCATTGTTGCCTTGTCCCTATCAGGTTGTTGCCTCTCCCATTCCATCATCCATGAGTTCATCATTGTATGGTTCGAAACTCATCGATCGACGTTTTCTTCTGATGGCATTCGATCTGGAGACCCCACAAGAAGATTGCTGCTGGTCGCTCATACTGCTCTCTGAGGTGTTGGTGCTATCCGTGAGGCTTGGCGGATCGGAGTTGGATCTTTGACTGGCTTCCGAATCGTTCTCAAGGTCGCTTTCTATGATGATCTTCATTTTGGTGTTATATCGCTTCAAAGCGCTACGAATACGCTGGACTTCTGGATAGCAATCTTCATTAATGACGGCTATTGTTGAAATATAGTTCTCTAGGATGCAAAACTCTCGGAGTTCTCCTGGAGCTGGAACTACTGCCATGGAAGTCTCGCGATGGATTTGTTGGTCAATGCTCGTACCACTTTCCCAGTTCATGGTGGTGGCTCTTTGATGTTGGTTGACGTCCATGCCGCTTTCTGTGTCCCGAGGTTCTTCGGCAGAGGGCTCATGACTAGAATAGCGACGAAGAGGGGTTCCAAAATCGACGTCGTCTTGAATAGAGTTATCGGCTACTCCTGCGATTAGAGCTGGAGCTTTTTGCGATTGAATGACTCCGTTGTTGGGGCCAATGGAATTACTGGTGGTGATAGTTTCCAAAAACCCACTCGACGCAGAAGAGCCTTGCATGCCAACATCTGGCATTAGATGATGCGTTTCGTTTGGATTGACAACTTCGTCAATAGAATCAGTGAATTTATGGCGTAATCTCTCTACCCTGGGACGTCTTCTCAAGGTTGTGCCTTCAGGGCCTGAATAGATAGGTTCCTGTGTAGCTTGAAGCCTTTGCGCACTCTCTGGGGGAGCATTCTCGTCTCTTGTCTCATTTGAGGCTTCTTCTATGATTGGCTCAACAGATCTAACAGACTTGGATTTGGAGATGAAGCACGTTCGTACACAGTCGACTGGATTCGCCATTCGGATGACTTCAGCTTCGAGTTCTCTGATGCCACGTGCATCAGCGTTCAGAATCATCTCTTCGGAATTTTGTCCCGAGCTGCTGGTTCGCTTGATATTGTGCGCAGAGTCTCTTGTGCCGGATTTATTGGTCGTTCGATTGGTCTGGTTTTCGAGATCTTCGGTGCGATTTGTATGATCATTTACAACCTCTCTTTCAGCATTCTCCCCGAATTTATCTCTGGTGAATACGCCCAGCTCTGCTTCACTGTGTCTTAGGGACATTCTTGCTTCATTCTCTTTCCCAGATTGACTCCATCTTCTTAGAGGATTAAGCCTCTCTGCCAATGAAGAGAGCTTGTGGCGTATCGACTTCAATGTTGACAATTCCGGTTCCTCGGGAAGTTCCTTAACCATCTTGTGTATGATAGTGATATTTCTATCCACAGGTTCAATTTGAATGATCTTTGGGGGGGCCCTTTCCTCTGAGTACAACACTTCAGTGACAAAATCTGGATCAGGTCTAATGATGCCCGTATGCATCTCTTCCGGACCTTCACTAAGTCTCTCCGATTCTCTGGCATTGTTGCTTTTCATACCATTCAGATGGGAGGTGGCTGCTGGATCTCTGGAGTTGGACTCGGCCCTGAGAATATTGCCCGAGGCGCTTGACTTATGAAATTCCAACACCTCTGATTCATTAAACTTTCTATTTTTTCTTCTGCTGAAGCCCAGAAAGATTCGCTTACACAAAGATATACTTGGTCCATCGTAATCTTCATTCTCATCTCCATATTCGTGTTTATCTCCATTTTCGTGTTTATCTTCATCTCCATCTTCATCGTCAGTTTCGATATTATCGTTGTCGACGTCTTTTGTAGAGCAATGCTGATACCTCTGGAACGGGAATCTGCGGCCTTTCTTTTCCTTGATACCATTCTTCTTCTTGGTAAGTGGTCCGACCTTGACTCTGTTACCATGAGCATCGGTGGATGACTTAGTTTCCATCTCTTTTCCATTTCCATTTCCAGTTCCGCTCAACTGCTTTGGCGATTTGTCGACCTCGCTGCCGCTGGCATGGACTTGTCTATTGAATTTCGCAAACTCTTGAGTAGGGGTTTTGGCGAGATGGCCAGAAACAGCATTCTCTTCACTTTGCATTCCATTGGCTTCATTTTGCGAAAATTGAGGAAAGTTCTCAGGGGGAGGTGGCACAGTAATCGTCATCGAAGTTCGTTCGCTGGCGGGTTGGGTTCTTTTGTCGACCTCGTCTTGTGTTTTTTCTCTGTCGGCCATTTTGATGATCAAGAATAAATGGGTGGTTGGAGGTGCGAGTCGATTTGATATTTTAGATAGATATGGTGTGGTAATTGAGCAGATAGTTCGATGAAATTTAGATGTAGATTTTTTTTCGAGTCGATCAAAGGCTTGTAGGCGATCGTATATTCGTTTTTATGTAAAGCCCTTCGACGAGTTGAGTTGCCTAGTTGCACAACTCAAGATGAGAGACAGGAATGATGTGATTTATATATAAAAGAGAAAATGTGTCGAAATTGTAAATAATATGATGTTCGATGTAGATTCGAATCTTCAGATAGCTATAGATTTGAGACCTCAAGTCTTCGATATAGCAGATGGCTTTGTAGCTCAGTTTCTATGAACTGAGCTCCAACTAAAAGGGGAGAATAAAATTCGATAATCTGAGCTGGATGAGGATATGGGGCATGATGGGTAACGACTTAGATTCTGTGTTTTCTTTCTGGTGTGATTACATGCGTTGGTCGACGTTGAGGTGGATAAAAGCAGATTTTTTTTGGGGAGAGAGAGATGAAAAGTTTGAGAAGGTGGGAGAGTGGAAAACTAGGAATCTTAACACCTGGCCGTAGTTTGTAAAATTTAGCGCTTTTCCACCACTCTCTCAACCGTACTGATCGTCATAACAGTCAATCACTCGTGCAGTGATGTACACAGACTAAAACAACTTGAAACATTCTCAGGTTCCGGTTTCGAGAGGTGATTTCGTACAGAGTTTGCTCTTATTGGTCTACTTTTGAGCGTTATTGCTCCACATGAGCTTAAAATTCCCCCTAAACTTAACGGTCGCTAAAACTACCGAGTAGTGTCTTGGCAATTTGCGACGGCGAAGATAGTGATATAACTTCGAATGGAATTAGCTGTGATCTTGTTAATTCATTCCTATACTACACTCAACTGTTGCAATCATAAGATTAAAATGTCAATATAATTGAACCGAAATATTGTTTTCTCTATGATAAAGCATCACCGTTTCGTTTATTTCCCGGATTCTCATTGTTGAGGATAAATTTGGAAGGTGCGACTTTAGTGAATCAATATATAATGTACATTCTCAACACCAATGATTCTACACCCCTTCCACACCTACAACAAGAACCCCACCATGTACTCATACTCGAAAACTTGGCCCATGTCCGGCCTGTTGTAACTTCACTAGATTACACGTTATGATGCTGATGCAATAAAGCAACGACTAGAGGCCGCGATGCGTCATAAATTAATATTTTCATCACTTATGGCCGAATATTTCCTTGGTTCCATTATCTCATTGTCTTGGGATTTACGAAGTCATGTCGCAATACGCTTGATCTTTGCTCGAGTGGGGTATATTCGACATCTAGCTTGCACAAAATATCGTCAGATTTACACATTCTTGTATGCAACAGATACCATATGGTATGTTCTTGCGAGTACCTCTTTTGTCTATCAGGAACGTTAAAGGAATCGTTCTTGTAGGTGTGGAAGGGTGTAGAGTTATTAATCCTATGGATCTAGTTTATATATGTTGATTCATTCGCATCCTCCATGTTTATCCCTGACAACATTCTCAATACATGCACCCTACTCTCTGCACACTTATTCGTTCTCAATCTCCTACCTAAAACCTTCCCCACCATCCCTGCCATCCCCAGCCTCCCACTCCTCACCCGAACTTTACTTTCACGGCAGTTATATATTATTACAACTACCCAAATTACCTGCGTCATCTCAAAGATCCCCACTCACGCCTTACACCCTGTAAATCGATTCTACAACCACAATTTTAGCTCCTGATACTGAAGCGCAAATAGGTAGCACAAGAGGCACACAAAGTAGCCATTGATACCCTTCGAATCAGTTTCTAGCACATTACTCAAGACTTCTTGCATCCAAAATATACGGGTGTAGATAAACCTGCATTTCTTGAGGTTTTCTCCTCCTTCTGGCTTGACATAACACGAAGAAACAGACCCCAACCCATTTACTACCTAGCCACTTAAATTTTGAACCAAGCCATACTTAATAAACGTATCATGAATTATGTGTCATTGTGCATAACGGTTAGATATGCAACAAAACCTATTTTCTTTTCTTTTTCATTTCACACAACATTATTTGCGAGGTCGTATGATTTGGTTTCGATTCTAGTGCACCAGGGATGGAGTTATCTCCTAGTTTATTGCCGGTTTGAGACGGCATACGCGTATGTATATTCGTGCATGAAGTCTTATTCTTCGTCACTAGATACTAAAGGTACATCATGAGTCTCTGAGAATAAAGTACGTTATTTTCAGTCAAGTTCGGAAGTGGGTTATATAAATTGAAGATAAAATGTATAAAGCCTATCAGAATTCTCAAGGTGATTATCGTAGCAGATAATTTTGATGACTACTACTCAGATTCCTTCCGTTCTGGTGTTTTCATGGATTCATTATCTTCTTATTTATGCAGAAGTGGTGCGTCATCAAACTCTTCACAGTTTGACAGAATTCATAAGATCCTCGCATTGATCAGGAAAAGATCAAATTTTGTGTATCTGCTCCCTCTAGAAACTAATGATGTGAATGTCAGTAGGAATCAAATAAAACTTGCAAACTTAGCTCATTAATACCCATTATCACTACACAAATACAAGCAGGAAATGACGTGAAAATTCTACAATTGATATGAAATGATTGAATTTAAGCATCTAGGATATTAAGGCAGCTCAAGTACCATGATGTATTTGACTCTTAGCATGGTTCAAAATGGTAGAATGCTTATCAAAGTGCAATGATGGTGAAAAGGGTGTTATTTTTGGAGGGAAAATTGACCTTGCTAAGTAGATTCTCCTGTGACTCTTACATTGATAAGATTTGGAGAAACTTTTTCTATGCTCCACCTATTGACGTCTTCAATCTGAAGATTTATATGAGTCTATTCGTGTTTCTTTGTGTGTAAAAAGTAGGGTAATCGATCTTGGATACTGTTAAAACATATAACTGGAAGTGAATTTGATGATACGTTGGAAGGCATTCGCAATATTTAAGACATTTCATTCTATAAAAATACTGTATAGTCGAAGAGAGATTTATTGGGAAAAGAGTTACAGTGCAATATTGTGTCACTTTAAGATGAAGAGAAACCTTATTTCACCAAAATATTTGTAATTCAACAAATTCCTAGTTGCTAAATACATCCCAGAAAGCTTTTCACCCAAGAATCAAATATCTCATTCCTTCTATAAAAGAAGTCTCCCCTAGCCCCATTTTGAATAAGAGACAAAATAGCCAAGTCAATGGAAGATACTCCGTTCGCATAACATTGACCCCTGATCCCTTTCCATCTACCTTCCAAACTCTGTTACCACTTCATGCATTTATGCACCGTTACCGTTGTAGGCAATGAGGTTTGGGCTGCCAGAACCAGCGCTGGTAATAAGATTGGGAGTAGCCAATGCCTTAATTCTAGCCACAACAGCAGCTGGTGTTGCCAAACCTTCAAGAGCAATCAAGTAAGCTGCAAGACCTGCAACGTGAGGAGTAGCCATTGAAGTTCCGCTGATGGTGTTGGTAGCGGTTGTGGAACCAATCCAGGAGCTGAGAACGTTGACACCAGGGGCGAAGATGTCAAGAACGGCACCGTAATTGGAAAAGGTGGCTCGGGCGTCGTTTGCATCAATGGCACCGACTGTGATAGCGTTAGGGGTGGAAGCGGGCGAGGTGTTGGCTGCGTTTGCCTGGATGGAGAGTTAGTAAATCTTGTTTTTCAAGCCTAGAAATTTAGTATAGAATAGAATTCAAACATACATTGTCGTTTCCAGCAGCTACAACAACTGTTACACCGGCAGCAACTGTGCTTGTAACGGCACTGTTCAAAGCAGTGGATAGACCACCACCAAGAGACATGCTTAGAACAGACTTAGCACCACCGTTGGTAGCAACCCATTGAATACCAGAAATAACACCGGCGTTTGTTCCGGATCCAGCAGCATCAAGAACCTTAACACCGACTATCTTTGCCGCCTTAGCAACACCGTATGTGCTACCACCAATAGTACCAGCGCAGTGAGTTCCGTGACCATTCTCATCAGTGTTCTATTCAATGTTAGCAAATTCAATACCCGATTGCCACTAGATTTGAACATACAGCTGATCCAGAGACAAAGTTGGCTCCCATGCTGGCACGACCACCAAATTGAGAATGAGCTGCATAGACACCAGTATCGACAACGTATACGGTCACACCACTTCCGGCGGTAGAATCATAGATGTAAGTAGTAGTATCTTGTGCACGGTGAGAAATGCGACCTAGCCCCCAAGTAGCTCCAGTTTGAGTAGTCAATGCTGAAGCGTAGACCTTTTGATCTTTCTCAATGTATGCAACCTAACCCAACTGTCAGTAATTGTTAATTGTTTCGCACTTAGGATGCATACTTCTGGTTTGTTAGCGATCTCAACAATGCTTTCCTCATCAGCTGTGATCTGATATCCAGCAAAGTCGTGAATCTTGTAATTTGCACCAACTGATACGGCGTTGTCACGTTTTGCAACGATAGCGTTCACAAAGTCAACATGGCTAGCAGTCACCTCTGGTGTGATATCCGTGTTATAGACGACGATATAGCTATCGGCAACGATATCCTTAGCGACGGTAGTTGGAGTCTTAATCTTAGGATGAGGCACTCTGACTGCTGGTGCACCAAAAACAGGAGCAAAGGCAGCCGCGAAAGCGGTAAGAACGGTGAGATATCCAGCCATGATAAAGATGCGGTCAAAAGGTTATTCTTGATGAAGAGTTAATGAAGAAGGTGTTCCTGGTGATATAGTTTCAGAGGGATACGAAGGCAGTATTTAAATCAAAACAGATGAGGCTCTTTTGCATGTGCCACTTGCATATGCAAATGACAACACTCACTGTCGACGATGATTCCGAGCCGCGAGCAAGATAGGATTTCCATGAACTGGAAAGCCAAGGTATGCTGTAACTCAATATCACAACATTAAATCCATACCTCATCGTCACCTTCTACAAATGAATGTTATCACCACCTTCAGGCACAGGTCTATCACATTTATGGAAGCTGTTAAGGATATGGCATGAAATATGCTCCAGGGCCTGACTTGGCCACTGGTAATCATCATGGAATGTAGAGTTTCCTGAAATGCTATTCGACAATCATATCGGTGTGGGGGTGCTTGAAGAATGAAGCAAGCCAGTACTAGTATAACACCATCGAGAACATAATCGACTAAGATGGACCACGAGCCGACACAAACGACATGAAATAGGTATGAATCTCAGGCTAAACGCCATCATGGTAGTTTATGTCATGCTCTCCCACTGATTTTTATGTCGAATTGGGAAGTTGTGAAGCTTTTCTTATCGATCTGTAAACATGCGACATGCGATTGGCACACACCCTATAGTCTACGTAGGATTGCCAAGCGTGTAGCCAAGCGCTCATCCTAAAAATCAAATGAGTGACACTTGCAGATATGAAGAGACGCAGAAGCGCCAAGTGAAGTGGGCATATGATTGTACAATATCTTCGAAGATGGCTTCATCTCACTGGAATCAAATAACAACCTCCCTTTTCGAGAATGAACTTCTATCGAAGTTTTTCTGGTTTCGAAGTGCGAGAGGATCTCGTGATGGCGAAATCGTCTTGGCTATGACTTTGCGTTATTGTTTGATGAAATCTGTGATGCCGACATGTTCGACGCCGTGGCTGAAAAGGCTTATCTCCTGCCGGAAAAAGATCATCTATAGTATTCCCTTGATATGGTTCTACCGTTGTATTCCTGCATACTATCTCATTCTTGATCATCATGGCGGTTCCAGCTTGGCAGCACAAGATATTGCGATTACCCCAGCCGAGGCATGGTATGGACTCCAAGAATATATTCATTTCAAGGCTGTTGAGTTGAGAAGAATCTGATAAAACATGATATTGATGTCGTGCGACCGGTGATTGATCGCTGGGATGATACTATTTGCCTTGGAGAAGCTTGAAGGGTAATGGTACTTGGCGACATTACTTGGCTACGTTGATTTAAAGATTGAGAGAGGGTACAAGAGAACTACATAGGCGGAGAAACATTTAAAGTGGGTTTCCGTCATATCATCAGATTACCATCTGGAATTAGCCGGATCTAGAATAGGAAGGAGTAAAATTTACCCTGTCTATCACATGAATATCACGTGCATTTTCAAGTATATAGCGCAAGAGATGTTGAGAGATGAGTTTACTCCTGCAGTCACGAGTGAGTTGAGATTGAATCATTTTGAGGGTGTTAGTGTTCTAATTACCCGCTGTTACATACTGCGAAAGATTATGTTTCCTCTTCCCATGACCGGAAAACCAAACAACCGGATATCAAAGGTAACACAAAATTTGCCCCCCTGAACATTATTCTTCACATTAGCCGATCAAATGTCAAAGATAGAACAACCGGATAACGAGGCAGACTTGGTGCCATGCATAGTACATGAAGCATGCTTCAATGTACGACTCCTTTCAATTATCCTCAGTATTGCGTGGTTTTCTGATTGGGATACCCGAGTCATTGATTTTCCTTCATGTGCAAGATGCAAATGCTGGAATGCTTCTAATCAGTCCACGCATTAAACATCTACCCAATCCAGGATCCAGAGATTATCTCCTTATGTCCTACCTCATAATTCTTCAGTTTCTCAGTCCCAATTCCATATTCAATACTTGATTTACATTTAGATACTTTGCAAATAAAGAAGGATTCTTCATCTACGCTTTTTCCCTTCTCGGGCAGGAGATTAAAAACAATCTGCATCATTCAAAGACGTTTCGTAGCCCCAACTTCACAAGAGAATACACGGAACCCGCACTAAAGAAGGTATGTACAACGTCAAATCAAACATCACTAAGATAAATATGGGTGCATGGTCGATCAGACTACTATTTAATGGTTCGAGAGCATTCTGTGCAGCCACAAAGGAGTGAATAGAAATCAAAGATACCTTATCTAAACATAAGAAGAGCAGCCAAACCAAACTCAAGTAAGTCGCATCTCCAACGGAATCATTTAACATATATCGAAATTTTGGATATTCAGCTCCTCAGTCCGATAATGGGTAAATCAATTTGATCTTGGTCAAGTTCTGACATAGAGTCCACCGAGCACAACAGTTTAACATATTCGAATTTTATTCAGATAGAATCAATTTCAAAATCAAAACATACCGTATCATTTCTGACCTCTGAGATGTTTTGATAAGCAGGTGAATCGTATCGGCAAATTCGCTTTCAGGATTTCCCATTCCATGCAAAAGTGTAATCTTCCAGGACTTATTGATCAGATACATTGTTCTTTCTTTGTCAATTTCACTGGATGTTTGAAGCATAATTGAATGATTAAGATCTTCATTCTTGTTATAAAATTGTGCTTAATATAGCCTGCCTCATGCATCCGCGCACTCACTAGTGGTTTTGCTCCTCCAACGCTACCGAAAGCATCGATGCCATCGTTATAGAACAATCGGAACTTCTCAAGTCCACTCCACCCACAACTCTTCCACTTTCACTTACTTCTTATCAAAGTAATCAAAAGCGTCCCTAAACTTCCATCCCACCAATGTGCCCTTTGTATTACCCTCCGCGTTATCCAAAATCCAACATTCCATGATGTCTCCTCTCAATCTCTGTCCTCTTAATCCGAGAGAGTTAACGCTGACTTTAGCCACGAGTTCTACATCTTGGCTGTCGGAAGTGCGTCGCCTACCCAGATTGACGGTGTCCTCCTCGAATGGGAGAAGACGGGAAAGGGCAATGCGGAAGTGGATTGATGCTAGAAGAGAGAATCGTTAGTTTTTCGTGTTGATGATAGCAACGTGGGGCGGAGAAAAGAGTAAGATGTGAATTGTGGCTTTGTGAAAGGGAGACAGGGAGAGATACTCACTATTAATGTCTGAGCGGTTTGCCTTGTATATTGTCTTACTTATCAAGTCAAAGACGATGGCATAATTCTGTTCCCAGGTGGTTGGATGCTTTCTACCTAGTAGAAATTGTCCGTTCAAGCTGTCCTGATTTTGTTGGTTCATGTTGATGAATTTTTGAGATTGGTTTCGAGTTTTTGGTAGGTCTTTTGTGTATTCTGCAGACAATTCTTTTGATAGATTGTTCTTCTGATGCTTTAGGATTGTTTTGTGGGAAAGGTGACAGGTTATATGCTATCCTGCGTCCTATACGGTTGAACATCATCTCAACGTTACAGTTTTCTTACTGTGCGAATGCGTAGTTGACGAGTGAATCATTGCCAGTCCTGCACTTAACTACTGGTGATATTACTGAAGGAACCGTACTATAGAATGTATTAAAGATCAATCCGACCAAATTGTAGCGATTAGGCTGACAATTGCATATAAGCTTGCATCTTCGCCCTTCCACCGTCCTACGAAATACACACCAAATCATCGGATCAAGCTGATAAATACATTCAGTGCTGCCAAGAATAAAACGAAAGTTCCAGGAATAAAAGATGCCAATGAATAAAGATCCTCCTCCGTCACATCAGGCCGTAGATCATGTATGGAACTCCGAAATATGGGAATTCAAAGATTGGGAACCAGCTCCAATATCAGCCACTCGACAACTAAGCATCTGGGAGCAAAAAAATGCCATCGTATTTGATTTATCAGAACTCAGTGTGTACATCGTAGATAGTTCTGCTTTAACTTACAAGTTGTAAGTTACAACTATATCCTACTCTGTCCTTTCCTTTCCAATCATTTTAGGAAACATCATCTGATCCTCCTTAGCAAACCACACGCATTGCCCTCACCGCACTCAATCCAAAAAACAAAGATGAGATCTATTTCGGAAACTCAAAGACAAGCGCACTCAAGGGTAGTCTCAAGCAAGGCTTTAAGAGCGGCCTCAAGAGAGGTGCTAAGCATGGCTTCAAGACAGATTTCATAACTACCTTCAAGAATAATCTCAAGCGCAACAAAGAGACCGATTCGGTTGATCATCACTATTTAGCATGTAATCCTATTGATTTTCTCAATGTGCGGAAGGAGAGATTAAGGGGAGAAATCATGGAGGCTTGGGTTCTGGATGGTATGAATCCCAACCCAGTCGATCGGATCAGCAGGTCGAAGTTTTGGGCTGTAAAATATATGTTAAAGATGCGCGTTATCAAGGGCGCATCCTGCGAGTATAGACCCTAGCTCGCATCTTTACATATGGGTAGTATCCCTTGGTAGCGATCTGCATCTGTATAGGAAGCAGGTCAGCATTGAGAAATGGTGGTACGTGGATTTTCTTGATTTTCTGATGTCTTCATCGACTACGGATCTCGTAGACACTACGGCGAAAAAAAATGGACACTAGCAAATATGATCCAATTATGTTAATTGGCTGTAAGTGCTGGGTAGTTCAATCTTGAGATAGGCTCAACTCAAATTGTCCCGCTTGGGGTTCAATTGCCGAGCTATAATACTCTTCTAATAAGGACCAAAATTCATGATCAGATTCAAAATATTGATGTAATTTTGGTTCTTATTGAACATGGTTCTTCCCTCATGCATCTTTTCATCGCTAGTGAAGATCTCCCCAGTCAAAAGTATACGAGCAAAAATATACTATTTCATTTGCCCCAAGAAATCGGTCGCCCTCAATGTGATGAAAACAGGAAGAGCATCTCACAAACGAACCGCATTAGGAATACCTCGAATGATCTCACTGGAAAGAATCTATATATTTGACAGCGTTGATTGACAGACTATTGAGTTATAAGGTTGAGATATCTGCGGGGTGGCCGCTGGAAAGTTTTCAGCCATAGATAACGACATGACTTTCTTGAAAATCGCCTAATGTGTTAATAATAATTTCCACATAGAATAAATAAATGTCTCTGTGGAAGACGAAGTAAGAGTTGACAACGCTAGAACTTTTGATCGTGCAGCTTTGCGACGTATCGAGGGATGAATTTTGAGGAATCATTTAATGTCCCACTCATCAGTGCCAGAAGTATCTTTTCTTATGCGGCCTGCTAATCCTCCCGTATTATTTTTGTGCCTTCCAAGCATGCCAACCAGCTGCTACGCGTGTTCTTTTGATACTGCTCTGAACCGGATCTTGCTTAAGAAGATCATCTGGTGTTTTGTTCGCAGAATTCTTTTTTATCTTCTCAACGTTTTTGAGATATTTTCTTTGGTCCTTGACCAATGCGACGTACTTCCCACCAAATTTCCGTTCAGCGTCCTCAAGCAATTGTAAGATTTCCCGATCGCGGCCTCCTGCCTTACCCATAAAGTTCAACAGGCGGTCGGGGTTACCGTCAAGTTCCATCTTCTGTCGGAGGAATCGCTCTTGTCGTTCTGGATCAATATCACCATATGCGAGGTTGTCAACACGCCATCCATATACTAGGGCTGCCTTTTGAGGGGCATGAGTGGGTGAGTATTCTGGAGAATGTAGTGCTTCATAATATAATCGATCGACTCTTTCGGCACGTTCTTTGTATGCAATTGTATTGATACCGTCGGTTTTTTGGTTGGACCTCAACACTTTTGCTACCGATATAAATTCTGCAGGGGATTTGATAATTTCCGCATATTTGAACAAGTACTTCTCGTAGAACGATATTTTAATACCTTTCCATAGTTCTGCACGACGACGATAGATCTCGGCGTGTGAAACTTCGAAGGATCCGTCAGGGTAGGGCCCAATTTCCAATAATTGCTCCCAGAGATCATCCGCCTTTTGAAGGCGTGCAAAACGTGCTTCATCAGATTCATTGAGAGGGACATTGGCTGCAAGATTTGTAGCTGACATGGACAACACAAATGCAGATGTGTGATTAATTTTGAGTGCAATTTCAAAGCATGTGGAGGCTGCTTCATGAGTACCACCTTCTCGATGCCTGGTACCTAATATGCACAAACAACTGGCCAAGTCCTCCGGGTCCGGGAGAGAGTTGTGAAATGAAACCTGTAATAGGGCACGCAAGTCGGGGAGTGTCTTCATCCAGTTTGCTCTTCCCCTAAATTCTTCCCAATCGGTGGCTGGTCCATTAATTATTTTACGACGATGGCATGGACTCAATGTCTGCGGAGACTGAAACATCTCTTCCGCTTCCTTTGCTTGGCCTGATAGCCCCAGGGCGGATTCGATCACATCTTCTGTTGCACCCTGGCGCAAATATCTCAATGACCCTACAAAGTCGTGCAAATCATACAGCACAAACCCATACTCGACCCAATAGTCGGCAATGATATTTTCTCCAGCTAATTCTAACATCTGATCAGCAGCAGCTCTTGCTGCTGCAGGCTGCTTTAATTTCCGCAAGGCGCGGCTTTTGAAAAATAGACCTTTAGCACATTCTCCTAACGAAGGAGTTCTGAGATATTCATCAAGCGCTGCTCCAGGTCGATGGTCGTTGAGAAGTGCTTCGATGGTCCAGAGTTTCTTTTCTGTGTCGTTAGCCAAACCCGGCATTGCCTCCAGACGCCGATATATCTGGCTAGCTTCGGTATAATGTTCTGTTTCAAACAAGCCTTTGGCCAAGTGCTTCAAAAACAGTGCATGATTTGGTTTCTCATGCAAATACCCTTGGGCAATGACTGCCGCATCCTCAAATAATCCAGCGGAAGATAACCCATCGACACACAGAACCGCATAGTCAGGGGCATCAGATTGTTCAACCGCGGTATTTATTGAGAGATGCGCGCCTTCGAGCAAAGAAGAGGATGAGGACGAAGACGTCAAGGGCGAAGGCTGGTCACTAGAATCATGCGAATTGATAGAGAGCCTTGAAAACATGGCAGCAAAACTCTACAAACTGAAGTATGTTTATCGATACCAATGGTCAAAATATAGTGGATAGAAATAGCAAAAATAGTGTACTCCCGGACAAAGTGTGGAGGTATGAGAAGATAGAATCACTGAAACCGTTGAGTTGTGAGTGCTTGCAGGTGACTTAATAATTCTTTGTTCTCATTTTTTTTACGGCGAGGCTGATATGTCTAGCAGCACCAGTAAAGAAACCCACAATCCAATTCCTAGCAAAAGCCCCGCTAAAGTGTAACAAGGATTTTTCAAAGTGAAATGAGAGATGTAGAAAAATAATATACTGCGTAAAAGAACGGTGGATACGAAGAAGGCTGGAAATATGCCATGCAAAAAGTAAAGATTGAAGGTGCCCTCAGATAAGCTCTCAAGTTCTCATTGCGAACACTTTCCATCTTATTTAGCCCCAAGGCAAGTATAAGATAGTAGGTTGGCCTGCAAATTTGGCTTTTTGGACACGTTTGGTCATCACCGGGCAAAGAAATAAACTTCCATATACTTTCACGTCGACACTATCGAAGTTTGTAAGGAATAGTCACAAGAATGATTGGAAATAAGAAACTAAATTTGGTTAGCAATGCTTTCAGCTATAGACGTCAGGAACTAGAGATTCCAATCGCCAGCATAAAAAGATCTGATTAACGGAAGGGGGATGAGAAGGGATTGTTCTTACCAAGCTACTCCGATTGAAAACTATTTTCCGCTTTCAGCGATAATTCTTTTGCAAATGTAGTACCGCAATCAACGCCTGTGGCTTTCATTCCCGATCTCTCAGAAACTTAGCCAATAGTTATTCAAAGTGGTAGAACATAGCGAATATCTCAAGAGGAGCTGATTGTCGTCATTGCGGCTTGATCCAAATTATAGAATCAGAGACCTGCGACCGCCTAACAAGACATCAAAGGTATTCGAGATGATAAAATTGGAAGCCTGCTAAGATTTCTGTTCATTCATTCACACATTCTGAACCTTCTGATTTCTCAGATGGTTAAGTAGTGTAAGCTCGATGATTGTTCTCGTCATTGCAGATTATTGTTGGGATGGAAATTGATATTCCAGGCGCGCTGAAATACTTACAGCGCGTGTCGCTAAGCTAAAAACACGCTAAACAATGGCTTACTGCTCAACCTTGTAACTTTATTTTCAGCAGCCTCGTGGGTCCAAGCTCAGATTGATCGTTCATGAGAGTGTGAATGTACTCGACGCATTTATTGAATCACATCGCAACCTCATTTCTTCCATTAGAACCATAAAATCCACGGGAGCTCCTCCAAATCATGGTATAGTTGTTCTTTTACATTGTAATATAATGGCTGCTAACATTTCTAGGCTCGTAATGCTGAGAAATCACAATCGATGCTGTTCCGCTTCAGGGAAGCGCAACAAGCAGAATTGGGTATTATCGATGCTGGAAGGACGCGGCGCCCAAAGATGATAACGGAAGTCTCATCTATACCATCATGCGAGAAATGGAGAGGCCAAGTTCTGAAGGAGATCTCACGCAAAGTCAGCAAGATCCAGGATCCAAGTTTGAGTGACTTCATGATTCGAGATTTGAACGATGAAATCAATAAGGCTATGAGAGAAAAATATATGTGGGAGGTGCAGATTAAAAATTTGGGGGGTCCGAATTATATGCGGGGCGGAGGGAAAGTCTATGATGATGAAGGGCGGGAGATACCAGGTGGTGGGAAGGGTTACAGGTATGCATGGCCATGTGGTGATGAAGTATGCGCGAATTGTGCTGATGGATGATTCTGTACCAGGTATTTTGGACGTGCTAAAGCGTTACCGGGAGTCAAAGAAATGTTCGAAGCTGCAACAATAAAAACCCGCGAAGATCAACCCCTAGAGTCGAGAGTAGACCTGCGAAAACAAGTCGATGCTTCATATTATGGTTACAACCTTGACGAAGAAGATGGCACTTTGTTAGATTATGAAATACAAAAAGAGAAAGAGGCGTACGAGAACTTATTGGAAGGCAAAGATAAGAACGCACCCGATGGATGGGAGCCGTTACCTGGAGACGCAGGAGATGGCGCAGGATGGAGACTACCGACGAGCGAAGAAGTCCAGGAAGAGCTTGTTGATAGGCGACGAAGACGATTACTGGACAAACTGGGATAACAGGACCATGATCAACTTACAAAGCTACTATTACATACCCAATACGAGAATTCTAATCTGATTTTGCAGTCCGAGTGAGCGCCCTGGCCGCGTCTCGATTTGGGGAGCACTAGGATACATATGAAGGTTTATGTTATGATGGCGCGCATTTTAGAACCTGTGAGTATTGAGTTCCTCAACACGTGATGGAGTGTACGTCTGATCTATCAGACGTAGCGCTCTGCGGTTATCTTGCATTTTAACAAGTGTAATTATTGCCAAATGGCGAAAGTGTATAGTGCCCAGCCCAGATATCCAAATCTCCATCTCAGTCCTACAACACCAGAAATAGTAATACACAGGACTCCAATATATGCATAGATATCCTGTATCTGTATATTCGGAGTACTCTTCCGCTCTTTTTATATTCTTTACTTCTTCAAAGCACGTATTGTGGAATACCTTTTACCCAAATTTCAGCAATATTTCCTCGATACCGCTCAAATGCGACTTTCAATCCAAGACTGCTCAACTTGACTTCTGCGAGGACATCCGATCCTGCTGCTGAGTTCAATGGCATCGATATCCGAACGTTGTCCTTCTGCAAAGGACTTAGAGGACGCTTTGGAATCTTGATACGAGTGTGATCCGCTATAGTGAATCAGTAATACTTCTTAAATTGACTCAACGCCGAAGTCATACCTTCGATCGCTTCGCGCTTTGCCTTCAATAATTTTTGTGAGGATACATCATAGACAATCGCATTCTTCATCTCCCAGCTGTTGGTTCGTTTCGACTTGCTGTCGGTCGAATCATGTGTTGCAATAGTCGTTTCGATGAGTTCCGAGCTTCTCGGCATGACGAAAGATTGAGTTACGGTAGATTTTGGTGTGCAATTTAAACTGTGTATTCGATCAATATTGATTGCTGATTTTGACCGTGGAAGAAAAGGGATATCTTCACAACAATATACGACGTTCTTGCCAAAAGCCTGGTAGAGGCTCTGCAAGGCAGATTGCAAATGTACACATGATTACATAGACACGATCACAAGGCGCCCATTTCTAGCGTCAGCTTTGCATCAGGATTCCTCGGAATTTTACTATTATTATAGCACACATTGATCCCAGCCGTTCATCTATTATAACAATCTGCCTTGGGGGGGGCAGATTGCTTCGAGAAGCCAGCAGTCTGCCTCGTAAATCACCTATTTGTGTTACCGTATGCAGGCCATCCAGCGCTAGCCTACATTGCGATTTCAGCCAATAGTCCTACGAAAAATTTCAATAATTCAGCCCCCAGTGTACTGGTTTCATCAATTTTCCGTCAAGGTTGACTTTCATGACCTTGCAAGCACTATCGCTAGAAGATCGTCATCAAGAATCGACGATTGGTGAACATTAGCTACAGTACGGAGTAATATGAAATGCGCGTCAAATATCTGTCTTCAACTGGATTTAAGGCGCGATCCATCAACAAGGCTGGCGGGTAACTTTTATGCCAATATAATATCTTCTTGTGAGCCCTTTCTTACGGTCGCATCATGGGAAACTACAATCCGTGCCTCAAAGTTCTAATTTCTACTTTGGGTCACAGCGGTCACAGCTTGGAAGAATTTGCCACAATTAATGACAGCCTTCGCACAGTAACTTGTCGAGTTCGAAGCCATGATTTACTCAGCCACTAGATTCTGCTTCGGTTTGGGGGTCATATCCCAATTGAAGCAGAGCCTCATTCAACTCCGTGCAATTCGTTCTCAGGCTCCAAACTATTAATTTAGGGAGTGCTCAAGAAAGTCTCAAAGACAAAAGTAGTAGGTCTCCCAAGACTGGTTCATTCATTCTCTTGATCATTTTTCGTAAATAAAAATGAACCCTAACTCATTGACACCGTGGGACGCAGATGTTTCAAGACTCCGACGGCTATCAATCGGCGATGAAAACTCGCGTAGCTCCAGTCATTCGATGACTTCAACACTCTTCGTTCCGGATGCTACTCCTACGAATCAAGCCAGCCGATCTATGAATCACAGTCCAAGTAGCAGTACAGGTCGCAATAGATCAACGGATAGCCCCTGGAATAAGAAATATATTCTCACTTTAGGTATATATTATAAGTTTCGGTTTGAAGCCTACAGGTAAAGCTAATCAGGTTTGTAGACGGCGGAGGTGTGCGTGGTCTATCCAGTCTACTTATTATCCAACATCTTATGGTACTTTGTAATTCTTTTGAGCAGAGTCAAGATCAGCTGGTCAAGTCAAGTTTTCATCCACTACCATTCCAACAAGGTCAAGGATCGATTGCCAATAGCAGAAAGTCAAGAAGTGCACAGTTCCTGCCGGTACATTATTTTGACTATATTGGTACAGGATTTTCTTACTCTATTTATCAGCAGCTACCAACTGACAGTTCACAGCAGGCACAAGTACCGGCGGATTGAGTGCTATTATGCTCAGTCGACTACGAATGAACAGTGATGACTGTATCCAAGAATACGAGAATTTAGGAGAAAATATATTTGGTCAACCACGAAAGCTTTCTATGCGCGGTCCGATACCGTGGAATCGGGAAAAATATGATCATCGCAAACTTGAGGAATCTATAAAAGATGTTGTGAAAAGAAGAGACTGGAAAGAAGATCAAATTGCAGACTCTATGTATCCTTCAAACAAAGACCGCTGTCGGACGTATGTCTCCAAATCGTCAAGTTGGGTTTGTCTTGCTAATGTATTACAGAATTGTTTTAGCAGTCCGAGAAAACAACTCCGCCAACGCCCCTTACCTTTTTCGAACATACGAACATGTTAAATCAGAATTCAACTATTCTGAAGAGCTCAATCCCGGCCCCCCGCTTCATATCCCTATATGGCAAGTCGCCCGAGCAACTACTGCAGCGCCGACATATTTCAAACCATTTCAACTACTTAATGAACGCTTCGTAGATGGAGGGTATGGTCATAACAACCCCACCTCAAGAACATTTGCAGAGGTCGAACAAGTACATGGCAAAGGCACCGTCGCCCTCACACTTAGCATTGGTACTGGTCGACCTACGAAAGTCCAACCAATAGCCAGGCAGAACAGTGGACTCATAAGCCATTACAGACAAATGATCAAATACACCGCAGCTACAACAACCGACTCCGAGCACACCCATGAATATGTAAAAGCACTGACTGCGGATCGATGTACCTATGAGCGCTTCAACGTTGATGGGGGCCTCGGTGATATGGATCTTGGAGAATGGCGTATTCATGGCAATGAGAACATGACTCTCAAAAGGATACGAGAACAAACCCACGTCTATCTCAATCAATCAGAAGTTCGAAGACGAATGGAGAAAGTAGCAAAAATGCTAGTGAGGAATCGACAAGAGAGGTCTAAAACTGAAAAATGGGACGTTGTTGCTACGGGTCACAGGTTTCACTGTCCTCGGTGTTGTAACGAAGAGACGATCTTTACAAGAGAAGAGGATTTTAAAACTCATCTTTGTGAGACTCATGAGTTCTCTAGTACCCCGGGGGAATCTTTTGAGGAGCTCAGACTGAAGAAGGCGATTAGAGACGGGAGAATCTTGCATGCGGATTGAATTTTCTACTATTCATACTTAGACTTTCTTTTAAATATTCCATATATTACATTTATAGGAGCGATTGGATGGGACTATTACTCACCGATGTATATCAGGGGCAGGGTTGAGTAGAAGAGCGAAAATATTTGGCGTTTTAGCAAGATACCATGGATTTATGTTTATATAGGCGCAGTTTTTTTGTAATTGTATTGCTTTTGACCCTGCGGACGTCCATTTTCAGCTGAAATTAGTATAGGTCATTGGGAGAAGAACGCTTCCAAGTGAACAGAATATTGCTCTTCCAGTCAAGGTAATCCACGGTAAAGCATCATAAGTCTTCATGCAAATCCAATTTAACCTACTTCTTCATTGTCCGATTTTGTTTCCAGCTTTTCATAAATTATTTCGCGGATTTGATTGAGCTCATATCATTTCCATTTACTTATTTGGATTGTCGAGTTCAAAAGTATTGCTCAAACATCAAATGATTGATTAGTATTATTTCGTTATTAGATTCAAATTCAGATTGGCTGCATTTATGACCATAACATGATGTATTTTCTTCATTGAAAAAAGTCAAATTACTGCAGTAACTAATTATTGCATTCGCTGAGATCCATATCGAAAGATCCAACTCAATGAAACCAGCGTTTATATCCAGGAAACTGTGTCTGTCCCTTACGAACACGCATCTCCACCTGTGTTGTTGTAGCCCAATACTTCCATTTACTAACCGTTTCGAAACGTCTTCCCTTGGGATCATTTAACACCCATGCCTCCTTAATCTCTCCTCTTAGTCTTTGTTTTCTAACACCAAGACGGTCTATTAATGCATATGCCATGTACTGGAAATTGAGCGGGTCACTCTTGGCACGCGTCATGCGGTAGTAGATATAATCTTTCATGTAGGGACGGGCGCGAGGGAGAGAAATGCGCGTGTAGTTTCCTGAATCGATTAGTCACTCGCTAGGTAACTGAAGAAGGAAGTTAAGGAGAGCGAGAGCTTTACTTTCTACCACAGAACGATCGGTGATACGCAGAGATGCATTAGCGACATCAAAAACAAGGGCATGGCGTTGCTCCCAGGTCTTTCCCCGTGGAACCTGCTCGGTTTTCCTGACAACCTCTATTTGTCCTATCAATTCGGGTTGTGTATGGAAGTTTATCTCTATGTCGAGATCTTTAAGTGTATTGAAATCTAGTCGTCCACTGACAAGGTTCGTAAGTGCCTCAGTGTTGATTGCAATGAGTGTTGGAGCCAGCTCGGATTCCCGTTCACGACTCTGCGATTCATGATTTTGACTTGCTGAAAGGGAAATATCTGCCCGGTAGGGTGGAAGGTGGTTATCCATCTCGATCGGGGATTGTTGATTTATTCGTGATGGATATGCGGTGGGTGTTTTGATAGGCTTCCTTTATGAAATAGAATACAACTCTGAGGAAAATATGTATTATGAGATTTCCTGCAGAGTTGTGGGTTTTGTATCATTGCTGCACTATACAACCGTAAGTACTATGGGATACGCTGTTCTATTCATTCATGTTCACCGTTGTAATAGGAGCCGTAGTTCGACTCGTATACATTCATAGAAGACACTTGTAGTCACTGCAAAATTACCGACGTATGTGACATCCTTCTCAAAAAAGACGGATGGAGAGCTGGCAATACCGCATTGCAACCGTTGAAGGATAATGTACCGCATTCTCTGCAGCGACATTTATTGTTTGAGAACAATTGCAACAATATCGTGATGAGGGTTACTTTGTCTATATAAAATAAGTGTGATAGCCTGGCTTGAAATCTGTAGTCGGCCATGGCACGTGAAATCTGCAATGATGATCGCAATGTAATCCTACTAATACATTCGACGTCGATGAGCCCGGGGTCAAAAGGAGTGGTACGTAAGCAGAGGTTGGTTACATTTAAGCTATTTTAAATCGTGAATTCTCATCAGAGAATTTCTAATAAACACTGGACTTTTCCACAAAGTTTCCTTCCGTGCAATTATTACGTCTGCTCACAAAAATTCTTTGTCCCTCTGGTACCCAATCCAGACTTCATTAAAATTAATCGTTGCTCCTTGGGGCAATGTGGTTCAGGTATCACACTTCATCCAATCTCTCATAATTCCATCTCACGTGGTGCACATCGATGACCAAACCATCATGATAATCTTCAATTTCTTCACTCTCCCTTCCAGATTCTCCAGCTTCACTCGATCGCTATCTTTCACATACCCCATGACATCTCCCGAAAGTCTAGTCATAGTAGTTCTCCCCAAAACTGTTCCAACTTCACTCCCCGATGATGGTCCTATATACCAAGGCATCACATCATCCGGTCCTTCTGGATTATCCCAGATGCCTATTGACGGATAGGCCAAGAAGAGATTCGAGAGGTTAGGACAGCTACGAACAGCTGCTATGCTACATTAAATTATGAGAAATTTCCAAGAACAAAACAAGATGATAGAGAACTTACATATCAGAACTATCTCCTCCATTGAGCAAATCCACGTCAAGCGCCAAATTTCTAAATCCTTCCAGACCTCCATTTTCAGCTAGATACTGCACCGTGAATCGGGCTTCGGATTTTCGATACTCTCTCGCTTGAATATAAGGTATATCTATTTTTAGATTCCAATAACAGTTGAATCGTTCGACAAGTTGTGTGAGAGCGTATTCACGAGATGCTTTGTTGATACGCAGTATTATGGGTAATTGGCGACCGTAGGACCTAGGAAAAGTGGTATAGAGATCGAGAGACTTGGTGGTGGCATATTGACCGGTGGAAAGGATAGGAGAGTAGTCTATGCGGAGTAGGCGCGGACCGGGGAGAGTGTAGAACCAGATCTGGTGTTGGAGTTCGAGGGGAGGTTGGGGAAGAGGGTGAATGAGGGGAGAGAATGGGAAGACATAGAGACGGCGAGATTGGGGCTTTAATAAGATGAAATGTTTCTTGAGGACTTAAAATACATGAGGTGAGAGAGAATATATCTTCAGCCAATTCACGAGAATGGCGGGGATGAAATACATTAAGATTACATTGTGCTGACATGACTGTGCCGCCACAGCTGACCGGCGCCAAGCCACTTGGAGGATAGATATAAAATTTCCATCCAATATCTAGGGAGCCTTTGTGAACTCTTATCATATCATCCATTTGTGGAAAATCTCTTGTTCGAGTATAGTATTACCCAATCGAGAAGGATTCACATATGTAGCTTGACATGTGGAGTTGAACATGCAACATCAAGCCTCATTTGCAATACTCGAAAACGACTAGAAAGCGTTTAAATCCTCTTGGGGGCCGTATTGAGAAAGGACTACATCAGAAATGAGGGTTTGTACGATGTGTACTTTAGAGTAGCAAATAAGCTTCTTACGTGAGCGAAAGTGGGAGCAAATCAGATCGTACAATTAGATTATGGTCCAGGGACCCTGTGAGCCCGTCTCCTCAACTGGAAAATTCGTGAGGCCGCATCAAGTGTCAGCAGGCAAGAGTGGTATGAATCGTGATATATCGAACGCCATGTAGCCAAATCAACTTTCTCATCTTATCCTGCCTTGTCTTTCCTATTGCAATTTGTACGTAGGGGCTTGTGTACAAGAATGGAGGGCAATGAAATTGGAAAGCTTAAAGTTGTTCGAGTGTTAATCTTTGTATGATATGAGATCCCAGATCCAAGGATGACTACAAGTTTGGCTGTGTCGCTAAACATATATGTACCTAGAGGCATCGGCAGTGAGAACTCGGTAGCCGGGTGATCTTATATTCTTTCAATTTGCTCTCGATAATTTTAAATCCGTTGAATACCTTATGGTACGGGGAAGTAGAAATGTCGAGAGGAAGATGAAGGCCTCAAGCTTTTAATGTGCGGAAATGAAAAGTTGATTTTCCGGGCACGTAGGTTAAATCACAAGATGTAAAGGAAAGCAGAGAGTAATGAAAAAGGAGAGAATGCAAATGCAAATGCGATAAAGAGAAGGCGATGGACAGGAAAGTGACGAACTGGTAGTTCTCAATTCCCAAGACTCCTTCAGCTGATCATAGACCGTTACATACTCGAGAGAACTGACTTGTTGTACTCAATAAAAAAGCCAGCAAATCCGCTCAAACCCAGTCAAAATCAGAAAATAAATCGGAAACATTCCAGTATACCACCAACAACAGGAAAAGAGCTCTCTTTGAGTAGTACGAGGACGTAGAGACATTCTTGGAGAACCAGATACGAAGTCTGTGGCAGAGGTATACGAAGGATCTCAACTTTATGAGTAGATAGGAGACATCAAAATTCGTGAGAATGCTAAATCATTTACACAAAAAATGTTTGAAAGGAATAAATTGCAAAGAAACAGAGACATTGTCGAATAGTCAGATAGTGGTGAATAAGTTGTTAATGTGAATCGGCAAAACAGATTGGCGTAGACAATTAATTGAAGACTCCAATGTCAGTATTGATCTTAGGTATAGATTGTTGGTCAAGAATGCGGCGAGGGCCAGGTGAAGTATCATGTAGAGGGTATAAAACTGTTTATTTCAAATCTCAAAAGGTATCTAAAGTCATTATTCATAGCGCATGCCAGATCACACAGTAAACAACGCCAAGAAAATCCAAGCTCTGGTCCAGAATTCTGATGCTACCTTGCTCCTAAACACGCCAGCAATGCCGAATCGTATCGTCATTCTAAATCCGTCATCCGCAAAAGACACAAGCAAAGAGTCGAACCTATCTACAAAATCACTAGAACAAGAGTCACCGCCATAGCAGTAAACATCCCAACAGCCACCAGGCTTTGCACAAAACTGATCCAAATGCCTCGACCATCTTGTTTCTGTGGGGCTCTCAAAACGCCTTCTTTGCTTGCATATGATGGGATTGTGCCATATCCAGACGATGAAATTGCGGCGTTCTTCTCGACATCGACCATATCGAGTGGTTGCTGTGTGTGAAGTGATCAGCGAGTGGTACTTATTGATTAAGTAGAGGGAAGACTTACCATGGTATTGGAGGGCTCGGACTTCTCTGTGGTAGAGTTTTCTGGAAGAGGTTTATACTCCATGTTTCGAGTGGTAACCGGGAATGGGTATGGCAGGTGAAGCATGATGAACTCGCGGTCTTGGAATGGAAAGAAGAGATCCGTAGTCGCGACGAGACGGTAGCAAATGTAAGAGTTTACTGATGTGATATGACTATGGAGATGAGAGATGTTTGATCGAATATAGATTTATACCAAACGTTTCCCGAGGGAACCGTCTTCTTTACTTCTAGCAAATCCATCTCCTAATGTCACACTAGATTTCTTATCGACCGACAGCAAATAAAAATAATGTGGTGTGTTGTCGATAAGCCATGAAAGTCTGCTGCGAATGGCATGTGATGGTGCTTATCTTTGCGCAAGGGTTTAGAAAATCGCACACTCGTGATTTCTCATGCAGAAAAGACCCGGTAAACATCCAGAAACAATAGAAAAATATAGATAACGGGCTACGGAAGACGAAAATATAGAGGAGCGGGTTAGTGAGATGGTGTGTAGAAGTATCAGCCGGGTTGGGGGGCTAAAATCGATATGATAAGCGTTGGGAAAGGTGTCATGTGAGGCCCATAAGAGAGCAAATGATGCTGTGCTTGTGAACTCCACGTAGAATTGTTTTTACACGGCAATGGACCGAAATTTGCTCCAAGACAAGACATACATATTGAGTGGGTTGCATGTGCTGCCGCCAAACAGATGAATAAGACGGCAAAGGTCATCGCGAAATATGAAACATGTAATCTCACATCGAATTGCATAGATCTGAGGAGGGAAGGCAGTATCCGGCCAGCTCGCGTGCGACCTGGATACAGGGAGATAGTAGTTGATGCGCACGAATGGAACCCCCAAGAATGGCTGTCATTTCACCTTGTGTGCACACCTCGATGGCACTGACTAAGAGGATTCCAAAAATCTGATATGACTGCTTAGAAATTGCAAACCTTTGATGTCTTTCTTGTCGGGCCGTAGACTTGCGGACTGTGTTACACGGTATGCATACACACTCGTGTTGAGATCGAACAATACATTCAGGTGATGCTTCCAACATGCCAGTGTGAAACTTTCAGCATTTGTTCAGCCAGATTTCGAGGAGGTCCTGCTTATAGCTCGAGAAGCTCCTACACTTTGCACATTCAGAGCTATTCTCTCTGATCTTTCGAAATGGCCATCGTTTCTCGGATCATACAGACGAACCGATAAGTATGAGATTTGGAGTGTTTGCCTAAGTGCTCTGAGGGTTCATCGAGTGATATTCAAATGGCCCAGCTAAAACAAAAAGGAGCCTTGCCTTCGCTTCTAACCACCATCTGTAAAATCTGCAGTGCATGTTGAAAGATATCGTCAGCGGTATTCGAGCGCGTCGCAAGGGGAAGGGATTCTCGTTTTATTGTGTCGCATGTAAAGGATAAGTGGTATCGTCTTCGCAGTTGATTGCGTATATCATATCAAGGGGCCCTGGTGGCTGTAAGAATAGACTTTGGTAACGCTTAAACTCCGTTATATCTCGACTGTTGTGTAGGAATTGAAATGACAGCGAACATTTCTCATCCCATTCGAGGATTTTCACACGCACAAACTCCCCTTGCAACAGTGTTCACAGGTCAATTAGAGGATCATTGTATGGTAAAGTAAAGGTAAAAGTTTGAAGAGCTTTCTTCAGATTGTTAAAAGTTGTACTCACTGAAGTGAAAAATGATGAGTGAAGCTCGGCAGATAGCAGAGTATGCTTACCTGACACCACAAGCTAGCTCACCGCCCACGGAATTCATGCCCCCGACGCATCGCTTTCCTAATAGTCAAAATATAATTTGAAAGATCTGATTCGTTCTCTGTAAATCGTGTAAAATCGTATAAACCCGTATAAAATCGTATATCGTACTCGTATTCATTCACAGAATTCGTGCAAGGCTATGGATACCACAACCCTAACCCACGATGAGCTTAAATTATCATTCCTTGCTAGCTTTGCACGAAGTCTGTAAATGAATACATCGTACGGTATGGTCTGAAATGAGCATGGCGAGACACGTTGCAAATGAACTCGATCTAAACTTGTTTTTTCACGCTGATAGAGAAACCCCGTTTACTGCTTGCGTACGAAGCCTTCTTCGAGTCCAAAACAGGCTTTTGATGTTACCTCTCAGCTTCCTGTGCAGTGATAGGTGTGTTCGTAAGTTAGGTCACGAAGAGCCACAATAGCATAGCCGTGGCTGCAATAATGGCTGTGCCTCCCGAGGTCGTCACTAATGATGCAGTCCATTGCAAAGCCACAATTTATATTTATACAATCCACTTGTAGATCACGAGTCTCTCACCAGAGAATATATATATGAACGTTCACTTGTGCTCGCCGTCTTGATGAATCTTATTATCCATCCTCATACCTACGCAGTCATAGTCGGAATTGCACTTCGATTTTACCCCTCAGATAGCCCCACTTTATACCACCACCCTTCACCACCCTTCACCACCCAACATCCTTCTTACAAAATACCTAACCACAATAGTAATACAACTTTCCAGCGACAATAACAACGAAATAAGCATATACCGAAATCAAATCATGACTGATCCATCAAATAATCCAGCTAAACCATCAGCTTGGTCTAAGACCAAGCTCGGCGGCAAAGCGGCTTTTGATAAAGGATGGGCTGCGTTTGAGAAATTGGGAGGACCGGTCAACAAGCTCACGAATAAAATTGGATCCGAGGCCTTCTGGCCAACAGGCATGGAAAAAGAATGCGAGAAGGCTGCCCGAATCCTTAAATCATTCTGTAGTAAGTCTGCTGGATACACGGTTGACAGCAAACTGTCCACTAACAATTTGACAGAGGATGGATTCATGGCGGAGCAACAGAAAGATGCATCACAAGACTCAGAGACTAAGAAGAAAGTCCAAGATGGACCTAGCAAGCCACCGAAAGTTCTTGTCAAGATCCCTCAAAAGGTCATCAAGAACTGTGTCGGTCTCGCGATTTACACCACCATGCGCTCTGGATTGTGGGTATCCGGTGCGGGTGGATCAGGCGTTTTGATTGCCAAGAATGAGAATGGTCAATGGTCACCACCATCCGGAATTCTCATTCACACTCTCGGTGTAGGATTTATGGCCGGTATTGATATCTATGACTGTGTCATTGTTATCAATGACCGCAAGGCTCTCGAAGCATTCAGTAAATTACGTGTCTCTCTCGGTGGCGAAATATCCGTCGTGGCTGGCCCTGTTGGAAGTGGTGCCATTTTAGAAAGTGAGCTATTGAAAAGTAGGAAGCCGTTGTTCTCCTACATGAAGAGCAGAGGTCTATATGCAGGAGCACAGGTTGATGGAACCATAATCATCGAGCGCAACGATGAAAATGCAAGATACTATGGGGAAAAGTTGCCGGTAGCACGGATTTTACAAGGAAATGTTCCATCCCTTCCGCCAACCGCTGAGTTATTGATGGAGGTTGTAAAGGATGCAGAAGGAAGACCAAATTTAAACCAGTCAGTCTTGCAGCAAGTTTACGATAAGCCAGCACCGGCGGATGTCGAGATTGTAAATTCAGGAGAGGCTAGTGAGGACGAGAAGAAAAAGTTCGGGAACCCGAACACGGCTGAGGGTTATGCTATGCAGCAACAACTGCACGGATATCAAGAGCAGCAGTACCCAGGATATACACAGGGAAATGATTCTTACTATCCCCCACCTCCTCCAGGACCACCACCTCAACAAGATCATACTCAAAATCCTCCAGCTTACTCTCAAAATCCGTCAGACTTTCCACCGCAGCAAGAAAGCGGTGCAACTGAACACGGCTATTATGCACCCGAGAAACCACCTCGTCCAACCTGAAGAAGTGGATGCTTGGATGAAGATGAATTAATGATTCTATGATAGTTTTTTTAAATGTAAGATCTGATCATAAGTTGATCCGGAGCTATCCTCGACGCATTGAGGATTTATGATTTATAACAAGATATTTGTGAGATCCTATTGTAATACACGATTATAGTTGCACTTTGAAACACAGACATCCAACCAGTTTCATAATAAAAACAACCTCAAGTTATACACAACTCTTCAGAGCACGTATGTAAACGCCCAATCGTCATTGTGTGACATATTTAGTCTACAGAAAAACAACGCACGAGCTTGGAAGCATGTCGTATTGGATAGTATAATGGCGGCTGAAAATGTAAATGGTCGTTGCCATCCTGCAGATGGTAACATTTTTACATCGTGGAGCTGAGAAGTCAAATTTTCACACGTCTGTATTTTTATACATAGAATTGAATGGGAATCCCATGATTAGAGAGCTACAACTAGCTTGTAGTCAAATTTGGAAGCCCAAATTATGAAATACTAGATATATCGGGTGATATTTAGGTTGGTAAAAGACTGGTTCGAGCCCAACCGACTCGGCACTCATCTGATCTATTATATAGATTCTGAGGCAGTATATATTGTAGCCTTGTGAGTGATAATCCTGTCATTAAAATAATGACATCTTTATGATCAAGAATCTTTCAACGCAAGCCACCTGGATATCCATACTTGCATATGTACAAGCAACAGAACATGCTCGGTGGGGGTCGGAACAATGTTCGACCGAAGACCCGCATAGGTATTGTGGCTGGGCTTCCTCACGTCAAGATTTTGGTCACTTGATGACTTGTTATTTTGATGTCTTTATGGCTCTTCCTACCATACCTCAAGACAGCCCTCTCAATTGGAGTATCTTGTACCGTCAGAATTTCTCAAATTGTACAACAAAAATCTACCCCAGCCTCCCTCTCTTGGGTGGCGTTCATGCTTCATGCTCTGATCGGAAACATATTTCCAGAAGCATGCCTCGAGGCTTTACCCAAATAGACTTTCGGGAGGTCGTGCAAATGTCGACTGCATTTCAAAAGATACCCGTAGTTTTAACAGGTTCAAGTAGCTCAGAACGCTGGCAAGGTGTCCATGTCCGACTAGCATATATTTTCTCAATTAATTCGTTTTACACTCCTTTCATTGGCCTCCAATTAACTGGCGAAATCATTCACTTATGATATATCATAATCTAATATCTAAATGCTACATAGGGGCATTCGGCCGGTGTTACCGCACCAACTCATGCCAATCAAAATAACCACCCTTCAGTTTTGCTCGATGTTATATTCGCAACAACGGCCACGTCTCGGTTTACTATTGTTGCATCTTACCGGTCGAAACACTTTTTGCTGAAATCTCTTCATATATCAAACCTTGTTCACATATATAGGATCTTTGTTTGACACCTCTTGAAATCCTTTGACTCTCTTTTCATGTTCCCTCTTGGAAGAATTCTCTGGTTCAGACGACCATGGAACGTTCACGACTCGATATCAGCGGCCGAGGCCATGACAAATACTGGTTTCCAGACGCTCAAACACAACAAGCTCGGTTCTTGGGTCTTCTAAGATTTCTGGAGTTCGCCTCATCATGCTTGAAAAGGAAATGGAAAAGTTCAAGGGGCAGTATCATGATTCTCGAGGTTGTGTTGCGGCCACAAACTTTTCATTCAAGCTAAACCATGAAAAGGAAATCTTTTTTCGTCCCATCCCAACCTAACGACAAGGTATAACTCTCCCCGGTCATCCTTTCAACTACAATCTACTTCCATATGATCTTATACCGACCGAGTCACAGCTAATATTCAGCCCTACTCAAATTCCAAATTATCCTTCGTTCTGATCGTGTCTGAAGGCTGTCGCACTGCAATTTCAACCTGAAGAATTGTTAGTAACATTGCAACTCGCCTAAAAGTGGTGCGATGCATATACTTCATTATTCAACATCCAGTACCACAAGCGCCGCAGGCTCTTCCTGGAATAACCCATACTTCTTGACCGTTAGCAAGGCAGGTTGGACACCTAACGCCAGGCATCTGGTCTATGTCAGTACATATCAATTACAGTGGTGTCAGATGCAATCTCTCACGCCGACAATTTTTGTCATGCCGAAAGATCCTGAAATCTCATCAAAGGGCGTTGGCATCGATTCGATGGAAGGGAGGATGTTCATCTCTCCTCGGACAATGATTTCGAATGGGATTAGTTGGTAAGGCATCTTGATTGAAGTTGGTCGAAAGCAATATTTTGATTGATTGATGTGAGGCAGATATATATGTTTAAAGGACAAATTTGTTTGGGTTGATGGGCTTCTTTGAATTGATAAGGTCCAACTTCAGTTCGGTGGAAGTGGTCAATATATAATGTTTGGGAGCGGACTTAAGATCTGTTCCCAAACTTGGTATGCTGTTCATCGATCCTCTGGCAAAAGAAAAGATGGCCTTATCTTATGATATTGAGGTTACCTGCATCCTCAAACGTCGATGGTCGACGTGCTTGGATATCTGCGTCTGCAGGTGTTCAAAAGGGTAGCTGCAATTTTGTTAAACGAGACATCCTAAACTAGGAACGATCGTGTTCTATATGGGCACAACCTTACGATAGACACGCAACACGGCATGATGGATATTCTGAGCCATAGTTGTCATCAACGATGCTCATCAATCATGCGTTGATATTCTGCCTCTGATCTGAATGCAGCAAATCGCTGGTCGATGATGAGGATACATTGGATCATGCTTGGCCAGAAACAAGAAATCCTTGTGCCAGGGCTTTAATTCGACAGGGCTACCGCATAGAGAATGGTACAAAAAATGTACCTGGAAAGTTATCCGAATCAATTCTCTCCAGGTTTCTAACTTTCAAAGCTCCACAACAACCAGGGATCAATGCTTCTCAGTTTCGATCCAATGATCCTGCACGCTTTGCAGGTATCCGTGCATAATGAGGTATTTGTATGGTTCGTGTGAGCGACAGACCCTTCATGCAGCCTGCAAGTGGACGCCAAATCATCTGACTCCTGTACTTCGAACCTTTCTGACGACTAAGCACAGTCCGAGCCTTAGGGATCATTGCACGGATGCAGATTAACGAATTCATATCCGAAAACTGTCGTCGTACTCGAAACCCCATCATTAATCATTTGTTTGAATAATTCTGACACCTCAGTTTACTGTGTTCTACAGCTTGTCGTCGGAAGATTAGGAAGTCATTCTAAATTGGGTGGAATATGTTGAGGGTTAGAGCATGGGGGGGTCTTCGTGATATATCATTTATGACGGAACAAATTACTATTATCCGACTTGTCACTTTCTACGGTGTGTATTAGATGATGCCTGTCAGGAGTACTCCTACCATTCAGCACGGCAGTCGGAGGTCTTCTGTGCATATGGCTTGGTTTACCAAATGGTCGGAATCTTTTAAATGGAAATACTCGACATTGATCTAAACTCATGAAACTTCGGGGACAGTCATATAGGATTGAATTTTCGCAACAAGAGATATCAATTTTTGGAATCGACCAAGTCAAGTCATCATCCACCAACATTCCGCACTCGAAGAATACTAATGGAAAGACTATGATTCCAAAAATAACAAAATTCTTCGATCCTCAGGATTAGTTGAGATCGGCAGGGATTTCGTTGAGTCATGAAAAGATTTCTTTGATACCGAGAAATGGGGAAAGGTACGTAGTGCGATGGGAATCTGTGTACTACATTATACAGCATACGGAGTTGTTGAACTGCATCCGGAGTCATCCTTTCTTCCTCGAACCTACGAAGATAGTTCTCGCCAGTTGACAACTGCCATTCATCCATATGCAAATTTGAATACAACCCTGCAAGACTTTCATCGAAAGAAAAGTGATTCGATACGTCGTGGCCGTTATTGTTTGTGTCACATTTCACAGATGTTAGTGTGCTGTGTATTATTGGACGACCAAAGCCAACACATCAATTGCATGGAACACATCAGGCACATCATATCACATCACAGCAAGGAGAAACTTCCTCCGATGCCAAGTTTCGCATCTGGATTCACATTTCCCCATCCACTTTTCATGTCGCTATCCTTATTCTCAGTGCCAAACTCATCATCATGAGCAATTTTTATTATTTCCAACTTTTTCATCTCACGACATAATTTCACCTATTATTTTCATTTATTTTATGATTTTATATTGCAATATCAATCTCGTAACGCAACGTACTATCTGTACAATACATAAATGCAATTTAAAATTTGGCAGAAATGGCCCCCAAATTGATTTCAGGCCTACATGCCTAAAGTTCCAAAGAATTGTCCAGTTTCGATGCAACCGGATCGTATGATGGTTGAATCGGAATAATACGCATGCGCTGTGCTATAGTTATGGCTCCATATTCAAGGAGATATATAAACATTATTTCCCCTTTCTAAGATTCGGAAGAGTTTTCCGATGGTTCTTAATTTATCGAGCCGGGTAGGTGCAGGTGCCATTAGCTCGATGATTTGCATCCGAAGTGGCGGTGGACGAACCATTGGATTGGGTTTGTGATTGGATTCTAGATTGTGGAATGGATTCTAGATTGTGTAATGGATCGAAGAGGATGAAACGAATCTATACGCACAATCCGAACGATCAACAAATTAGCATCATGTCATGATGGGATCGAATGAAGATAATGCCAATTATTTTCTTCCACATGGCATGACATTGCGGATTTGAGGAGTTGGCATAAAAAAACTTGCTTGTTTGTTTCGCTGAAGAACCAAGATCCTTTCACTCAACCAACATTCTCACACATCGTCTCATTTGAACGATTCACACGCATTACTTATCACTGATACAAAACGTACATCCGGCTCTTATTTCCCTAACGCCAACAAGCCACTGTGGAAATTCTCCGAATTCTCTTCAAGCGTCTCGGAAGTCGTGTCGTGTCGTACTGCGCACACAACCCTTGAACCCCACTCTTATTCCTCGTGCCACAGGAAATGAATGACACGCACATAGGGATCCTACACATACGTGTGTGTGCCTACTACCTTTTCGGGAAAGGCGAATTCATGGTAGTAGCAAAACACATTCATTCATTTATTCATTGTATCGAAAAATATGCAAATGGATATGGATATGTGGACATAAATCGCATTACCTACTCACATCTACATGGCGGCTCGGATGGCGACAGCTACGGAATAGATGAGTATCATTCGATCGCTCATCCGCTGCAGGAGGTAGTCCTCACTGAACCCTTGATGTTTGTTTGAGTCTGGGATTGAGTTTAGGTCTTGTCGTTTATTACTTCGTTCGGGAAGTGATGTGATGTAATGTAGGACAGTACATGCTCTCCGTATCAATTGTATGTCTCAAGTAGATTAATCATAGTTTGCCATCGCATTCGCTTTTGAGATTCTTTGTGTTTCGTTTTTTTCACTTGGAAATTTGGGTAATGGATGAATGAATGACTGGGTAGGTGAGGTGAAGTGGGATGGATATCCACTACGATTCACGAGATTATTTTTCTCTCTTTAATCTAATTTGGTGGGCATGGATCACCTACTTACGATATTCTGTTCACTGCGTGGGAAGATAAGTACGAAAATGAACGAGAAATAAAAGAAAGAATCACCAAGAAACTATTCCTTTCGATTTGATTTGTGCACGCTTTGCCCTCCTCCCTTTCTCTCCATCTCCACAACCTCTTGCTTTGGCTTTCGCCTCTGCTACTTCGCATCTCCACCCACCATTCAAAACATTGGAACGCTACCATCCCTATCCTATCCCCATTCTTACTCTCATCATTGTAGATCACAACTATCTATTGAATAGAGGCTCAAACAACCAAACAGACACCTCTAACTCATATATACATTCTACATATTCTCACCCTCCGTTCCATCTACTAGGCTATCCCATCTATACCATATATCTACATGTCTATTAGCTTTCTATCAATCTATCAATCTACCCATCTACTCACCCCTCCACATGTCCAAAATAATATACACACATATACTCACATACACTCTTACTCACAATTCATCATCTTAAAAACCCTGAAACTTTAAATCAACCTCAATCCCTCATTGCAATTCTCAAATCCGTTTACAATTAATTCAATCTCAAACACAAACCTCCACACAAAAACCGGAAGCCAACAAAACTCAATATCTCAATACCCAAACATCAACACAGAAAGTCATCAAGATACAAAATACAAATCCAAGTATCAAGATTCAAAAATATTCAATAACTAATAGGGGGTATCCTTTCTCTATCTTCCATCCATCTTCCATTTGATCTTCCATCGTATCTACCTCTTCTCCTATTTCCATCTTCCTTTCATTTCCATTCCAATCCATCCTTCCTTACTATCCTGCATTTCATCAACCAATCCGATCCAATCCGATCCAATCCATCAACCAATATACCTTCCTCCCCTTCTTCGAAATTGGTTACATTACATTCTCCCTCGCTTGCCCGAGAAAGTGTCAACGCACTCACTCACTTAGTTACTTACATAATTACTCAATGCAATGCAATGTGATGCAATGCTGTGGCATACTACATCCATCCATCCCGCGTACATATTCTTCCTACCCTCCACTGTTGTGATCGGACCCCTGGTCATACAGCAGGGCGAAATGAAAAACAGAAAAAAAGGCTATCTACTCATACATACATACATACAACACAGCGCCCAGCTCATCTATCATACATTAATATTATCACCCAATCTCCAGTTGAAGTCGATCTAGGCCCACTCATCCTCTGACCCCCCACCTGCCATCACGAAAGAACTTTTTCAATTTTAACCAACAAAAGTCCTTCGGTTGAATTCCCCTTGATATCTTTCAGTGGAATCAGTCGATAACCCTGTTGGAGACGATCTAGTCTTATGCACGCCCAGGCTGCTAGCTCATCTTTGGAGTAATTTGCGTCTTCAATTTTAAATCTATGTGATGAGAATATTAGTATGATGATCAAGAAGGCGTGATGTGTATGGTTTAGATACATAGGTTGCAGCAAGTCTGGAGAGATATTTGGATGATTGAACGGAGATTGGACGAATGTAGATGAAGAGGGATGGAAGTGAGAAAGAGTAAGAGGAAAGAAATGAATGACCAGGGTAACATGCATGAACACACATCATACATGAGGTAGACGTGTGCAGTAAATAATGGAATAATGTTCCATAGATGAAGAAAACGAGTGATGTAATAGTGATAGTG